ACTTTATAACTTAGGCAGAGTGCGACGGCTCCGATCGCTCGAACTGTGCCCCTGAATTGTATCTCCAGAATGCATCTCTTGTTTCACTCTGGAATTCGGTGCTCACGTCGAGCAGATTCATCGTTCGGCGATGTCGAATTGGTCGTGACAGGTATTGACCCACTTCTGCTGCCCTTCGTGCTCAAGTATCAATGTTAACGACCTACCAACCCACCCCTTCCCAATACCTACCTACTCGCCTTAGATTCCCGGTGAGATCGGTCATATCTGTAAATAAGTACAAGTGAAGATAGAGAGATCCTCGAAAAGAACATGAATCTAAACCTATAAAGCACCCCAAACTTGGACGAAGTAGGACCATATATATTGCTCAACCACCCACACCGCTTTGGACAGGTGCGCCCGTTCATCTGGCACTTGCTTGCCACCATGCCCCATAGCTTTGACTACAATCTCTCTTCCGATTTGGACGGCATCATGCGTTTAGGTGACTCGGGGGCTTAAGTAATGGAGTACTACAGCTAAGATCCACAATAAAGTTTTGGGATTCGTCCACCTGACGCCACCGGCTATTAATTTTAAATTGCTCTCATGAGGAAATATAGGCAAAGTGCCTCGTTCTGGTGTTGCGTGCAACTTCTATGGCAAGCGAGTCATACCCGCCCTACTTGAAAGATCGGCAATGTCGAAGTTGGAGGGGAGTGTTATTGCCCGTAGTGGCGCTCATGCCTAGCGCCTATACTAGCCGTTGGATGTGGTATGACAAGAACGTTCGGGTCGAGCGGTCCGGAAGTGGCCAAGCAAGCGCTTCGCGGTAGAGCCCCGTCCTTGAGACCTGGGATCCCCCCTCAGTTTCCTTGCAAAGTCGGTTGTAGGCAAGAGGATTGTTCCACCATTTAGGCGAAATACTCTACTTCGCTAAACCTGCCGCTGGTCGCGTTTAAGGATAACAAGGAGACGCTGAGATACTTCTTGGAAGGTGGTGTAAGCGTAAGACTTGCTGCAAACTAAAAAGTGACCCAAGACGATCTTGCTTGGGAAGTAGGGGACATGCCTAGACTGTTCGTGGAAATCCCGGATATGTGAGGCACGAAATGCAGAGCTTGTGAAAGTCTGAGCACGAGTGTGGTTGGATATCGGGTTCTCAGCCCACATATCGAACTTATAATGCGTGGCGCAAGGTAAAGAACGAAAGGCAATCCCTTAGCGATGCCGCACCTGAAACCTCGGCTTTGTCTCCAAAATGGTTGCTCATATTGTCGACTAGCCAACCATTGGCACAAAGGGCATCGGAATCTTCAACAGAGCTCCTCGAAGTGCATAATTCTTTGTTTGCCCACTTGTCGAAGGGATACCCTCAGGTCCATGAGGCCTTGCTCTTCCGACCTTCAGATGGATTACATTGATCCCCTCTACCAGTATCCTGACGCCTTGGCACTTATCGAGATCACCGTCAGCGCAATGGCGATGCTTGTTAAGGGAGCAGTGTTCCCAAGCAGTTAATTTGCGGGTTCATACGTCCGCGTTGCTTGGGGGAGGGTAGATTGGTCCATCAGAACCGTCTCACGATTCGACGTACGGCAAGTTCCCCGTGTCCTGGCCTGGGTCATTTTCACCTTCGCTGTGGGTCCAGAGAGGCCCGGAGGCATAATTCATAAGGAGGTTGAGGATTACGCCAGTATCCTCCAACTCTTGAGTATCGTCAATTCGGCTCATGATATCTCCACACAGCGGCCGCGCGTCGGGCATATTTATATCTCGATCCCTGACTTCCCTGCTGAAGACTGCATGCGCAGTTACTCCCACAGAGTAACTCAAATTTGCCTCGCCTCATTGTTTCCCCAAGGCAATGACATGACTCCTATCCCTGGAACTTCTAATGGTGTACTTCATAGGCTTGAATGTCGTGAGGAGTTTCTTCCCGTAGTGGAACAGAGAATGTCAGTAAACCGGAGAACTGTTCCACCGAAAAGCATAAGCGCCGTTGATCTATATACTCGAGTCTGTGACTGTGAATCGAACGAGCTGCGTGGCACCAAGGCTAGTTTCGATAATCTACTTCTAGTGTAACTACGCCAATTTAGGCAGGACTATTTATGCGCGGGTCTGAATGGCCATTTTCTGAGCAGAGATTGAACGGTTATTATCTTCTGAGTGATCATCTACGGACTAGACCCGATCTCTCCTGACTCAGAAGAAGTCAGATGGGTGGCAATAGAGCGCTAGATGGTCGCGACGATGATTTATACGTAATTGCACAAAAAAAGTGGTTGCCGGCTCGACCATGGGGCGCGGGGAGCTGCATGGTCATGCTCTGAGTCAACAACCGCGACTGATAGGTCGTCCATTTCCAGAACAGCGGCTGTGCGCTTTCGCGGAGCTAGAACGACGAGTTGCTGTGCATGTATGGCCTGCACAAGTCTCAGGCATCTTTGGAAAGATGGACGTGAGGCGTCAGCCTGAGGGTCGTCGAGGAATGGTTATTTCCAAATAAATCTTGTCCTTCAATTTATAGAACTATCCTCATTGGGGACGCGTTTCAAGCGATTAGAGCACAGTGTATACATCCCAGGGATGTTCCTGTATCCTTTCTCCCAAACTCTTCAAACGAGTGGGCGGTTGATGCCTTGACAAATGAAAAAGGACGTTTCTCCTCCCGTATCCCCAAACACCATGAGGGAAGAGATGTGGAGTATATCAAGAGGGGGGAACAGAAGCAGCACAGAAGGCAGAAAGCCACGAGACAGGGAAAGGGGAGACGTGGACCTGTGTTCCGGCGTGGGGGGGGGGCTGAAATGGGCGCTTGTACCACGAATCGGATGACATGAGAAGCACAGGTGCGAGCAGGAGGGAAGGGGAGAACGAGGAGGAAAAGGAACAAGGCGGGCTGGGTCTCAGCGAAGGCCAAAGCGAGATGGCTGATGATAGCGTAAGACCCAAATGATGTTTTCGAATTCGATCGTGCTGTGGTGCGTAACACTCGTTCGGGGCGCCCCACAGTACGTGGTATCAAATGTTAATCCGGGAACTTTTGGTATTTTATTGTCACCGTAGGTTGTCTGGCCATGGCGCGGGACGAGTTAGACCGGATATATTAGTATAACGATATCTGTTCCAAGATGACATTCAGCTCTCCGCGAGGTCTCTGAACTGCGTTATCCACTGGAGGAATACATACATTGTGACTATAGCGCGTGTTTCTGTTTATTATTGCACAAGGTTGTCTGAATTCGAGCTCGGGATAAATTTGAGCAGGGATAATGATATCTTTCCCAAGACGACGTCCGACTTGCAACACAGTTTCCATCTCAACTTTCCACTTAGCCATCGCCGTCCTCGAGGTATGCTGTAGCTCGATAAGCTTCAGGTTTCGACTCGATGGAGAGTTCAGGAAACGCATGAACTCGTGTGGCCCAAAATAGGTCCGCCAAATCAGGGTGCGCAATATGCGAAGTGTTTCAGGTGGTTTGGAGAATGAAGAGAGTGGAATTGGGCTGAGGAGCGAGAGCTCTTCTAAATGTGGGGAGCTTTGGAAAAGTGCACAAGGGAGTTCGGAAAAATCATGCCACTCCCATGTTTTGGTGATATGGAACTGGTCTGAGCCGAGAGGACGACAGGTGAGAATGAGTGTTTTGAGATTGGAAAATGCTTTTGTCGTCTGTATCATCCATAAGAAATCCTTGGGCGTTAACCAGTATGGCCGTTGTACTTCTAAGACACGTAAACGGGAAGTAACATTCTCATCTTCCTCGAGGCACTCTGTACTTTTAAGAAGCTCGAGCATATGGGGCAATCGAGGGGCTGACGTTGTTTTAAGACGAATTTCTGAAAGTCGTGGAAGAGAAGGGAGGTGTGAGATGGGAGTGAAAGGCCGGCGGAATGTGGACATAGGAGTGATTGGATCCCACTCATAAATAATCAAAGTTTCTAATGTCCGAGAAAAATGCTGGAGAGCACAGCGCAACCCATGTGGATAACCTCCATTTGTCCACGTAAAATGCTTCATGGAGGTTGAAGGAGCGACGACAGTCTCAAAGTTGTCATTGAACTGGGTGAGTTCGGCAAAGGCATCATCGTGCCAGCCAAAACTCTCCAAGCCCATCAGGTGCGAACATGATGCAAAAATTTCATTTATCAGCATAGCCCTCTGATTGAACCGAGCCAGCTGATCAGGAACCCTGTCAATGAGAGATGGACGGTCCTTCAAATGATGCGTTCGAGAGTCGAGAATGACGGTTCGAACGAGATTCCCACGAGACTTGAGTGACTCACGGAGAGAATATACGGACGCTTCGGTGCAGATGAATATTGCGATTTTACGATAGAGGCCACGCATCACAGGATCGACCCAATTTCGAGAGACGAGAGCGAGAGATGCCAAAGCAGCACGTTTCTGGATGTAACTCATCACAAATTGACGGAAAGAAGATGAATAGCCATCATCCCCAGGATACAAGTGACGCGGGATGAGGTAGTGAACAATTTCGTGTATAACATCCGAGGGGAGTGTGTTCCAGGATCTGGATGCACGTGCTGGGCCGTCAGTCGCGTGGGCAGGATGTTCCAATCCTGGTCGCAGCTCCTTGATCATGACGGGCCCCTAACGCCGACACTGGGAACTAGGTAGGACTCCAGCTTCTATGATTGCGTAACGAAAGGCCTGTTGTTCTCGTCAATTGCCGTGCGGGGAAGGGCAAGTGCCGACACAACCATACTTGTGTATTACGGTGCTCCAACCAGGCTGGAAAGTGACCCTGCAAGCAAGGTAATGGACAGTTTGCTACATGCAATGGGCCTTGTTTAGATCAAGAAGACAGAGACCGCTGCATTGATTTAAACTATTGTTCGTCCAACCGGAGGGCTTCTGTGTATTCCTCAGCCTGATATTAACGTGTCTTCTACTGATTTTGCATGGAAGAGAACCGTGGCGATATGCACACAGGCAGCTTCTGAAAGCTGCTGAGAAATATGCCTCTGATCTGGTGATCGGCTTTAAATTGGGTGCATACAGGCGCCTCATGATTGAAATCCGACCCCTGCAACACTTGTTGCTGCCATCTTCCCTAGTCCACATGTCATCCCAGGGACAGCCCTCATCGCCTCTTAATACTCCAACTCAAATATTTCAGACTCGATTACCCGCTGTGGACCAAGGCCGCCTTGCAGGCGTCCTGGAGAGACAAAGGAAACAGCATTCTAGGTATTTTGGTATCGGGAGGCCTGCCAATGAGACAGTACTCTATGGCCCTGTCAATGCCATTGTGAATGCTGTATTCCCGGATAACAGTTTATACAGGCCTATGCAGCAGTACACACTAGAAGATGGGAAGCGGGACCAACGCGAACTGCTGCGACCTGACATTACCGTAGTAACGGATACAGAACTTTTCGATCAACACTCGGATTCCCTCACCTGCTTGGTGATAGAGGTGAAGAATAAGCCACTTTCTGCTAAAGATAGGAAGGAGGACACAAGGAAAGCGGTGGATCAACTCTATCGGTACATGGTTGATGCCTACCAAAAGAGAAATTGTACGGATGTGCTATACGGCATTGCCATCGTGGGCTTTCGAATGTACCTGTACCAGATGATGGGCATAGCTGCACGGATGACTCACGTCAAAGATGGATTTGCCCCAAATTTTCTAGACGACAGTGCAACCGAGCTTTGGATGGACATTCGCAAATTGGTTGACAATGAAGTCCGTTTGAAGTCACCTACGTGGCCGCGTGCAACTCGCTCTCTCAACAGCAGTGTGGGTGTGGCCCAACAAGATGCTGACATGGAGAGATTCCAAGATACGATGGAAGATCTCTTTGAAGATGCCGAGGCATTGAAATTCCCTCCAATGCCTGAACCCAAAGACCCCAATGCATTCGGTGCTGCGTCTTACCTACCAGGCCTTAGCCCTGCAAACACTGATTCTACTGGGCACCGTGAAATCGACAGCCCAATACAACTTCGCTCAGCTGATCGGGTTGGGGGGACTCTCTCATACATCCCATTCTTCGATTCCCCTGCCTCAAGCAGCTTGAGCAGCGATCACGGAGTCAGCAAGACACCGCGTCTCCCCGGCAGTGCCCAACAGATGTCCATCCCCCAGCCAGGCCAAACACGGCCTTTTCAGGGGATTCGATCCATGCCCGCTGCTCATTCAGGTGGAATGCCAATCACTCCAAGAGCTCCCTCGGACTCACTGCTGCAACCTGTTGGAACTCCATCCTCTCCGAGTCTTCTCATGCCTCCATTGGAATCCCCTGAATCACCACTCCACCGCTTCTCAACACAAAGGCGGCAGCTGCAGATAACTAATAATGTTAATGCAATTGGTATCCTTGTGAGAGACCAGGATCAGTCCTCTGGTACTGCAAGTCGAGGTGAACCTGAAGAGGTTCAAGTTCCTCGAGGTGGCACTGGCTGGAACCCGAGCTATGCTGCTAATGCGCCTAGAACACCTGAACCAATCGGCCGGCGCACCATAACGGACCGGTACTCTATCCCGGCTTCACATGCACCTTCAATGAGCAGTCAACCACGTAACTTTCCGGCTCCCAACATCGTTTTGCAACGCTCGCGGCACTTTCACGCGTCCGAGCGAAATGTCGACAATAATAGCCCCGATACGCCCTCCCCCTCAACCGTTACAAGTGGGATTGATCAGAACAGGGGAAGTGATGCCCAACCAACTCGCCCATAGGTCGCATCGTACGTAGCAAGGGGGTTCTTGCCATCACACTATTGTTGAACACGATTGCTTGTAGATCCAACAAGTGCATGAGCTCGTAGCATGATCATCTCTTTATAGAATGGGACCAAAGGCACTGATGTCTTACTATGTCCACGGGCGTTCTGTTCTCTCTTGTATTGTTGTTTAGAAGACCCAAGCGGGCCGTTACATACAGAAAGTGAATGATAGACACGTGCACTGTGTTCCACAGGATAACTGGGCACCGGATCTTTAGATTCCTATGCCTCCCCATATGCGAGTCCGGCGATTCTCTTCAAGATTATATCCGCTAGTCGCTTCGCCATTGCAATGGTTGTTGCTGTAGAGTGGGCCACAATCTGGTTCGGGAAGACTGAAGCCTCACATATGTGCAAGTTCTGGACATGCAAAGAAGCTTTCGGTGACTCAGCCATCCGAGCCGTAGTAGTCTATTTCCACTCCCCATCAGCTCCCACATAACTCCGCGTTCTGGATGATACACTGTCTCGGCATGCAGTCTTCAATCTCTTTATCAAAGTCTAAGGATTTTGATCAGCAAGCCAGTACATGTTCGTCGTATCATTGTTCAGTTTCTCCTTAGGGTCGACAAAAACAAGGTGGTCCGAAAGTGGCTTGGTGCGTGCTACCTTCAACACGATGCGATGCGGAGGCCTGGCACGAGGGCCTGCAAATCAACTTTCAACTCCAGATAACTGGATTGTAATGGTTAGATAAGATACCATACAAGGTTGGTGAACATACTTCGGTCCGCAAATCACCTTATCGGATACATTCCTGGATCGCACCTTGGCTCTCAGGCCTGAGATGAATAAGTAGCTTTCGAAACCAATTGTCATGATATGTTCATTAGGATAGGTCAGTACTGTGATCGCTCACTATGACTTTCCGCCTGGCTCAACGGGGATAGAACCAGCATGGAAATATGTCACAGGAAAGCTGACAAGTCTAATATCGGGCGGGTCTGGCCCTGACGTTGTATCTGGTACCAGGGCATCAGAGAGACTTGATGAGTTGGACCTCCACGGCTTCCTGGATGAAGTCAATTTAGAAAAAAAAAATTCGGCGAATCAAGGCAGAGAAAAGTGACACAGTCCGTGTGCTGAGCCACTACGTTAGCAACTTCAAAGAAAAAGTGGCGGGAACAAACATTAGGGCAAAATGGACCTGTGCCGAAAGGGCGTGTTGGAGAAGATACAAGCTTTGAATGATTGAGATAATCAGCTGAGACCTAGAGCGGAAAATGGCGGAAACCGTGAGATGCTGAATGACGGTTGGTACAAAAAAAATAGAATATTGACAGTTAGCCAGATTTTTCGTGTACAGGCGTCGCTCAGGTTCATTCCACGTGTATGCCGAGGCCTTCTGCGTCGGGGACTAGGCCGGAGATTTCCACCTTCAGTAGCACGTCGTCGGGTCTGGTCCCAGTATCTGCAGCATGTTGATCGCTCCTGCGCACAGAATGACTTCCTTCTTGGCAACAATTTGAGTCTCATTTGCGTGTGGCGGCACTCCAGCTGATGGAACCTCGACCACTATGCAATTGGGATTAGGATCGTCATGTGCATCAGCAGATGAGAGAAGGAGCCCCAAGATATAAGGACGGGACGTGCAACGACAGCGGGCAAAAGATAAGCAGTAGAAGGGGGACTTCCCGCTGCATTGGTGGTTCCGATAGATCCCTCAACTAAGAGAAGCCAATGAATGTATCGATGATAACCTGCTGCCTGGCTCTGGAAGTTTACTGATCAGTCAAGTTCCATTCGTAGTATCTCCGGCGAATACATATGTTGAAAACTGGGCCGAGATTCCGTCAGCTAGGCTACAACCTTAGCAACCTAGTCATTATTCAACGCCGCATGTCTTGGCACTGAAGATCGTTCTACATCTAGCTCAGTGTCACATTAGACAACATGCATCATTCAGTGGCCACAGTGGTTCTCAGCACCGCCAGTACCTGAACTTTTCATTGGGTGACACTGCGGGCTAGGATCGCGGACATGGCCTCAAGATTTATTTGAAAAGGCCCGCAGTTGAAATTAAATTGGCAACATCATACCGGTGGTGGCAATCATACCCACCTGGATCAGATGGCGCAAACAGTGCGAGTCAGGTGAGACGAGAATCGCGTTGGGGGTGCCGAGGATGGGAGGGGCCCGTATCCCAGTGACCCCCGACATCGAGAATGGCCGCTTCTTGTTCGTGCGCACCTCGAATGGATTAAGGTGCAGAGAGGAACAGGAGCACAGAGAGCCATGGGGTATGAATGGGTCTGTGTTCCGGCGTGGTGGGGGCTGTACTTTGAGGAAATGCACTTGTCCAAGCCCTCGAGCCCAACGAATCGAATGAAACGAGAGACACAGGGGCGATCATGAGGGAAGGCGAGAACGAGGAGAAACAGGGACAAGGCTGGGCTGGTCTCAGCGAACGGCAAAGCAAGATGACTGCTGATAGCGTAATAAGCGGTAGGGTAAGGTCCAGAGGGTGTTTTCGAGTCCGATCATCATTCCCAGTGCGAGGCATTCGTATGGGGCGCCCAATGGTACACGGGACCAAAATGCTAACCCGGGCACTTCCCCTCATTTTATTGTCGCCCCAGGGTTGTCTGGCCATGGCGCGGGACAAGTTAGAGAGGGTATATTAGTATAACGATATCTGTTCCAAGACGACATTCAGCTCTCCGCGAGGTTTCTGAATTGCTTTGTCCACTGCGGGAATACATACAGAGCGACTGTAGCGCACGATTCTGGCTATTATTGCACCAGGTTGTCTAAATTCGGGCTCGGGATAAATTTCGGTGGGGATGATGGTATCTTTCCCAAGATGACTTCCAACTTGCAACACAGTTTCCATCTCAACTTTCCACTCGGTCATCGCCGACCTCGAGATATGCGGAAGCTCGATAAGCTTCAAATTTCGACTCAATGGGGAGTTCAGGAAGCGCATGAATTCATGCGGCCCAAAATAACTGCACCAAATCAGGGTGCGCAATATGCGAAGTGTTTCAGGTGGTTGGAGAATGAAGAGAGTGGAATTGGACTGAGGAGCGAGAGCTCTTCTAAATGTGGGGAGCTTTGGAAAAGTGCACAAGGGAGTTCAGAATAGTCATACCACTCCCATGTTTTGGTGATATGGAACTGGTCTGAGCCGACCGGACGACAGGTGGGAATCAGCATCCTGAGATTGGAAAATGCTTTTGTCGTTTGTATCATCCATAGGAAATCCTTGGGCGTTAACCAGTATGGCCGCTGCACTTCTAGCACAGGTAAACGGGAAGTAACATTCTCGAGACATTCTGTACTTTTAAGAAGCTCGAGCATATGGAGCAATTCAGGGCCTGACGTTTTTTTAAGACGGATTTCGGAAAGTCGTGGAAGAGAAGGGAGCCGCAAGATGGGAGTGAAAAGCCGGCGGAATGCGAACACAGGAGTGATTGGATCCCATTCATAAATAATCAAGGTTTCTAATATCCGAGAAAGGTGCTGGAGAGCACAGCGCAGCCCGTGTGAACACCCACTCGTCCACGTAAAATGTTTTATGGAGGGAGCGACGACAGTTTCAGAATTGTCATTGAACTGGGCGAGTTCGGCAAAGGCATCATCGAACTCTCCAAGCCCATCAAGTACGAACATGATGCAATAATTTCGCTTATCAGGATAGCCCTCTGATTGAACCGAGTCAGCTGATCGGGGAACTTGTCAATGAGAGATGGTTCCTTCAAATGACGGGTTTGGGAGTCGAGAATGATGGTTCGAACGAGGTTCCCATGGGACTTGAGTGATTCGCGGAGAGAATATACGGATGCTCCGGCCCAGATGAATATTGCGATTTTACGATAGAGGCTACGCATCACAGGGTCGACCTAATTACAGGAGACGAGAGCAAGAGCTGCCAAAGCGGCACGTTTCTGGATGTAACTCGTCACAAATTGGCAGAAAGATGTGTAGCCATCATCTCCAGGATACAAGTGACGTGGGATGAGGTAGTGAACAATTTCGTGGACAATATCCAAGGGGAGTGTGTTCCAGGATCTGGATGCACGCACTGGACCCTTCGGGTGAGTTCCAACCCTCGTCGCAGCTCCTTGATCATGACGAGTCAAACCCCTAACGCCGACCCTAGAAATGAATCAACCTAAGTAGGACTCTAGCTTCTGTGACTGCGTAATATGATGCGGAAAGGCCAACTGTGTTGTTGGTCTCTCGTCAATTGCCGCACGGGGAGCAAGTGCCGACGTAACTATATTGCGATCACCTGTGGCGTCTTCGAAGGCCATGGTTTGCTGCCAGTTTGACGCAACGGACCTTGTTTAGATCGAGAGGACGAGGACCTTTGCATTGATCGTCATTCCTTCAACCTGAAGGTTTCCGTGTATTCTTCAACCTCAAATACTCCATTTCCGTGGTGTGCTTATACCAGCCTGGCCATTATCAACATGTTATACGTGAAAGAAGAGAACCGTCCATAATGCCAGCAATACTACACGGTCAACTTATGAAGGCTATGAAAGAAAACATCTCTCCCGTATGATATGCTTCTGATTTGATGAGCCCGGGCTTTTAATACGGGCACTTCATGTTCGAAACCTAACCCCTGCAACATTTCTTGCTGCCATCTTCCCTGTCTTCTATGTCATCCCAAGCACAGCGCTCATCAGCCAACACAAATATTTCAGATTCGATTATCCGCTGCGGACCAAGGTCGCCTTGCATGCAGGTGTCCTGGAGAGACAATGGAAACAGCATTCTGGGTCTTTCGGCATCGGGAGGCCTGCCAACAAGACAATACTTTATGGCCCTGTCCATGCCATTGCGAATGCTGTGTCCCCGGGAAATAGTTTGTACAGGCCTATGCAGCAGTATACGGGAAGCGGGATCAACGCGAACTGCTGCGACCTGACATTACGATCAAAGACTCGGATTCCCTCACCTGCTTGGTGATAGAGGTGAAGAGTGAGCTAAAGATAGGAAGGAGGACACAAAGAAAGCGGTGGATCAACTCTATCGGTACATGATTGATGCATATCAAAAAAGACATTGTCCAAGTGTGCTATACGGCATTGTCATTGTAGGCTTTCGAATGTACCTGTACGTCCCGATGATTCATGTCGAGTCGGGATTTGCCCCAAATTATCCAGCCAACAGTGCAACCGAGCCTTGGATGGGAATTCGCAAATTGGTCGACGACGAAGTTGCGCCCGAAGTCACTTACGTGGCCGCGTGCAACTCGCTCTCTCAACAGCAGTGTGGGTGTGGCCCAACAAGATGCCGACATGGAGAGACCCCAATGTATTCGGTGTCGCATCTTACCTACCAGGTCTTACACTGACTTCACTGGGCACCACGAAATCGAGAGCCCAATACAACTTCGTTCAGCCGATCGGGTTGGGGAAACTCTCCCGTACATCTCGTTCTTCGATTCCCCTGCCTCAAGCAACTTGTGCAGCAATCATCGAGTTGGCGGAACACCACGTCTCCCCGCGGCCGGGCAGTGCCCAACAGATGTCCGCCCCCAGCCGGGCCAAACACGGCCTTTCAGGGGATTCGATCCATTCCTGCCGCTCATTCAGGTGGAATGTTGGGAACTCCGCTGCAACTCGTCGGAATACCATCCTCTCCGAGTCTTCTCATGCCTCCATTGGAATCCCTTGAATCACCAGTAGTAGACATATTTTCTGGTTGGATAATACCCCGTGGCGGATTTGATCCTAAGGACAGGGCGTAAAGGCAATAGCTTTCCATAGATATCCGAAGGTCTAGACTCTGAGTGTTTAGATAGGAAGCAGGTAAAATCAAGTGGAAGTATATACATAGTAGTTTCCTAGAAAGAATAGGTTATTTTTCACACATTGATCATGGGCGGGGACACATCAAAAACATAACAGGTACACAATATACATCAGAGCACGCATCCGAGGGATCAGAGTGATATAGACATAACCAAAGAGCACAACATATTTTGGATCACTACGATCGATCTCACAAGATTGACGCCAAAGGTAAGGGAGATTACTAAATCAGATTAGTAGTTCGAAGGTTAAGTCTCAGGCCGCCGTTCGGTATCTGCCGGTCCGTGCACGAACGGGGCCAGGCCCAAGAATTTAAAATTCCAGCGGCGATGGCATGCGCGTCCAGTTCCTGAAGCTATTAATTGGAGTAGAAGCCGTTTGTTGCGTCAGTTCCTCCACTCGAACCGGCTCTATGTCTTATCCTCCACCAAGTTATTAATATGTTATTTTTCCATTATCCTGCACTGACGCAAGTCCTAACCCCGTCGGCATGAAACGTTCTGACGTCACATTGCCTATAAGAACGATATCCTCTGATCATGAGTCCCCTCAGCCTCTGCCCTCTCTTTGACGGTCTACTTCATGTACGTCCGTACTCAAAAGGTCTTCACCCGTCCTCACATCCTTCTAGAAGCTCTGAGTTTTACAACAAGACCACGATCGAGTAGCACTTTCAATGTCCATCCTCACACGAAAGATCAAGGACGTCGAGATTTCAGGCAAGTAACCGAGCATATATGATATGCCGTCTCGGATTTGACGTCAAACTTGCTTTTGCACCCCAGCCATTGGATATGGCACCATGGGTATAGGTGGCATGGCCTATGGTGAGGCCGCTGACGATGAGGAGCGTTTCAAGGTGAGGCATAAATACAGAGTAATGTTAGAGAAACATTATGAGAATCCTTTTTTTTTCTCATTAGGTTCTCGATCGCCTTTATGAAATTGGTTGCAGGAATTGGGACACTGCCGACATCTATGTATGCTCTTTCTTCTCGCTCCGTATTGGGTTTGCTCATGTATGGATGCATTTGGACCATGGCAGGGAGACGCAGAAGACCTGATCGGAAAGTGGTTTAAACGTGAGTTCCTTTTAACCCGCTCCTCATTGACAATCAGTTCCACTTTTCTCACTTATCTGAAGGCACGGGAAAACGGAATGATATCTTTCTTGCTACCAAGTTTTCATTCTTCAAGGATAAAGATTCACAATTGACTCTTCGTGGGGACCCTGAGTATGTCAAACAAGCAGCTGCAGCTTCCTTGAAGCGGTCCGTCTATCTCGTACTAGTCTTTTCCCTCATGAACACTGATCCTTCTTACCGCCGGATTTCCAGTCTCCAAACGGATCACATTGATCTTCTTTACCAGCACCGACCCGATCCCAAGACGCCTATCGAGTTAACCGTGGGCGCGATGGCGGAACTCGTCGCGTACGTCTCATTTCTTTCTGTACTCATCACCACGTGTTTGCTCATTTGCTTCATTCAAGTGAGGGCAAGGTGAAGTGGCTTGGTCTGTCTGAGGCATCTCCGAAGACTATCAGGCGCGCATACAAGGTTCACCCTATTGCTGCAATCCAAGTCGAGTTGGTATTCGTTATTGGACTTACTTATATCTCTCACTCATAATCCCGAACCAGGTACTCACCTTTCGCTCTCGAACCCGAACAACCTGGAGGCATCATCGATACTGCTAGGGAACTTGGAATTGCGTAGGGGCTGCGTTACTTCCACTTCAAGGCCAAACGCTCTAACACCTTTGTGTTTTTTTTTTTCCAAATAGGATTGTCGCATATTCTCCTACCGGCCGAGGCCTCATCACCGGGCGTTACAAATCTCCGGATGACTTCCCTCCAGAGGATTTCCGTCGACACATCCCTCGTTACAGCCGAGAAAACTTTCGACACGTCCTAGCCCTTGTTGAAGTCTTCAAACGTATCACAGAATCTCGCCCTGGAACGACTCCGGCCCAAATCAGTATCGCTTGGTTACTTGCACAGGGCAATGACATCATTCCGATCCCCGGAAGTAAACAATTGAACTATGTCGAGGAGAATTGGGATTCTATTCATATCAAGCTTAGCGAGGCGGAGTTGAAGGAGTTGAGGGATAGTATCAAGAATGTTGAAGCGCATTTGGGCCCGGAGGCGAGGTATCCCGAAGGGCTCATATCTCAGCTCTATGCTGATACTCCCGAATTGAAGGAGTGAAGGTCTGCTCCAGTGAATGCCTTTCTGCGGTGGCCGATGACCTGTTTTCTGCTTATTATAGCGAAGGGGTGTCCAAAGAGCTCATGACGAATGGCTTTTCCACAAATTATGCCTGCACAGATGTTTTTTCAAAGTTGCTTGTCGGATAAATTCTGTAACAATGTTCCCGGTCACAAGTCATCATTTGCGCGGTTGTAACAATATATCAAACGAAATAAATGCGCAATGTAACTCTGGTTAACCAAATAGTGAGCTCGGCAAAGTGGGGGAAGCTTTGCATGGGAAAAAAAAAACGATCGATAAGCAACACTGAACTTTGAAAAACGAGTTATCCCCATACAGAACTTATTTATTTTTTTCGTGCGCGTGTGTAATCTGCCGTAGCTTTCGCTCTCAAAGACAACTGGTGGATGCAGCATGTCGCCCACTATTCTTACGTAATATTTCATACAATTGTTAGATAATCCTCTATGACATAATAACTAGAGACCTTAAACCCGTGGGGTGCTCGTTCCTCGCACACCCACGCGTTCTTCGGTCTCTAGCTCCTGCGGAGGGCATCGGGGCTGCGCCCCGAACCCCCCTGGGGCGTTGCCCCAGACCCCATTGGGGCTCCGCCCCATGCAACGACATCCTTGGTATTATTGTTCCCCATGTGCTAAAGAAATAATGAGATATATGGTGATTATTTATGAACCAAGGGGCCAGCCCCTTGAACCCCAGCTCCTGCGGAGAGCTATTGGGGCGTTGCCCCAAGCCCCACTCCTGCGGAGAGCCTGGGGCTGCGCCCCAAACCCCCCTGGATATATTTGATTATTTTTTACACCAAGGGGCCAGCCCCTTGAACCCCTGCTCCTGCGGAGGGCCATCAGGGCGTTGCCCCGAACCCCACTCCTGCGGAGAGCCTTGGGGCTGCACCCCAAACCCCCCCCCCCCCCCCCCCCCCATTAATCATGTACACAAATGAGAAATGCCTTTTCCCCTGTTGACAATGCACTGGAAGTGGGGCCTGCTACACACAAATTACATGGACCACATACCCACCTTACACCCTTGAGCACATTTGTGTATTTTTATTTGCTGTTTTTCTGGCTATTTCCACAAATTTACCATGAAATTTGTTCATTCTCTATCAGGTTTTTTGCTGTTATTTATAAAGCAGTGTTCCCCATGTTGCCATGATTTTTTTTGATTTTATTTTATAGAGAGCACCTTTTATTTTTCTATCTTTTTATTCTTTCCTGTCCCCTGTTGCCGTGAATTATCTGGATTTTAATTTGTATAGAATACCTTGGTATTATTTTTCTTGGTTTTCCCACATTGCCGCAATTTTTTCAGATTTTATTTTATATAGAATACCTTGGTTTTATTTTTGGATGTTTCTATTTCATGTTGTCCCATGTTGCCGTGAATTTTTCGAATTTTTACCTTATCTGGAACCTTAGTTCATTTGGTTCTGTTGTTGGAAACTCCGGATTTTAACTTACTTACTTCCTATTTATTTATCTATTTTACATGCTAATAGCGAAAATACAAAGAAAAAAACAATACCACCATTGATTGTACATGCCAATTTTCGACAAAAAAACAATAACTTATACAACAAAAATACTACTACTACTACTACTATTACTATAATTATTTATTCACTATTTACTACTATTATTATTATTATTATTATTTACGACTATTATGACCTATTTATCTACCTATTTTATCTATTTATCTATCTATTTTATCTATTTTACATGCCAAAGTCACATGGGAACAAAAAAGAATTGCTCCCATGAGGGGGTGTAAACCGGTTTTGAGTGGGGGTATTAGTACTTTTTCGCTTATGTCTGTGCGCGAACAAAGTTGTGGGAGGTTACACTCAATTACTCACGTGAATTTCCTCAAACTAAACATATACACGTGATTTTTCACATAAACCTATCATATCTCTCTCAGTTCTCATCCGTTTCTCGTCGGGTTTTTTTCAATGGGCGCGTCTTGATGTCCTCTACATGTTGTATTATTAGTCCGACTCGTCGTTCGGCGATCCCGAGGAGACTATGGCGATTTTCTCATTTCCCACACAAAACTGTATGGTATTATTCTTATATCTCGCTTAATACCTTACCAAATGTTTTATGAATTTGCGTACTAATTTATATATTATCAACGCAAGTTTTTGACATTTTTTTATATTTTTTTAACATGCCGTGAGGCACTGGAAGACGTTTCCCACGCACAGACCACGCGCAGAGCAGACACTACATTTGTATCTCTGTCAGTTCTTATTCGTTTCCCTTCGGGTCTTTTTCAACGGGCGCGTGTTAATGTCCTCTACAATTTGTATTATTACCTCAACTCGATATTATGCGATTTTGAGGGTGCCAAGTGGAAATTAATCACATAATTTATTATATCTCGCTTGATACTGGCCCGAATGTCCTGAAATTTTGCGAACCATTTTATATAGTATTAACGCAGGTACCTGGTTTTTTTTCATATTTTTAGAACATCTGTAGGGTGCTGGGGACCGTTTCCCACGCACAGATCAGCCGCGGAGCTGACACTGGATTGGTATCTCCCTCAGTTCTTGACCGTTTTCCGTCGGGTTTTTTTTAATGGGCCCGGATTAACTTTCTTTACATTTGGTATTGTTAGTGCAAGTCGTGAATCGGCGTGTATGAGGAAGTAGCACGATTTTTCCACAAATAAACCATGTACATTAGTATCTCTGTCAATTCCCATTCGTTTTTCGTTGGGTTTCTTTCGATGGGCTCATACTACCTCCCTGGTCATTTTCTATTATTGGTTCAAGCCGCGAATGAGCGCGTATGAGGCGGTAGGACATGTTTTTACATTTTTTCACAAAAAAACCATGTACATTCGTATCTCAGTCAATTATCATTCGTTTTTCGTCGTTCTTTTTTTTACATGCTTGTACTAACGCCCTCATCTCTTTATATTATTGGCGCACATCGCGAATGAGGGTGTATGAGGCGGTGGGATGTTTTTTCACATTTTTTCACACAAAAACACATGTACATTCGTATCTCTGTCAAATCTTGTTTGTTTTTCGTCAAGTTTTTCTCAATGAGCTCGTCCAAACGGCCTCTCTATACCGTATTATTAACCTTAGTCATCAAACAGCTTGTATGAGGCCGTGGACACTTTTCCCACACTCAAAACACGCGCTGGCATGGGCCACACCCCATATCTCTCTCAGTTTTCAACCGTTTTGCATGGGGTTTTTTGCAATGGGTTCATGCCAACGTCCTCTCCATTCTTTATTATTGCCTCGCCACAGGTTATCCAGCTCAATGGCAAGATGCCACCAACAGGCTTGAGCGCGGGAAAAGCTTATATAATTAACTGTGAAACAATACATTCAACCTCACTTAAGTATATACTAGAGACCTTAAACCCGTGGGGTGCTCGTTCCTCGCACACCCACGCGTTCTTCGGTCTCTAGCTCCTGCGGAGGGCATCGGGGCTGCGCCCCGAACCCCCCTGGGGCGTTGCCCCAGACCCCATTGGGGCTCCGCCCCATGCAATGACATCCTTGTTATTATTGTTCCCCATGTGCTAAAGAAATAATGAGATATATGGTGATTATTTATGCACCAAGGGGCCAGCCCCTTGAACCCCTGCTCCTGCGGAGAGCTATTGGGGCGTTGCCCCAAGCCCCACTCCTGCGGAGAGCCTGGGGCTGCGCCCCAAACCCCCCTGGATATATTTGATTATTTTTTACACCAAGGGGCCAGCCCTTGAACCCCTGCTCCTGCGGAGGGCCATCAGGGCCTTGCCCCGAACCCCACTCCTGCGGAGAGCCTTGGGGCTGCGCCCCAAACCCTGCGCTGCCAATCATACACAGGAATGAGAAATGCCTTTCCCTCTTGGCAATGCACTGGGAGTGAGGCCCTGTTTTCCTTCATTTCCTGCCCATTTCTGCAAACCCACCACCCCAACTGATCAAGTTTTGTCTGTTATTCCTTTGTAAGTTTATAAAACAGTGTTCCCCATATTGCCATGAATTCTTTTGGATTTTATTTTATGGAGAGCACCTTGCTTTTATTTTTCTGTCTTTTTATTCCATGTTGCTGTGAATTTTCTGGATTTTATTTTATAAAAAATTTATTTTCCTTTGTTGTCCACACTGCCGCAATTTTTTCAGATTTTATTTTATACAGAACACCTTGGTTTTATTATTTTTGGATGTTTCTGTTTGATGTTGTTCCAAGTTGCCATGAATTATCTCAAATTTTACCTTATATAGAACCCCTCATTTGATTCTGCTCCAGATTTTAATTATTCAATTAGTATTTATCTATTTATTTTACATGCTAATGGCGAAATACAAAGAAAAAAACAGTACCACCATTTATAATACATGCCAATTTCGAAAACATAACCAAACATAACTAATACAACACCACTATTACTATTATTATCTAATTGTATATGCTAATTAGCGAAAACAACAAAAAACAATAACTAATACAACAGCAAAACTGCTACTACTACTACTATTTATTAATAACTAATTAGCGAAAACAACCAAAAAAAAAAATAACTAATACAACAACAACAACAAACAACAACTACTACTATTTTTATTTTATTATTATTTTATTACTATTTACGATTATTATGACCTATTTATCTACTTTTATTTACCTATCTACCTATTTTATCTATTTATCTACCTATTTTTACATGCCAAAGTCACATGGGAGCAAAAAAGAGTTGCTCCCATGGGGGGTTTGAACCGGTTTTGAGTGGGGGTATTAGTACTTTTTCGCATATGTCTGTGCGCGGAAAAAGTTGTGGGAGGTTAACCTCATTACTCACGTGAATTTCCTTAAACTGAACATATACACGTGATTTTCACATAAATCTCTCATATCTCTGTCAGTTCTCATCCGTTTCTCGTCGGGTTTTGTTCCATGGGTGCGTCTCAATGTCCTCTACATGTTGTATTATTGGTCCGACTCGTCGTTCGGCGATCCTGAGGAGATTACGGCGATTTATCGCATTCCCATGCACAAACTGTATAGTAATCTATTATATCTCGCTGGATACTTTACCAAATGTTTTAAAAATTTGCGTACTAATTTATATATTATCAACGCAAGTTTTTGACATTTTTCCATATTTTTTTTAACATGCCGTGAGGCACTGGAAGACGTTTCCCACGCACAGACCATGCGCGGAGCAGACACTACATTCGTATCTCTGTCAGTTCTTATTCGTTTCTCCTCGGGTTTTTTTCAACGGGCGCGTATTAAATTCTCCTACAATGTGTATTATTACCCCAACCTGATACTTTGCGATCCTGAGGGTGCCAAGTGGAATTTAATGGAATAATTTATCATATCTCACTTGATATTGCACCAAATGTCCTGGAATTTTGCGAGCTATTTCATATAGTATTAGCGCAAGTACTTGGTATTTTTACAGATTTTTAAAACATCTGTAAGGTGCTGGGGACCGTTTCCCACGCACAGATCATGCGCGGAGCTGACACTGGATTTGTATCTCTGTCAGTTCTTATTCGTTTCTCTTCGGGTTTTTTTAACGGGCGCGTGTCAATGCCCTATACAATGTGTATTATTACCTTAACCTGATATCTTGCGATCTTGAGGGTGCCAAGTGAAATTTAATGGACTAATTTATCATATCTCGCTTGATACTGCACCAAATGTTTTGAAAATTTGCATGCTACTTTAAATATTATTAACCCAAGTACTTGATATTTTTACATATTTTTAAAACACCTGTGAGGTGCTGGAGAACGTTTCCCACGCACAGATCACCCGCGGAGCTGACAGTGGATTGGTATCTCTGTCAGTTCTTGACCGTTTCTCGTCGGGTTTGCTGCAATGGGCCCGTACTAACATTTTATGCATTTGGTATTATTAGTGCAAGTCGTGAATCAGCATGAGTGAGGAGGTGGAACGTTTTTTCCACAAATAAACCATGTACATAATTTTCTCTGTCAATTTCCATTCGTTTTTCGTCGGGTTTCTTTTAATGGGCTTGTATTAACTCCCTGGCCATTCTATATTATTGGTGCAAGCTGCGAATGAGCGCGTATGAGGCGGTAGGACGTGTTTTTACATTTTTTCACAAAAAAACCATGTACATTCGTATCTCTGTCAATTATCATTCGTTTTTCGTCGTTTCTTTTTGTACATGCTTGTATCAACGTCCTCGTTATTTCATATTATTGTCGTACATCTCAAATGAGGGTCTATGAGGCGGTGGGACGTTTTTTCACATTTTTTCACACACAAAAGACATGTACATGCATATCTCTGTCAAATCCCATTTGTTTTTCGTCGGGTTTTTTTTAATGAGCTTGGATAAACAGTCTCTCCATTTAGTATTATTAGCGTGCATCGTCAAACAGCCTGTATGAGGCTGTGGAGACTGTTTCCCACGCACACACCTCGCGCAGGGATGGGCCACACCCCATATCTCTCTCAGTTTTCAACCGTTTCGCATGGGGTTTTTTGCAATGGGTTCATGCCAACGTCCTCTCCATTCGTTATTATTGCCTTACTACAGGTCATCCAATGCAATGGCAAGATGCCACCTTGAGGCCTTCAGCGCGGGAAAAGCTTATATAATTACTTGGAATCAATACATTCAACCTGACTTCATTGTAGATTGTAGATAAGTATATATCCACACCGTCTGGCCGTTTTTAGAATCAAATCTCACATTTTCATTGTCAGGGAACGTGCTGGGGGTCGCATTCAGGTCTACTAGCGGGAGAGAGTCGCCACCCCAATCGTAAGATGGACGGGTCTGCAGTATATAGCTGTAGCCGCAACGACCCGTATCGGATAGGATACTATATATAGTTCGCGCGCTTATGTAGGTTGAATGGTTTGATCCTCGGGGCTTCTTTTGACACAGGAGATGTCGATGCTTGCACACAAAGTGGGTCACTTCTACACGTTGTTTTTCCATTCAATTTACATAAATGCGTAGCAACGACGAACCAACCCCAATTTTACCTTCACAGTGAGGGTAGCAGCTTATCATCTTGTCTCAACCATCTCTTCCGTGAAAACATCTGGTCTTGTCCTATCCAAAGTTCGTAAACTATCCAATCAGCAAATCGTCTCAGAAGCTAGGCCCAGATACATGTGGAGATCCTTGAAAAGTTCGCCACCCTCGCACTTATTTCGGGTTTCCACTGCGTGACGGGCAGCGTGGCCCTTCCTTTCCACCTTCCTGTTCTCTTGGGGCAATGCTTATGACCTTCTGAGGCGCACGAGGCGCAGAGAGGAGTTGAAAGTCGTTGCATTGGAACGCAATCTAGCCCTCAGGAAGATCGAACTCGAAGACGTGGCCTTCTCCATTATGATCGCCTTGATATCCTCGACGTCAGAGAAACAGGGAGGCATCGATCTCAATGATCTCGCTCTTGATTTGACATCCCAGCCGTCTGATTTGCTATCGATGGATGTGTCTCGCGTGCCCAAAGCATCTGAGCCCGGCTCTGGGCCGGTTGACGGGTTCCAGGATCTGAGTGTCCATCTGTATGATGCCACTACGTCTGCGCTTTCTGGGGGGAATAACATCAGTCTGTCAGACGAGGTACACTCTCCGTCCTTTACTAGCACCCCGAAGTTCACACCTTTATCTGCAGGTTGGTAAACAGGGAACAAAAAAGGTTACTTGAGACGAAATTGTTGGTAAGTGAAGATTGTTACGGCTTTCACGTATGGTGCGTGCTAACAGCATCACCAGAAGGAATCATCTGATCCAAAAGAGGAGCCACCTAGAGGCTCCAGTGGTCGGAAGATGGGGCAGTCGCTCGGAGGAGGTGGTGCGGTGGTTGGCGGATCCTCTAATGCAGGGAGTACGCCAAGTGCGCCGGGTGATACTTGTCCAGTGGAGGAACGATTCCAGGTGTGTCTACCTTAGCTTCGTTCGACCTCTTAATTTTTTTCTGATCCAAGTGCAGCTCCAGGTGCGCCCAAAAAGTTGTTTTTTTGTTCCTGTACTAACGACTCGTTTTCAGCAATTAACTGGTATGGGTTTTACCAACGCGCAACAGAATATTCGGGCATTATTAGCTACGGGTGGCAACGCGCACGCCGCGATTGGGTACATTCTGGAAGGCGGTGGCCTGTAGAGTAACCGGCAGCCGGTATGGTCGATATGGAACGATTGGCGAAGGTGATCAAGAATGCCCACCACGAATTATCTATCTGCATTGTTTTTATTTATTCCGAAAACCGAAATTGATAAAACATGCAGGTGCTTCGCTGATCTTTTCATTCCCGATCGATTTCTTGGTCGACAGGGATAGCGATAGATGGTGAACCCAGATGGCTCTTCATCTTCATTCCAGTTGTTAGACGCGGGAATGGGCTCAGGCGCTCCATCATTAACGCCCAGGGAAATGGTCTTTGCCCGGTTCGGGTGGTTCAGGCACTCGTAAGAGTACCCAATCTTGCCCATTTGTAGCAAAGAGGGTTTCCCTTTCGAATCCTTCGAAGGTCGTTGTTGAGTTAAAGTATTACCGGTTGTCGTTGGAGTAAGGGGCTTGTGAGAGCCCCTTTGAAGCAGACGAACCCGCGGTGGGTTCCGTGGTTGTCAAAGTCGTCTTATTACTAGAGTAAGAAGCAGGGTTCTGGTGACCCTGTGTGGAAGCAACTCCCTTCGATGGGTTATTGGATTCACTCGGCTTTTCAGTTAAGTGGTTTGAGGGTGTAAGATTGGAGGGGGTGAACCCTCCTCTATGCGCGTGATCAACGCGTAGTACGGCAACCCAAAGATCCTCTTTGGACGAAAAGTCAACCGAAGTTTGGTCGCGCCTCACTAGTTCCTCCAAAACTTTGAACACATCTTAGCCCTTATCGAAGTGTTCCCACTCAAGGCTGGACCAAATTTAAGGCCTGCAACATGAAGCAGAATAAATGGACGGTGGCACTCATCTCTGGCGTTTCCTACAGTTTCGCAGGATTCAACCGTGCATCGGTTTGAGCGTTGGGCGCTGATACGCTTTCGAAATCTGCAGCAGCATGGGGAACCAACGATGTTGGTATAAGAAACGCTATAGCGGGAACGACACCGCTAATTGTCCGTGTCATCCCTTCTCTCAGTGTCTACTCGGGAAGTGCCGAGGAATACGAGCCTATTTTGAATTTTGACATCGAACGACGCGCTTTCTGGTATTTGTTTGGTTTTACCGCTACTCGTGGATTTCACCTTTTTTCACTCTTCCTCGCTCTCTTGGGATCCAATCATGTTCAACGTTACGAATCATATCACTTCCGATGTTTTATACGCCCAGGCTGGCACTGATTTCAGCAAGCTGAGTTGGTTGGAGTCGAAATGGGCTGCTTGGTACTTGTGGATTGGCAACCCAGTCCTTGCCACGGGAATCATGAGTTTTTTGATGCACGAGGTTGGATATAATTACATGCATTTATGGCCCGGGGGTGGATTGCTCACTCTTGTGGCCGGGGTCAATAGTTGGTTTATTTTGGTCGTTGTTTACCGTGGATGGTCATTGATGCTATCCCGTATTTCCGCAAGTGGAAGCTCCAACCAGTAAGCAATGTGTTTATGGCGGGATTGGGTGTCGTCTAATTTACACTTGGTCCGTAGAACAAAATCCCAACGCCAAAGGAACAATGGGAGTGCACAAAGTTGGTATTGTTGACGCATTTTACAATTGAACTCCCTCAGGTAACTTGTCTCCACCTCCTTGTCAACGATTAACATCTTTCTGATGCGCATATATAGATTTGGTTCTTCCACCCGCTAGCAGAGTCATTAGGCATGGAAACATGGCAGGTGCCACTACCTCCCTGGAAGACAATTGCACCACAAGTCCTCCTCTTTTTCATTTTGGAAGACGCTTGGCACTACTTCTGTAAGTCGACTTATTCAGGAAGTTTTGTTTTGGATTATTCTGAAATGTACATCTTTTGACGTCTAGCGCACCAAGCTCTTCACTATGGCCCCCTCTACCGACATATCCACAAATTACACCATAGATATAGCGCTCCTTTCGGTCTCGCGGCCGAGTATGCCCATCCCCTTGAGATTCTGATCCTTGGAATGGGCACCGTCGGTGGACCGCTGCTTTTCTGCTACCTTACACGGGATTTGCATATCATTACGGTCTACATCTGGGTCTTCTTGCGTTTGCACCAAGCTGTTGACGCTCACTCAGGATATGGTGAGTCGGAATGACTTTCTTGATTCAATCCGAGTGGGATTTTAATCATCCTTTAGATTTCCCTTGGTCGTTGCGTAACATATTCCCTCTGTGGTCTGGGGCTGAACATCATGATTTCCATCACATGGCTTTCACCAATGTATGACATAACTTTGCAAAGCCTCAGTATGTTTATGGGTGACTGATTCTTCTTGTATACAGAACTACTCCACGTCCTTCCGTTACCTCGACTACATCTTTGGCACAGACAACAAGTACCGCGCTTATAAAGCTCGTGTCGCTGCTGCTGCCAAGGCTGGTCAAAATAGGGCTGAGGTGGAGAAGCGACTGTTGGAGGAGACAGAGAGGGAAGGTCAACTTGCTGAACACGAAGCTGAGATGGCGGGTAGTGTTTTGTCGAAGACTAAGACCTTGTGAAGTGGATTGTTATGATGGATGCGTGGCCATGTCTTGTGATATCTCTTACAAACTTATTTTAATAACATGCCGTGGCTCCCCGTGGGGGGGTCATTACAGCGCCTCTTTCATGGGTTTATGGTTACGCCGTTCTTTTTTCGAAGGCTGCCCAGGTTTTTCACACCACATTTTCGCGTCATCGTGATGCTCATCGATCTTGAGCACGTACGCACGATAAAACTCGGGCACGAATCGGACATGCTGATTGAAGTACTTTTGATTCCCGACTCCTAGGGAGATTCCTCCACGTCTTGCAAAGCTATACCTCCCCGCTCAAGCGACTGCCATACATAGACGGTCATGGGTGGGCTTGGTCTCAAAGCTCAAGATAGCTGGCCGCGGCTAACCGTCTTCAACTAAGGATTCGCACCGGCCGCGATACTCGCCTTAGTGTGGCGGGTCATGCCGTCGCCTACATACTCTCCAAGGAAACGTTTCCCATCAGTTCCTTGAGCTCACCGAACGATGCGCTCTTTAGGGGGCCTTGTCCTCAAAGGCTTGGTTCCCTTGTTTTTACGCAGGGGGCTTTGGGAAGCCGGAACGCTATGGAGTTTGACATGATGGACCCCGATTGATTGTCCTGACCGCATTTGAAGCGACAGATCGGACCAAAAAGTCACCGTAAATATCAGTTTTTGATGACACGACGTTGGGCAAATTGGCATCACATGGGTGCCTAGGCGCAGGTCAGTTGGAGTGCGACCTCGCGCAATGCTCATCGTTCGTGCTTTAGCGTGGATGACAGCCAATAAACTAACTGGAAAGGTCGGTCTTAGCCCACCTCGCTGTCGCCCTTCACCTGTCATTGTTAAATCCAGAGAACCTATCTGAATTAGTCCAGAGGAACTACGCCTTGTTCCCGAAGTCTTGGAATAGGGTGCGATCGTTTGGCCCGGATTTTGAAATTGCCCATCGCTTTGGCATGGCTGACCAAATCCAGAAGATTATTTCACCAAAGAGAAGCAAACCCATTCTGGTAATTGCAAGATGGTATCAAGGTGTGAATACACGCATGGTGAAATACTGAGAGTATTGGAGTGGTGTCTAGGGGCAGGGTAACCCAATGGTGCCACATGGGTGTGAAACGAAGGATGTCAGCGGTCAATATTAAATTGAAGTGGGATGAGCCTCAAAGATGGAAAAAAAAATTAAATGCGACCGAATCATACATCTTTCTTCAGAGTCCTGTGAAGATGCGCTACGACCTGCTTGCTGAGTTTTTCCTGGCCAGTTTTGAGGTCAGGGAACGTTACGGGTAACTCGAGCCTCTCTTTCCCCATCACGATCCAGATACTGTACTCAACACTTCTTCCGGTGTTCACCGCATTAGAGTGGAACACGGGTCGAGGTTTACCAGCTTCCTTACACAATTCTGAATCGCGAGATTTGAGAGATTATGGTCAATGAAGATGAATGCAGCAGCGTGATGGCCTACCGAAGAGCTGCTTCAGATAAGATTTGTCACTGGGCTGGGTGGACTCAGAAACATCTACTTGGACAGTAACAGAAGTTACACTAGGTTCCTGCACCGCCTCCATAGGGGGCCCTGCAGAGGAGGAGAACGGAATAGAGTCATCATCAAACTCAAATGCTCCCAGATGTGCACGAGTGCGATCTGAAGAATCAAGTTGTTTGTCCGGGTCGGCCCCTGAGAAAGTCGTATCAGAGGAGGACAAGGGGTTAAGTCACATTCTACCCACCGCTCGCGTAGGCTGTAGGGTTTGCATCTAAGCCCGAAGACCCAGCGGCAGATACGACACCGCTTTTGAATCTGTTATTATGGTTGGAAGTAGAGCCCGGACTTCCATACAAAGAATCATCATGATAAGAATCGCCACTGGGTGCTGCGTCGAGATCGAGGTATGTCCTGGGACCCTGATCTGGGACGTTGGAATGCTGAGAAGGCTCATGTGGGGGAGGAGGATATGCAGCATAGAGTTCATCGAGAATCTCCTGCTCTGAAAGGGGACGCTCGGCACCAGAAGGCTGAAGTGTGCGCTGGAGTTTTGGTTGAGAATGATACGGATGCTTCGCGAAGCCGGACATAGGGGCGAAGTGGTTTTGATACGGAGGGTGATTGGGCTGCCGTCTCTCCAGGCCAGGGTTAACAAAGGTATGATGGTTCTTCATAAGAGACACCGTGGCCGGGTTCGAACGCGACTCTGCAATCATGGGATGCACAGCAGACCGATTAAAATCACGACCCAATTCATCCCTACCCTTTACACCCCAGTTTTGAAACCTTCCACCGCCGCGGTAGGGAAACTGAGGACGAGCCAGACGTTGGCTACTAGGTCCTCTGGGAATGTGCTGGTCAGGTGTCCATGCATAACCTTCCTGCGATACGTCGCGATCTGAAGGACGACTATACGGCGTGGGCCCATATGGATCGTCTAGACCACGACGCATTGCTTGAGGGTCAAATCCAAGGCGCTGATGCCGACCAAGCACAGGTTGCGAAGACTGCGCTTGAGCAAACTTTCCCTTCCAGGAAGCAGGATATTGAGGGGGAATACGCCCCCGAAACTCGGGGTCCACGCTCATACGGCTTGAATCAAAGTTCTGCCTCGGTCGTTTGAACGGGTTCTCACCGCCGTGACCATCAACAACCCCAGCATCAGACAAAGGTGGTTTTTGATGCTCCAAGGACTCAAGAGCCACGTCCTCAAGTTCACGCTTTCGCTTCTGCAGCATCTTCTGCTTCGCCTCAAGTTCAAGATTTTGCCTTCTGAGTTCCTCCAAAGCCGCTTGTCGTTCTGCAATAGCTTGTCGCTTCTTTTCTTCGGCGATTACCCTTGCAGCAGCATCAGCCGCTCTCTTGGCCTCCACAGCCTCGGCAGCCTTCTTCGTCATATGGACCCTCCAATCAAACGTGTCTCTATTGTAGTCCGCCGGCGGCGACTTGCCGCGAAAACGGATCAACTCTAGCACACCTTGATTGACGGCCATGAGGGCGACGGCTGCCTTCGCGTCTCCGCGACTTCGGTATTCCATTTTTGTCCTATAAGTTCGTTTGGAGACGCCATTCTCCATTGGTATTGGTACCGTGAGGTTGCAACCGAAGACTGCCATAGTGGTCAAACCCATTATTACGGGCACCGCTAACAAACAATATGAGGCACCTTGATTCTCGCAGATGAACTCCCATTCTGCTCTCTGACTTGGTTTTGTACGAGATAAATCCTGTGTAATGACAGTATATAGCTTTGTTGCTTGTTCCTAGGAAATGATCAATGCCAAGCTTCAACTGATGCACTCCCTTTGGAAGATAGGGCAGAACATTTAGTAGAACGATACGAACTTTCATATCTTTCGTCAAACTCTCATTGTACTTGATCCCTGTCGAGCGAATATATTCCCCGACATCTTCGGATATAGCCTGGAGGCAAACAGCAGTCTTCGCTTCTTGTCTTTTGGAAAACACTGCATCGACCATGTAGGACCTAGAAGGCAAAGAAGGGTGATCTAGACGCAAAACGCAGCCATGCACTGGTACCAAATGGATCTCCATCAACGTGCATACTTAGGAATGATAAACGAAAGCCACATACAACCAGATCGTGGATGCATTGACCATGAGAAAGTCAATGTCAGCTGGCAGCCTTTGTTCTGCTGCAGCATCTGATTGACCCATGACTTCGGGTCCACCAAATCCCCAGAGCCGACACCCACACCAGGGGCCGGGAGCGGTTTGGGAAGGGCGTCCCAAAATGTGTTGATCGTTTGGATCTTGGTCATTTCGTTTTCCTTTGCGACCCTGTCGGAGGCTTGGCGAGTTGCCGGAAAGGATGGATCATCCGGTCCCTCCATAAGGTATTCGGGAGGAGCATATTCTGCCGCTGATGGCATAGGTTCTTGTTGCCCATCCCCGTGTTTGATGAATTCGAGGATACCTTGGGCAACGGCTTCTTTTGCAACCGCAGCTTTCGCATCTTCATCGTCCTGATGCGCCGTCCGGACAGAAAACACTTTCTTCAGATGTGGGGTAAGAGCGATGCGAAGTGCGCAACCATGAACTGCAGAAGTCCCATATGTGCGTTAGAACGACAAGCGGATGCGTAATAGAGTGCATTTCAACTGACGTCCCGTCTTTGGATCTGTAGTTCTAACGAAGTCAGGTCGAACGTGGTCGGCACGCCACTCCTTACAGCATTTGTCTATTTCGTCGACTTCTTTGAGTTTCTCAGATCGGTCAACGACAAGAAGTTGTTCCGATTGGCCCTTCGTCTCACCAGCAGGAACCACTAATCCACTACTGCCATCCACTGCGGCGGCGGCTGCGGGATCAGTGTGTTTCTTCCCTCGTTCTTTGTCCGGGGCGTTGACTAGGCGGAGATTGTGCAGTGAGTTGGTACCGGGATCCCCGCCCGCAATAAAGAGCAAAGCATCATGTTGAATAGCGATGGTCGCTACTTTCGCTTTCGCCTCTCCTTTACGGGCGAACACGGGTTCAGTAGTGTATATCCTCTTCTGACCGTCAGGCTTGGTTATTGTCAATATGCATTTCTTGCCTGAGAAGCACCCTTGAGTGAACATCGAGGATTCCATGAAATGTAAAAAAAACGTTACGTCGGGGACCCTGATCTTCCAGGAAATCATAATTCAAATGATGAACGGACGACCCAAAGGCCCGCTGGGCAGCTCGGTTGAGTTTCGCCACGCTGGCATACTGTAGTTGGTGGGCAGAGGTAGAGTTCAAGCCCTGTATGATTTCTTCGTCTTCCTGTAATTCAACATCTTCCTCGACATGAGTAGATGGTAAGGTTGGGGGTTGAAAGGCGTCGTAGTCGGTGGCAGGATTCGAAAAAGTAGATAGAGGTGCGCTCCCAAGAGCAAGGAGTTTCTTTGAAATCTCTGCTCGGTCTGAGTTGGATGGATTTGAGAGGAGGTCTGCTGGTGTTGAGTTGAGTTGAGTTGAGATCGACATGGAACCGTCGCGATCCTGATCCCGAGATAGCTCTGCAGAGGAGCCAACGAATGAGCCCGGCTTTGTCTTGGAGGGAAAGCCCATCTCAGCGGTCGCTATTTTCAGCATCATTCGTTCGCAACTCAGAGGGATAACGGAGGGTCCGGAGTGTAAATGCTGAGATCAGAAAAGCGCCCACCTTCTGGGGTGTTCGGCAATCCCCAGTTCCAGATCGGCACTGCCTGATTGCAGACTTGCAGCAACGCAGGCTTTGGTACTTCATCTATTGGATCTGATTCCGGCACCTAGGTAGCACGCGCGCTTACTTGATGTGTGTATGTTGCTGATTTGCCTCCACGGTAAGATACCGCGTCCAAAACAACTTCACATTTGGTACCTCCCGGAGATTTACCACTCCCGATATAGTTTGCAAGACTCAGGTTCAGGTTCTTCCAGGGATGATACCAGCATTTTGGTAGACAGTCCTGCAATCCTCTGCTACAAAAAGCTTCTTGCACTTACACGTGCAATGGCTGTCACGATGGAAACTGTGGCCACTCAGACGCGGACGGAGCAGTGACCAGATACGCCGCAGTTTACTGCAGCACACGCAACTCTAACAAGCTTCCGCCCCCTGAACATCCTCAATACGCTCGACGTGCGATGTGCAGCGTCTTGTAGAAACGTAGACTGTTCTCAGTTATCGGTAACGGGCATTTATGAATCCAGCGTGGTTTCTTGTGCGAAGCTGGGTGAAGGTAGCACAAGCGATAGATCTAAGCATGACATTAGGAAATATATCTCTTTGAGCTAGTAAGGCGTATATATCAATGAGCCGGTTTGCACCGGGCCTTCGAGCTTCTCAATCTTGGTCAAGGGAATCTGTGTCAAAAATCAATCAGCATCTCTCCGGGCTGACCGTTCCCGGTCTACCCAGACCCTAAATTTTCATTAACGGGGCTTGTGAGCGCGTAGATGGAAATGATGACTGGTGTGGCCTCGATTGTTTAACCTCACTCATTTCATATACGACTAATCCCTCCAGCTTACATGTGACACGTTTTCCCCAATCTCGAATATTCTGAGTAGATGCAATGTATTCATAGTACTTACTCAGACGTTTCTCTCAATCATGAGAAGTTTGATGAGACGATGGGAGGCTGTGACCGCTTCGTGGGAGTTGCCGAGGTGCCAAACTAACTCCGCGGTGTTAGACCATATTCAACGATCCTCCAACCTCAGGCACACCCCGAGAGGCCACTAACTTTAAGTAAGTGAGCTTGAATTAAGGATATTCACTTGTTGGCGCTTATCTACTCCCTCTTGCACTCGCTTTGGCAACGAAACATGATTATGCAGCGTCTAAACGACCCCTCCATTTTCACGGACCGCCCTATCACCGGGGAATCGATCTCGAATGACCTCTCGCAAGCGAGAAGGTGAGGCTGCTACACCTGCAGCCTCGGATTCCGCGTTACAGAAACCCAGCAAGAGGGTTAGAAAGGCCATAAACTGGTGTGTGTTCTTTAAAATTGCATTTTCTTGCCTATATGCGATGGCATTTATTATTGATCCCCCCTATATATTCACCAGTGAGCCTTGCCGAGCTTCCAAGTTAAAATGCGACCGAGGCCGTCCTTGTTCCGGCTGTGTTCTGCGTGGGACGACGGCACAATGCTATCCTGATGAGGAAAGGGGACCGCCCCCGCTTCAGGACCATAAGAAAGAAGAAGCGACACTGTGAATACCCTGGGATGTTTAGATTCTGTGGACTATCCATTCACTTGCAAACCATTCTCAATACAGGTCGTTAGTGGATGTACGGACGGAGGTCGGCCGTATTCGCAAATCGCTTGCCATCCTCGAGTCGTTGGTTCCACGAGAGGGTAGTTTTTCAGCTTTCTTGTCTTCTTCATCTTTCCAGGGAATACTCTTGTCGTTGATGAAGCAGTACGATCTGACACCCACTAGGCCGAAAGAAGGAGGTTTGTACCTTGGTCCAACGGCCCCTTGTTCAGCCGTCTTGACTCTGAGAGTGTGTTAAGTCTATGCCACGCCGAAATTGGATATTGCTCACTCTAATTGCCAATTAGAGCGACGAAACCGGTTCTCCGGTCCAGTCTGAAACACTGGCCGCTTCCGCAATCAGAGCTCTGCGCTCCCCCCACGCCAACGCTGATATTCGCTCAGAGATACCTACTGACTTCGTGTATACGACTTCTCTTATCACTTTCTTTTTTACTCGTACCTCCCCCTGTCCCCCTATTGACCATAATGCTTTCAGTGAGGCATGGGCACGCGCACGAGGCTCGGATTATACGGACCATCTTGTCATGGCGACTCTGTTCCTTATGCTGGCCGTCGCTGTTTACTATCTTCCCCCTCGCGATCCTCTATTGGCTCGTCTGCCTGCACCGCCCAACGTCGTGGCGAACAGGTGGTACAACGCCTCGTTGATAGCAGCAAATCGCTACAAGAAGTTTAAAAATCCCCCTGATTTGGATTGGATTGAGATGCTTCTTCTCAAAGCGCAATTTTTGAGCATAAGTGGCGCAGATCACGAAGAGATATGGGGAGTTAAGTGCGAAATTGGCTCGGCTGCGTTGGCGATGGCTCTTCACCGAGACCCTGGGGCGTGGAAGATGGATTTGGAGGAAATTCAGAGGCGCAGGTGGGTATGGTGGAACTACGTCGTTCTTGAGAGGTGGTTGTCTTTTCTGGTGGGTTTGTGTCTGCAGTACTATCGGTCGACTTTGGTTTCTCATCGGGGAATCGTTTTTCTTCAGTTCGGTCGCCCGCTCGCCGTTCGGTCAGACCATTTCGATACTAAGTATCCTGTTTCTGATGCAACGCCTTCCCGAACGGCCACTGGCTCATCTCAAAAGTTGGTTGTGAATCACCCTTCTGCTCCGCTCTCCCATCTTTTCGCACTCGCGCAATTCCGCCTTGCCGCCATCATCGGTGAGGTAGTCTCGGATGCGACATCTGTTAAACCTGTCCCATACGACCGCGTCAAGGAACTGGACAAGTCTCTTGAAGATTGGGAGAGCATGTTGCCCGAAATTCCGTATAACTCAAACATGGACAGATACGGTATTGGAATCAATGGGAACATGAACAGGGGCAACCTTGACCCGTTCGAATTGAGGACTTTGACACTATGGAAAGTACATCTCAGGGTGCAGATGTTTCATGTTCGTTTCATTATGCATCGACCTTACATGAACAGCGCTTCCCTAAATGGGTCGGATGGAGCTGGAGCATGGTCAGTAAATGGCCGTGCCACGGCGATACAAGGTCCTGGAGCTCAAGCCTGCCCCCCACCTCACTCTGGCAGCGTTCCGCCATACACCGACGGGAGCACTGAGGGGAGCACCTCGAGTGTAGTTGCACCCTCAACCACGCCAAGTTATGAAGCTGCTTTACACTCGGCAGAAATGGTTATTCAGCTTGTTTCCGATGCGAGCATTCAGCTCCTGGGTGAAGGTTCAAGCCCGTCTGGCGGAATGGGCTTTCTTGGTGTTCCTGGGCACATCGCTTGGAGTGGGTCATGTTCTCTTGTTCCATCTTGTTAATCTAACCCTGCCCCCCTCTGAACAGTTGGATATTCCCTTTTCTCGGCTTCCGTCTTCTTCGTAACGCTCATGCTCACAGGGCGTTCCAATGCGCCTTCCTGGTCGAACACTTCGGTCCACTACCGTCGGATCTTAGCCGCATCCGAAACACTTAAATATGTCAAAGCTGCGGTCCCTTTCGCAGAAAAGGCGCTTCTTGTACTATATGCCATGGCTCCGTTTTTCGAAGACGATCTTGACGACGCAGGGAAGAAAGCTCAAATCGACGCCATCCGAACCTTAGCGTTTCCGGGCCACAAAGACCCTCCTTTGCCCTTGCATAAACCAGACAACGGTGCTTTGGGGGACTTGAGCGCTCACGAGTCATTGGAAGCCGAACTCGAAAGGGATTTGGACTCGCGGCTTGAAACTCATGTGCCATCCAAATATGACGGGCACCATCGCGCAATCGCAGCTCCGAACGTTCCTCCCCCTCAGCAGAACGTGATTTCGCCGGTGGTGAGGGCACCCGTGGAAGCGGACGAGTTACCATCTATGCCTGGATCCTCGATGGCAGGTCGAGCGACTTCACAGGCTTTCACGTCCACGGAGCCTGCGAGCATTTATGGTACACCTGATAGATCGACGCGTCCTCCGTCATCAATGCGAAGCCCCTCTGAGGTGTCGATGGTACCCTATCATCTACAACAGCAGCCCAATTCCTTTCTTAATCCCATAGTGATGGGTCCAACCGATGGTGTCTCGAGTCCGATTAGTGGAGTCGAACCCCCGTATAATGTTCCTTTGAACGGGCCATTCCAGATAGCCGACAATTCGTCCGCGGAGATGAGGGCGATGCCACCTCCCTCAACTGGTGGTCACACTGCCCGCAATCTTGCGGTTCCTACATCTCAACCAAGTGCGGGCAGTCATTCGGCAATGTCAGCTCCACCTGCTCTTCACCCCTCCCAGTCATCGACAGAGGCCATGTGGTATCCCCAGAATCGCCTCGTCGGGAGTTCTCAAAAACAAAGTGGCAGTGGGATGGGGTTGGGGATGGCAGTTGGTCCTGGAATGGGGATGGTGATCTCACCTCAGCCCAAAGTGAATCAGCCTCCCCAGTACTTCTTGCAGCCTAACGCTGCGCCTCTCTCTGGACCTGGAACATATATGGGACACATCACCCCTCCTGGAATAGCTGGAGTTGCGATGGGCCCTCCTAGCGCAATGGATGTTTATGTGGGTTATATCCAGCGGACTGTAGGAGATGAGGTTTGGGAGCCCAATCCTCACGGCAGTTCCGATGGGGTGGACTGGGCCGATAGCGGCTCTTCCCAAAGGCAGCAATGGTAAGGTTTTCTCTGTGATGCAGACGCGACATTGTGACTTTCTTATCCCGACTGGAGAGCTTTCCTCATCTATATGCTTGCTTTGGGGGCTCTGAGATTTTGCTTGTGTATGATATTCCTTGTACATACTTTATCACTATATCGTGCCCAGTACTCGAGTGATCGTGTTTGTCATGTTCACAATCTATTATAATCGTCGGAGACACGACACTACAGTCATGGAGCAGGTGGCAGCTGAAGAAAGCACAAATGTATGTATAGTCCATCCGGATCCAGATTGTGGATTGCGACGGCAAGAGACAAGTAGGGAAACTACAAAGATCCTATCTGGGTGGTCCCTGCCTGCCCTGCCAACTGTCTCTTGCTTTACTAGCTTTGGTGTCAATCCTGACATACTCAGCCTCATCCAGGGCACTCCCTTCTTTCTTCACGTTCAAATATGCTTCTCCAAGCACAAGCAGAGCTCTAGTACGTAAAGCTAGTTTCTCCCTGGATGGAGCATTAGGCCCGTTGGGGGGCGGATTTAGTACACGATCGCACGTCTCCCTCAAGACAGAATCTATTTCGAGCTTCGTCCCTTTGAAGAGCGCTTGAAGTCCCTTCTCGGCTGCCTGCTCTTCCAGATTTTTCTTCTCCGCTTCGGACGCCCCTGATTTCTCTGCTTCTGCAAGCTGTTCGAAGACTTGCTTCAATTCGAGTGCTATCAAGATACGTTAGTGAGAAACGAGGGACGAGATATATACTAACCTGAGCGCACCGTCGAGACACTACCATGCCACGCAGGATTTGTTCGTTCAGAACAGTACGAATAATCATGAGGCTCCACTCACGTTTCAGTGAAAGTATGATATGTTCCCTTGATCCCGTGCATCCACCCGCCAACGCCTAAAAAAGTCGAATTCGTTGCTGCGTAGTGTCTAAATCAACCCATAGAGGTGAGCCGTCGAATGGGTGGAGATTACTACACCTACCTAGCTTTCGCAACGTAGGCGTGACCCACGGCATGCAAGAGTTCCACTCCGTACGACTCTTGCTTGAGCTCTTCTGCTTCAATTTGGCATATCTGTTTCCAACTGCTTAATACATCCCGGTCATCAGGCCCAACGGCCGACTCGCTGAAGATGGAAAGCTTGCGTTCTAGCTCGGCGACAAGCTTCCGAACCCTTTCTTCCCGAACTTTCGTTCTCTGCGTTGAGGATCCGTCCATGAGCCTAGTAGAGATTTAGGGTTTCAGGGAGTACGCACTTCAGCAGCAATCCTTTTGTCCTTCTCCTCTTTCTTGGCCTTCTCTTCAGGCGTTAGAGCCTCCTTGCCCTTTTTCCCTTGACCCGAAGCTTCGGCCTCATCTGCTTCCTGCAAAGCAGCCTTCATATCCCTCCCAAGAGAGATGTCGCCAATAATTGGCACAAATCTCTCACCACCGAAGATCGCACTGAAAATTTCTTCGGGGTCGACGAAACCTCCTTCAGGAGACCCTTCTTTAGGACCAAATTCATTGTACTTCTTGCGTAGGACCGGGTCCGAGAGGACCTGGTAGGCCATCGCTATCTCTTTAAACTACATCATATGTTCTTAGATGCCAAATTTGCCCAGCGAGGCTAATGTATTGAGGAAAGCTCACTACTTCCTCGGAGCCTCCCTTGTCGGGATGATTCTTGATCGCCTGGCGCCGGTAGGCTTTCTTTATTTCTTCGTCCGTCGCGTTAATGGGAACCCCAAGAAGATCGTAATACCTAGTTTCCTGTTGATGTTAAGATTGATGAGGGAGTATCAGCTAATAAAACTTAGGGGCGATGAGCCACAGAAGGTGTGCCTACCAATGGTCTCTCGTTTGTCCCAATTTTTCGGCCTTTCCGAGCACCAGATGATGAAGATGAGTCACCATTACCCTGAGCGCCGTTCAAACTCGTTAGGCCCCCATGCGAAAGGGAATTAATGGAGTGCGATTGGATGTTTCCGCATTGAAAGCATTGTACTTGGTATGATATGGAAGAAGAGGTAGAGCTAGTGGGCGGAAGGAACTCCAAGGGCTTGGAGCATTCGGAGCAAGGCCCTATCTGGACATGGGGTACGGCTAGACGTGAAGGTAGAACTTCTGTGGATGACATCGATTTGACTTCACGTGCAGAAAGCTGATGATTCAGATCCTTCAGAGGCTATTGAATTTGCAATGGTATTCAATTTATCGGACTTGAGAACTAACACGGCCCAGCCAAGCCCAGCTCTCCTGCTTTCAGTCGTTTATTTCGACGACGGTTCGTGCATGTAGCATACTATAATAATATATATATGCATGTGTACCGAACAGACATTCCAGAGTCACGTGATTATCGAACCGTGTCACTTCAGGAGCGGCCCCAACATGTCGGACGTGTATAATCTCAAACTCTTACTGATAGGTTTGTGATCATATTTGCATTCCACTTTATTAACTAATAGTGCTTTTATGTTTTCACTATTTCGCCGACCGGGTGATAGGTATGTGATCTCACGAGTTTCCACTGTGAGTCCGCAGGCCTTGTTGTGTCTTTATCCAGGCAATTCTTCTGTGGGGAAATCCAGTCTTCTCTTGAGGTTTGCGGACGAGACTTGGCTTGACGAGGATGAGAGCCATGCGACAATTGGGGTCGACTTTCGGTTAGTGTTGTTGCAGCTTTGCGATTCAATCTGACCATTCGGTCTGCCCTTGTGTAGGGTACATCGAGTGCAAGTCAAGGATGGAAAGAAGGCGAAACTCAGCATCTGGGTGAGTTTACTCGGCTGCTGCGTGCGTGTGGACATTATGGTATTCATTCGAGGGGCCAGGACACAGCAGGGCAGGAGAGGCAGGTCGCTCACATTAGACTGCCAAGTCACCTGTCTGAACAGTGGCCAGGTTCCGAACTATAACGTCTTCTTACTACCGTGGGGCCCAAGGGATTATTTTGGGTATGCCGACATGCATCATATCCCATTCGTGATGTCAGACACGATTTCGTTTGCAGTCTACGATGTTTCTAACAGGGAGTCATTTGATGCCCTGCCACGATGGTTCTCGGAAATGGAGTCCTACGTCTCTCCTTCTGTTGTTAAGATCATAGTTGGTAAGGATGACCTCATGTTCGATCCCTGGTGACGTTGACTTGCTACATCTAACAGGGAATAAGGTTGATAAGGTATCGTGCCTCAGAGGAATAACCGATATCTTTGAGAACTCCATTTTGTAGGAATATTCACGAGCTGTCTCCCCAGGAGAAGGTCGGAGATTTGCTGAAAGGATGAACTCCCTTTTCATAGAGGCCTCTGCTAAGACAGCAGTTGGAGTTCGTCAAGTATTCATTGACCTTGTCGAAAGGGTTAGTACACCATTCCCTCAATGATCGCATGCATCCCGGAAATCATCTGTGTTCCTAGATTATTGATACCCCTGAGCTGTGGTCAGCTTCGGCTCCCCGTGGTATACCCAATCAGCCTGGTGTTGCTATGCCTGGGAATATCTCCCTCACTCAAGTATCTGACACCTCGGAACCTTGGGCTTGCTCCTGTTAGAAACCTGACTGTGTGCAAACTACGTTTCTTTGGCGTAAATGTTTATACCCATACATGGACCAGCGTTTCATTACCATAATTACTGCAATTAACGAACTTCAGTGACCGACCTACAAGGCTATCTGCATCCTATGTGCATATTGATTTTTGGTTATCATACATAAATCGCATGCATGTACTAGTCGTTTCTACGCAGAATACCTTGTCCATTTCAATTCTGAATGCCTAATTTTGGTGATCTCCGAAGGGTTTTTATACAGACCAAGCACCTGGTGGCAGCTAGCCCATCACCATAGCAAGCAGAGCCATACGGACCTGAAGAGGGTGAGATAAGCAACAGCTAGAAATCTTGACGACTTACAAAGAGCCCGTATCGCATCTGTCGGAAGTACACTGCGCGCCGAGAATCAAAGTCAACCTCAGGGTCAATTTCTGAACAGCAGGACCAATCAATTTCGATCCAAACCTGTGAAACGAGGGCTACCTACCAGTTAGCCGAGGCAATGGATGCATGACGATCATATCTGCCTTCGCTCTCGCAAGTACAGAGTGATCAACGACGTACGACTTGTGGACCCGCTCCCATTCGACGAGATCGGTGAAACGTTCCTGTTGAACGCGAGTGACATAAAGCACATCTGTCCCAGATAAAACATCGTTGAGCGAGTTGGTCTCTGTGATGCTCACACTCGCTCTTCTCGCTGCAGAGGTGACACTGTCGGGCATGGTGAGTTCAGGCGGCGAGACAAAATTTAGCCGAACTGAGTAGAAACAGAGAAGGGTGACGAGACTATGGACCGTCCGACCGTTCTTAAGATCGCCGAGGAGAGTGATAGTCTTTCCATTGACAGTACCAAGCTCAGATCGAATAGTGAAGATATCGAGCAAAGCCTAAGGCATTGATCAGTTCTATTCGTGACGGCGCTGGGTATGTGCAGTACCTGAGTAGGGTGCTCTCCTACACCATCTCCGGCATTGATAATCGGTACCGGCGAGAATTTTGCGGCGCTGGAGACAGCCCCCAAAGTTGGATGTCGCAAGACAATCGCATCTCCATAACAAGCAAGAGTGCGAATGGTGTCTGCGAGGCTTTCTCCCTTGGCGACGGAAGACCTGTCTGCCGAGACAGTAACGACCTCGCCTCCAAGACGCTTCATCGCAGACTCGAACGAAGAACTGGTGCGAGTGGAAGGTTCGTAGAAAACATTACACAATATCCGACCGCGCAACACGTCAATAACACCATTTCGTTCGACTTGCAGACGCATTTCATGAGCAAGGTCAAACAATTGGTGTATATCAAGGTGCGAAAATTGTTTCACACTGAGGATACTACGTCGGTGGAACGCTGGATGAGGTGGGGGCAAAGTCACGAGTCGGTTCGGCGAGATATCCCGCGTTGAGAGATGGAATGCTTGCAGGACGTCAGTGACACGACTCGCAGAAGCAAGAGTAGGAGATACAAGCTGGTCAACTTGGATTGAAGGCCGATTAGTTGCGATAAAGGAACTTGCCCTGCCAGCAGCGCGCTGGATTGGCATGACTTGCAGACCGGAAACGTCGCGACCCAAAGGATTTGCAAAGTTCACACCATCAAGATAGACGGTTTGACCTTGCAAGACAACCCTATGAACGCAACCCTTCACCATTACTCCCTGAAGTGGTGACCAATGTGGACCTTGAGCAAGATAAGTAGTCCTTCTATTTATTTCGACTTCGACCTGAGAATTCGGCTGCTCTGGTAGCTCGAAGATCTTCAGAGGATTGTCGTGAAGTTTAGCGCGAATATCGTCCAGCGTCAGTTGGCCTTCAGACTGTGCAGTCAATAACAATGGTAAGGTTTCTTCGATACCACTCCGGGCACTGGAAGATTCCCCGAGATCGAGGGCTAAGCGGTAGGGTGCTGTCCCCACGGCAAAGACATCAATGGAGGATAAATGACTCCACAACGCCTGCTGATCAGCGAAAGTAGGCAAGTGGGTAGACGCAGGATACTGTTCTCGAGTGAAGAATAAAGAGTACACAGACACATCACATGTCACTTTCAGTCCCCTTTCTTTGCTGAGTGCAATGAGTTGAATGTCCTCTTTGCTGCCAACATCGGCAACGTGAACGCTTCGGTTATGGAGGCTCGCAAGGAGAAGAATTGTCGCCAAGTCGGTAGCACGTGCATCGGTAATGATAGGTTTCTCCTTGGGCCAGGCAGCAAAATGTGCAGCTACTGCAGCTACTTTGCTGATATTTTGGTCTGACAAGCCATTGAACGGAATAAACAAAGCTTTTGCCTCCTCCTGAAGCTCTTCGTCCAGCGTTGAGGCATTAGTTGCCGAGGCAGCGATCGACAGTGCGTAGTTGCTATAAGCCGCTCCTTTGAGGTTGCTTCGTGTCACATCCAGACTTTCGCCACTCGTGACACTGGCTTCGACGTCGAAGGGCATGATCTGAACGGTTGTAAATCCAGCACTAACTGATGCTTTTGTCATGAGCTCGAAGTCTCTGGACCCTTGCTTCATCCTCGGTACGAAAGCCTGAACATTGATGAGGCCGGGGAGACTGAATGTCGTGTGAGAGGTCTTGAAGTCAATTGGCGATACCTCCAGCGGCATCTTTCTAACCAAAGCCTCAGCTAAAAGCTTCGCTATCTTGACATTCGTTATCAGTGGGACGGCGAAGTCCACTGCCATGCGCCGAGTGCGATATCCCTTACTCGTATAGGTGGCGGGGCGACGATAGTTGTTCTTTGAGGGCAAATTGATGTAAAGGTCGATCATGTTGTTAGCGAGATGCTGAGTCAATGAGTACTCGGACTTCTGGGTATGACTACCACTGTCTGGCAGAGCTTCAAGGTACTATGAGAAGGTGTCAATATATGACACGTCCATAGCAAGGTATGCAATGCACCTTGCAAGGAATGTTATGTTCGGTGAAGAAATCCGCTGTTCCCGCCGTTCCGAGTAGGTTGTATCCTGCTTGGTGAAGCTTCTGGACGGATGGCAGCATTTCTAGCTTCTCCTTAAAACTTCCGATAGATAGGAGGATGTTCTTCTCGGGCAAAACGATGCCGGTGGAAATGAGTGCTTTGAGGTATGCCTCGTACTTGTTCTTTCCAAAGCAGGCTACTTCGCCTGTGGAGGCCATCTCGACACCCAGAACAGGGTCAGCTCCGGAGAGCCGATTGAAGCTGAACTGTGGGACTTTAACCCCAACGTAGTCAGGAGGAAGATTCAAGTCAGGGTACGGAACGACGGGAAGATCCAGCATGACTTTGGTGGCCATCTCGATTGCATCAACACCAGTAACCTTGGACACAAAGGGGAAGGAACGTGCAGCACGGAGATTACATTCGATGACCTTAATGTCGTTATTCTTCGCGATAAACTGGATGTTGAATGGGCCAGTAACGTTGAGTGCATTACCAATCTTGCGTGTCGCGTCTTCAATACGTCGAACAGTCTCCGGATCCAGGTCTTGAGGTGGCAGCACCAAGGTAGCATCTCCAGAGTGGACGCCAGCATTCTCGATATGCTCCGAGATATAATGCATTACCAGCTTCCCGTTTTTGGCGATGGCATCCATCTCAATCTCCTTTGCCTCTTCGATATACTTCGAGATGACAACAGGATGTTCGCGTGAGACGGCAGTTGCTTGATGAAGATAATTTGACAAATCATCCTCGGTGGAAACAACATTCATGGCCGCTCCCGACAACACATAGGATGGCCTGACCAAGACGGGATATCCAACTTCAGTGCAGAATGCTTTGGCACTGGCAAAATCAGAAAGTTCCTTCCAGTGGGGTTGATCCACCCCGATCTTGTCCAACAAGCGAGAGAAATTGTACCGGTTCTCACAAGTATCGATCATCTCTGGAGAAGTACCGTAGATGTGGACATTTTGTCGATGAAGCGGAAGGGCAATATTATTAGGGGTTTGTCCGCCCATCGATATTATCACGCCCGAGGAACCCTCTAAATCGTAGATGTCTAGGATTGTTTCGAGACTGATGTTGTCGAAGTAGAGTCTGTCGGCTTCATCATAGTCCGTGCTAACCGTCTCAGGGTTATAGTTCACCATCGCCGCCTTGAGACCTTGCTCTCGAAGAGTTCTGATGGCTCGTACAGCACACCAATCGAACTCCACGCTAGATCCAATCCGATACACACCAGAACCAAGTACCATAACGCCGTGGTCTCCAAAGTCGACGTCATGCTCGGAGGCATTATAAGTGGTATAAAGATAGTTCGTGAAGGCGGGGAACTCAGCAGCCACTGTATCGATCTGTTTTACGAAGGGGAAGATCCTGGCTTCTTTACGAAGCTGACGGATAGCCAGTTCGGTAGTGTTCAGTGCCCGAGCGATCTGCCGGTCGCCGAAACCCTTTTGTTTCGCCGTCCGAAGGCACTCGGTAGTGATGGTGGATAGTGACTTGCCGCTACAGAGAACCCTGCTGAATCCGTTCGCACTTGATTGCCGAGGATGATGCATACCTTAAGTACACGTTGAATTCGTGTAGCTCGAGTAACCTCGCCAGGAACCATTTGTCGATACTTGTGAGCTTCCAAACTTGATCAACGTTATACCCGGCTTTGAAGGCTGCTGCAATCGCGAACATGCGCTTATCCGTGGGATTCGATAGCTCTGCATCGATGTTACTGCTAAAATCATTCTGAGCGCTTTGTAAGTAGTCGAGTCGCAGCTTAAGGACGATACACCAACCACGTCGAAGCCAATAAACAGATCGTCGATCGCCCGGATTGCCTTTTGAATACTCTCTTCAAACGTCCGACCAATAGCCATCACTTCGCCTACACTCTTCATCGAGCTACTGAGCTGCTTGCTGACGCGACTGAACTTCTTTAAATCCCAACGGGGGAACTTTACCACCACATAGTCAAGACTAGGTTCAAAACACGCCGTCGTCAGCTTCGTCACGGTATTCTTGATTTCATTAAGGGGGATACCAAGACCGAGTTTGGCGGCAATAAAGGCTAGGGGGTAGCCGGTTGCTTTTGATGCTAGTGCGGAAGATCGAGACAAGCGAGCATTGACCTGGAGGACATGGATGGGACCGTGGAGCTACAGGAGTCTCCGCACTTACTTCAATGATACAGTACTCCTTGGAGAATGGATCCAACGCATACTGAATATTACATTCACCGACTACTCCTAGATGTCGTATGACATTGACAGCAGTCGTCCTCAACATGTTGTAATCGGCATCAGAAAGAGTTTGCGAAGGTGCAACAACGATCGAATCTCCAGTATGGATTCCCAATGGGTCAAAATTCTATTGCGGCCAATAGCGAATGCAATTTTCACGCGGAATGGGAGTGGATCATAAATAACGACCATAAAAGATGCAACAGGAAGTGTACACACCTCCATGTTGCAAACGGTAATGCAATTGTCATTACAATCCCTCACAACTTCATACTCGATCTCTTTCCACCCTTTCATACTCTTCTCCACCAACACCTGAGGGCTCGTCGCAAAAGCTGTCGCGCAAAGACGTTTCAAGTCCTCCTCGCCCTCGGCAAATCCGCTCCCAAGGCCTCCAAGAGCGTATGCAGCGCGGACAATCACCGGATATCCGATCGTCTGCGCAGCTTCAGATGCCTCGTCGAAGGTAGTAGCACTCGCACTTTCAGCACACTTCTCGCCTATCTCTGCCATGGCTTGGCTGAACAGATCCCGGTCTTCGGTTTTGATGATTGTATCAATGGGGGTGCCAAGGACGCGGACGCCCAGTGACTCGAATTCGTCTTTGAGTTTGATTCCCACGTTAAGAGCTGTTTGACCACCGAACGTTACATAGATACCATCTGGGCGTTCGTACCGGATAATGCGTCGAACGAAGTCTGGAGTTACTGGAAGGAAGTAGACCTTGTCTGCAAGTCCCTTCGAAGTTGCAATCGTTGCAATGTTAGGGTTCACAAAGATCGTGTATATTCCTTCCTCTTTCAGTGCCTTGATGGCTTGGGATCCGGAATAATCAAATTCCCCCGCTTGTCCAATTGATAGACCTCCAGAGCCAAGGATCATGATTTTGCGGAGAGTCCCCGAAGGCTTGAGATTTGGAACGATATGATTTGATAATGATGATTTGGGCATTGTACTGATGGGGGTGGGGTTATGTGTGCGCAAGATCTCTTCAATCTTGTCGATGAACACATCAAACAAAAATTCAGTGTCGCGAGGACCAGGAGTCGATTCAGGGTGGAATTGAACCGAAAAATAAGGGAGGGATGTATGGTATATACCCTCATTACTGCCGTCATTGGCGTTCTTGTAGAGCTCCCTCCATCCTGATGGAAGCGTGTTCACGTCGACTTGGTAACCATGATTCTGGCTGGTGATATAACACCGTCCAGTGATCGCGTCTGTACAAGGGATGTTATGACCACGGTTACCGTATTTCATTTTGGATGTGGAAGCACCGGCCGCAAGAGCAAGGAGCTGATGACCCAGGCAAATCCCGAAGATGGGTTTCGAGGTTTTCTGAAGCGCAAGACGCAAGAACCCTATCGTTTCAGACATAACCGTAGGATCGCCTGGTCCATTCGATATAAAAATGCCATCATATGGCTCTTCGGTTGCCGCCAAATAATCGTAGTTCCACGGCACAACTTTAAGTTCAATCCCCCGTTTCGTGAAGCATCGTATTTGGTTGTATTTCATCCCAACGTCAATAGCAATCACCCTAAGGCTCCTGCCCGAAGAGTGGAGCTTGCGCGATGAAGTCGGATGGTAGAGTTTGGGGGCGGCTAGTGACACTCTGGCGACTAAATTCTGCACATTGGGGTCAGAAAAAGGAACATCGATATACTCTTCGGCCCAACCGATTTTTGAGCTCGGAGAAGGGGCCCGTGAGCTCATAGCTGAGTGGTTGGTGGATGCCGCGAGGCCCTTGGAGCGAAGTGGAAGGCCTTCGCGTTTCGCAAGGATTTTACCCAGCATAGATCCCTTCTCTCGTATTTTCTTCGTGAGGGCTCGAGTGTCCACGCCATACATGGCAGGGATTTTGCTTTCTCTGAGCCATGCGCCAAGAGACGAGTTGGCCAGAAAATGGGAGAAGTGATCAGAATAGTAGGCGACCACCAGAGCAGAAACATGGATGCGACCAGACTCAAAATTCTCGGGGAGTTTGCTTAGCTTTTCGATCGTTCTTTTTGGCACGCCGTAGTTTCCAATCAAAGGATAAGTTAGCACAAGGATTTGGCCCTCATAGGAAGGATCAGTAAGAGACTCAGAGTATCCAACCATTCCTGGGAGTACAAAGTAAGCTTGGAAGGCCTTAAAAAAGCTAATAGCGCGGCTACAAACCAGTCTGGAACACACACTCCCCCGAGACACTTCCTTTGTAGCCGAAATTCGTACCATAAAAGGCCGATCCATCGGCGAGGACGAGCGCTGTGTCCTCAGTAGGTGCTCCATTAAGCATTATAGGTTTTGGCCGCTGGTCGGCTTTGAGAACATCATTCTCTTGCATAGTTGTGGGGTTTGAAGTGAAGAAAAAAAATATTGCCCTCGGGACGCAAATTCAGCTGGGCGTGAGAACCAACACTGGATTTCGGTTAACTCCGTTATGCGGCGCCAGAAGAACCCCCGTGACTCGGAATCTTGTGGTTTCGACTGTCCAAGATGACAAAGGCAAAACAAACCCGATTTCCTGTTGTAAGAGATCGCGACAGATCCCTCTAGAATTTTATATTGAGATTGCCTTGGAATTAGGCCAGAATCAAAAAGATTATGCAAAAAGACGAGGAAGTTGGGAAGGTCGCCCAAGCAACTCCCATGCTCATCTGTTCGTTCACTCGCCCCGGTTTTTCTGTTCATAACTAATAATGTTCATTTGTCAGCCAAGGCCTTGGAACTGTTCATGACGGACTTGACGAACGAAATGGCCAAGGTGACTCAAGAACGCAATCTCAGCAAAATAGAGCCATGGCATTTGTGAGTAAACTTTCGATTGCGCTTGTTTCACTGTGTTAGATCTCATTGTGGCTCAGGAAACGCGCGATTGAGACTATCGATACATTTGACTTCCTTCGCGAGATTGTTGCGCCAATCAACGATCCGGCGGACGCAGGTGGGGAGGAAGAGGAAGCACAGCCTCAGGAGCCGAAGAAGAAGCGGCCAAGAGCCAAAAAGCCTCTCGATTAGCACACAGTGTCGTTGCAAAGATATCCTGCTTCATGCAAACGGGTCACATTCGGGGATGGCACACCTCACGTCCTGTTGTAAGCCGAAATGCCCCTGCAATGTATTTCATGGTTTAATGTGCTTATTTCACACGACTAATCATGAATGGTTTGTAGCACTGATGGGATTTCGCGGCTCTCGCCATTCTGAGTCATGGCGTTTGGTGTCTTCATGGTTACACCGTCTGGTTAGATTATGATAACAGGCACTGACTAAAGTGCTCGATGCTCTGCCCAAATGTGCTCAGCTTTTTCGATGAAACCACCCTTCATTGTTCACGGTCTTTCTCTTTTCGAATTTTTCGTTGTTGTAACTTCACTTGCTCGGCTGCATTGTTCAAGCGTTACCCTCCGCCTCCGCTGTCTCCTCTGAGTTACTATACATTAATGGATCGCCTTCAATTTTCAGATTGTCAGGGCTGTCGCCACACCACACCTACTATGTGCTTCTGTGACTGCACACAACTTGATAAATAGATGACACGGTCCGTGCTAGCTCGCGACGCGCACCGAGCACTCCAGTTTTGAATAGCCTCTAGAGGGCCATCTCTCTTTAACGGGAGGATGGAGCTCAGGTGGTTCCCCGCGTTTGCACAGCGCTCTCAAGGACGTGACATTCATAGAGCTGATGTCTGTAGCCGTAGCTTCTAGCTAGTGTGTTCCTCATAACAAGAGTTTGCTGGTTCTCCTAATAGCTCCTGTTGCAGGCAGCAGACCGAGCCGAGCGAGACTGGACAGATTGTTACGAAGTCATAGAGGCTGTAACTGGACAGTCCTGAATAGGGTACTGGTTTAATGCTTGCCAGTTCGACGAGATGGACAATAATGCGTCTTCCAGAGAAACCGGAAAACTGATCTTTGATCGTTATCCACGCTTCGTGAACCTTTGTGCAACCGAGCCTACTATTGATAAATTGCCACTCTCGTCCTTAAGAGGATACATGCCTTGCGCAGCTCGTAATTAGATACGTCTCTTGTGAGTCCCTGCAATTCTTGAGCAACGCCATTCACGCCCACACAACAAGTTAGCAATACCACTAGCACTCACTCCGTTGACGTAAAGGCGAGATCGGTAGAATTAGCCTTTGTACAACAGACCATTGCTTAACAATCCAACGAGGTCAGAGGCGATCACAACCTTTGGGTGCGCTTAGTGGAATTTCCCTCTGGGAAAATTCACTTTTCATGCAAGTAGCCAGCAGATAGCGTCTCATCAGGGCCAGTTTGTGATTAGGCCGTGGTGGCGGGCGCCCCTAGTTGGGCCGGGCAGAAAAATAACCGCGGACAACGCAGGTCGACCATACATAAACAAAATGACGTTCATCGCTAGAGATAACCACAAAATGGGAACGGAGGACTGTATCAGTGACACAGGCGGCCCAACCAAATGTAACATGATCAACGGTGACGATACCCAGCACCCTTCATTGGTGTTTCGAGAGTTGTGTCACTACTCATTGCAGGCACCAGCGGGAACGTTGAAATCCTGTAAAAGGAATAAAGGGAGCATTGAGCAAAAATAGGCGAGAATTAGATGCCATGCACGTACGTCGGTGCGGACATTTCCACCTTTTGAAGGGGAACGGGCGATCTTCGCATTAGGTCCCTATTGTGATCTTCTTATTCAACCGTGGGGAACCTCATGAGGGAACATGGCAACGTACCAATCCACGCTCACTGAATCCAGTCCAAAGCTCACACTTGTTCTGGCCTCCTGTGAGAATCTGGTCAGCCTGAATGATAGCATCGCGAGCATTGAAGAATCTGGTGATAGTCAATGAGCATAAACTTCACTAATGATGAGGACAAGGGGAAACCTACGTAGGACGGCAGGGCTGTAGTTTCAGGGCATTAATAACGAGCTGCAAGATCAACGAGTTGCCATGTTTAGGCACTAAAGGCTTCTTGGTCCCGTCAGGTCTGTATTCCTGTTTATTGTAAAAATCGCCCTCTGGAACAACGCCGTTTTCATCCTGCTGAGGCGGGAAGAGGGTATCCGTAAATCCGTGCTTTTTAATTAACTTCTGTTCAATGATCCAGAGGATCTCAGCCCACACTTCGCCAATGGCGTGGACATCTGCAAAGTCACGCCTATCCAGGATTTTGTAGGTTGTAGGATTGAAGGTTTTATCCTGAATAACAGGCGTTAATATGAACATGGACGTTGGTGTGGTTCCTCATGCTTACAATTGAATAAGGGTAGTGTCGGATTCCTTTTACGTTGTTCGCAGCCCAGGCACCCATAGGGAAATCCTTGTACGCACTGGTGCTGCGGACTGTAGTAGCGACGAAATCTAGAGACCCTAAGTTTTAACCCAAATACCCATACTCAAAGGACTCACCACCCCACCCTTCACCCATGCCACCACTCTCGCCATTTGGAAGGCAGCCACTGTTGGCAGGCCCTCCGGTGAGACGGGTGCTTAAACCATGTGTGAGCTCATGAATTACAATCCCGGCTTCGAAGCTACCGTCACGATATGGCTACGTGGCAGAAGTTAGAGTTAGGGCTTTAAGATCGCAAGAGAATCGCGCTTGCCGTTGCAGTGTTCCATATGTACATGCGGCAGATTCCGTGTTGCCCATCTGGGGGTCTATGAAAGGTTAATTAAAGCGCAGTGCCATTCGAGATACGAGGATGGCACCAACGTCGCAAAGTTGGCCTAAGGGGGGAACGAGATAATACGTAAGTTTCTGTTACACCAACCGGACGATGGGTCATACATTATTAGTACCGCTACCGTCTTGGGCGTTAGCGATGACTCCATCACCTTCCTTGCCTCCTTTCCCAAAGTTGTATTGTTGAAAATTACCGCTGACTTCGTCGAATCCGTAGCGGTAATATAGATCATGAACCTGTTTTACAAGTTGAACGATTTGATTGGAAGTTCAGAATCGGCTTGACGCACCCTGTTGATCGTATAAAAGAGCTGCGTAACGGTGAGGTTGATGTAATCCTTAGGGTTTGAGGAAGGCTTGTCCTCAGGACCGTACTTGTAGTTGAAGTTGAGATCCTCGGCGACAGGGCGGTAGTTCTCAAGCCAACTCTCAGCACCCTCCCAGTCCTCATGTGCAATAACCTGGAAAGTAGTGGAAGACAAGCTACTCAGATCTAAATGACGATCTTTGGTGGAGTACTCACGTTGTTACCCCAAGTCGTCGTGGTGTTGCGCAACCCCTTGGGCTTGGGTGAAGTTTGAGATGGGTCGTTTGCGAAAGGTAAAGAGTGCCAACCCAGTGGACTGGCGAGTTTGTCATATCCAGATTCAACCGAACGCACGCCTTCAGATGGGTCGTTGATGCCCCATTTCCACACGTTGTACTTCGGCTGGCTCACAGGTCGCGGAAGGGGAGCATCGGAGACCCAATCGATGACGGTGTGGATGTACGAAGGGTGCGACGCATCCATATATGCTTCATACCAGTTGTCTTGCATCTTGACTTCGAACTTCCATGCAAGAGTGAGCTGGGTCTCCAAAGTGGGAGACTGAACGTAGACAAGCTTGGCTTTCACGGGGCCCAGTGCGCCAGGGACGTTCTGAACTTCCGCGGCAGGATGGTGATTAGCGCCCGTGAGATGGTACGTGTAGACGACGTTCATTTTCTCTAGGTGCTTCTCGAAACCGTGGAGAAGCGATTCGGCATACTCGGGAGAGGGATGTGCAGCAATCATGAAGTGAAGCAATGCCTTCTGAGGCTCACTGAAACCATCTTGCGACAAGTCCGCCTCGTCGAACGCCAGACGAGCCGCGTTGACAATGGAAATGGTATTGCAATTGATATGGCGTGATTTCGAAGATGGGGAAATACGGCCAATAACGAGTTGCTCGTCATCCCAACTTAGCTCTTCAGCGGGTGGAGATCCAGCGTGCTTAGCGCAGAAGGTCCCATGATGGTCCTCCGCAGGCTTGTTGTTGTAGAAGTCGTAGGGGGCTCTTCCGCGGAAAAACTGATTGTAGGACAGGTTCATTTCTAACCTCAACGGACAAAAAGGCAATCTTACCGAGTCGCTGTACGAGATCACTTCATCACTCAGAATGTTAAGGTGAATATCCCCATCAGAAAGCTCAACACCGTTCCACAACTGGCGAACATAGATATGAGAAACACCTGTGCGCTCGTCGGTGTAGGAATCATCTCGAATGATGAAGTCAAGTCCCTCAACGAGGGGAAGCCCTGGGCGGACAGATGGGAGAGTAGTGAGGAAATTGAGCGCTACATCCCTCGGAGTGTTCAAGTGGGCAAAGCTGGGGACGTGGGCGGGATGCGTAAGGAACTTGGCAGTTGGATTTTCTGGCCCGAAGCCTAAAGATTTACGAGCGGAAGGTTGGTGCGCCACCGCTGCGGCTGCGAGAGTCACATAAATGCCTACGAAGGACCTCATGGCACCCGGATACAGGGGGACAAAGTGCCTACCATGGCGACTTAAAAACTATCTGAACCCCGATTTGTGCCTGATTTTTTTCAAAGGAGTCGAGCCTGGTGACCACTGCTCAACTCGGCGCCAAGAAATTTACACAGCATATTGGAAAATCCAGGATACTTCATGTCCGGCGAGCGCTGCGTGAATTCATAGTTGATTCCTAATTGCAGCGATTAGGGGGGCAGCACTTGGTATGATCATCACAAAGCAGAGCAAAGTCAAATACTCCGAGCGGCGGTCATCCTCCGGTCCAGCTCATGAGGCATTTGTGCCATAGTTATCGTAACGCTGGAACACAGGGCACAAGGCGGGCTTTACCATGTCCTCCATTACTCTGCACTGCAGAATCACCCAGGAGTTCACCGTGGTCACTGTGGCAAATTTCGACGCTGAAATTACGTCATCATCTTCATTACTAATCTTTGCTTACAGTGTTCTCTTTATCAAGTAAAACGATCCTCCTTACTCATTTCCTTCCCTTCTTCGCCATTCCTTTCTTGTGACTTTTCTCCCCTGCCCTATAGAGGCTGGAGTCCTGCCTACCCCTGCCCATTCCTCTCATTCCAAGAGGTCCCTCTTTCGGGTGTGGATCTGCCCAGGTGCTGGCGGCCTCGACATTCGCGCCAATAGCGTTCGTGACACCGTCGAACACCCATCGATGATCGAGTATTTCCTTTAACGCGCCAATCCTTCTTCCCTTCCCGAGCGCTCAATCCGAAAAGCACATGCCATGTCTTGCCCCCGATTAGACTTGCTGCTATTTCGGTGTAAGCGCCTAACGCAATCTTATCGATCGCATTGTGTTTCCCTCTCCCATGAGGATCATTCGCAACTTCCCGGGTCGTTCGCCATGCATTCTTTGCTGCCAAATGATGCGTGATGATGCTATAAGTATGCATGCAGTTGATCCGGATGGAAATCCCCAAATGTTTCCGTCCTGTCCAAATACTCGACATTGCTGTTTCGCAAGCACCATACGTCATACTCATCAACTCCTCACACTTCTGCCCTTGGTGACGTCAGTTCTCTTTCCCGTTAGCGATTGCGACCACTTGATGAAATTGCACAAGTCATTCCTGCTTGCTGCACGTACTTGTTCTTGCGATATCTCCCGCTCGTTTGCATTGTCTGCTTTCCTTGTTCTTTTCTGGTATTTCTCGTACGTAAGAAATGGGAGGGTCAATATTTCTTGCAAAAAGGAATGTGAACAAATGAGGCGTGACTTCATCGAAAAAAAGGGACAAGGTGCCGTGGCAAAGCATCAGTCGGTGCCTGTTTAATCTAATGTAAGCATGAAGACGCAAAACGCCATGACTCAGAATGGTGAACATCCACAAAATTCCATCAGCGCTTGCACTGCTTACTCTTGTTTGGTTGTGAGCCGTCTGGTTGTGCTGCCTGCTTGCTCTGCACAGAAGCACCGGCAACAAACTCTTGCTATGAGGAACACACGAGAAGCATGAATGCCGTGTCCTTGAGAGTGCTGTGCAGATCGCGAGGAATCATAGGCTATTTGAAATGACGCCTTCGTGAACCAATAGCGTTAAATAATCATTGATGATCCTCCTATAAAGGGCTAGGTTTAAATTCTTGCTATTTGGAGCTCGTTTTTGTCATAAATGGATGACCTATCGCCAGCGCCTTCACTTCTGCACCAGGGCCGCACCACCTCGCACCACCTCGTACGAAAACCTTTACTGGCTTTGTGGGTGATGCTTGATTTAGTCCAGAGGTCACGAAACTCTAGGATGATTCGACAGAACATGCTCCAAACGTTGCGACTTCAGCGTCATTCCCTGCAGTGGCTCAAAGTGGGTACGGACACGTCCAACTAAGGGATATCTCATGCCTTCTGACACGCAGTCCGAACCTTGCAGAGCTGTTGCCATAGTTTCCATCGCTTGTCCTTCCAGACCATAGCCGAGGCTCGGTGCAGCCAGAGGCCAAGACGTTTCTAATTTTCGCCCCATCCTCTGCCTCCTCGGCCGAAGTACGCAGTCTCAAACCTCCCTCGCCAACGCGATCAGTGGAAGTGGGCCGGAGGACGCGATGGTCGCGTCAAAAGGCTACAGGAAGTCCATCGGCGAACGACTTGGGGACTGGAACTCTTTACCCACGCCCCAAGTTCGCTGCGAGGACTAGCGGAGCGCGTTTCACTTACATGCCTAGACATGCTATGCTGGGAAGTATAGTTTCTAGTACTAATGTTCATACACTAGTTACATACCCACAAACGAGGTCCTCCGGTATAGCGGTGCTTGCATTCCAAACATACTTGAAGGTTGGATGGGCGCCTGGGCGAACGAGACGACGTTTCAGAGAGAACATCACATAATATAATCTTTCCGATTGGCCCACCTCTTTTAATCGAATGCCCCGCCGACGGCTAGCATAGGTAGGTAAAAACTCTCTTTTGTAGTGTCAAGCATGTCAGACTACTCAAGTATGACTGCGAACTGCACTGGCACCAAGAAACGTCGACGGCGAAATACAAGGGACCACATCTTGAGCACTGAGCCTAATGGCCTCTGGCAAAATGCGACGCAATCCCAGCCTGTCTCTTGGCATTTCAGACGATCAAATTTTGAGGGACAAATCTTACTGTAAGGTACACAAAGAATCGAAGCTCCAGTTTCCCTATTTATCAGAACGAGCTCCAATAGATTTATCACAAGTATCACAGTTAGATAGTTGGCGTGCACTGATAAGTGCTCATGAGGCCGGCAACGAGCACGGTCAGGTTGGGTCAGCAAGTCGTCGTCAAATCCAGTCCCTATTGGAATCAGCCCACACTTATTGTTCAGGAGCTTGCTGAACTCGGCCGCATGCCCCAGGCTTATAGCTCATATGAAGCAGCGAAGGAGCCCGGACTTGCCTAAGCCGTGGTGACCCGGAATGCATGAAATCCAAACCGATGTCTGCTTACTGGAGGTCGCCGTACTACATACTCGTGAGGGTCTCCACACAAAACTCCGGAAAGCGTCTCGGTACATGTTGACCTGGGTGATACAGAGCAGCTCGTGATGTGTATTGTTTTAATGACATGGGTTCTTGGTCACTTTTTCAGTCCATTATGCCAACTTGCTGGTTTGGAGAGTCCGCAGATTGATGCGGTGGGGCTGGGGGGAGAGACGCTTTAATCTGAAAGATCTGGACTCCCAGGCGCATGATTCTCTTATCCTTGGAGAAGTGTCAGGGTCAGTCAAGAAAAGGTATATAACTCTCCAGCCCACACATTGTGCAGATATATGTAATGGCTACGTGAAAGGAACAAGGAAGCGCGTCCTGTCGTGATGCAAGTCCAGTGCCAAGCAGTTCGCTTGGGAGGTGGAAGGGCGATTCAAGATCAGTTGTTATGGCTATGGGAGAACGGATACTGGAGATTCATTCCAAGCTACCAAATTGAGCTACGGCGGCGCAGCAAAGTAAGAACGTTCCTGGGATCCCCTATTAAGACATCAATCACGATACCATTCATCGGAATACAGAGAGATATTGTATTCGTCAATTTCTCAGCCTCTGGGCATGGCAGCGCTCGGAGTCGAAGAACATGTTCAGGAACAATACGGGGAAAGCGGATCTAGGATAAAAATTAAGGAACGACGCGTTGTTGGAATTGGGCCAGATAGGAGTGACAAAAGGGGATCGGTTGAGTCGGTGCGTGACATTGGGTAGGGTAGCGCAACGGCGACACATCGCAGAACGTCGTGAGGGCAAACAAACCTATCCCGGCACGGGTTGGTGGGAGCGGAAGGACGATAGGCTTACCAGATCCCAACGTTTCGCGACTCATGCAGGATGTGATGTTTTGGAATCAAGGTTTGCGCAAACGTAGCAAGATCATCTAATTAGCTACGAAGCGAAAATTTCTTGGGTAAGACAAACGTCTGCCTTACTCTGCGGCGTTGACCATCCTTCCGCGAGGGATATCCTAACCAGACTCCAATCAACAACAGCAGGTGCGATGTCAGGAGGACGGCGGAAGAGGTGTTCGTGGAAGGAAATACATTCCAAGCATATTCGATAGTTCCTAAAAGCATGAATCTACAATATGGGGGTCTAAGAAATCTGCGATCTTTTTGGTCATATCAAACTCCATACCTCACAACAGAGGGCAACTTCGATCGCCACAATAGGAAGGGAATTTGTTGCGCGTACCAGGCGTAAAACTGGTAGTGCAGGGACCGAGCAAATATTAAGCCGATTAGATTCGTGGTGAAAAGAATTATGACGATTTCTGTTGCAGGAAAAAATCAGTGAGAATCTAGATCATTGAGTTAGGGACATGCGTACCGTTCCGTGAAGATTCTGCGGAAGCCCCGCCCCTACTGGGTCCTCTTAGAGCCCGCTTAAGGATCGATATGGCGCCTCCATCGTCTGCACACCATTTATACGACGCAAAAAGGACTAGAGTGACCAAGTGGCTAATGAGGAGGACGTTCGCGAACGATTTGGATAAGAATGTTTCTTCGGGAAAAAACCTCCAGTTGACCGTCCATTTAAAGAGGAACACGCGAGAGAGGTCGAAGGCATGTGATACATATTCTCTGGGATACCGTTCTAGGAAGGGTTTGGCCACAACTATTTGGACAGCAAGGGCAGTCGCGATGTACTTAAAGGTGCAGAGAATCCCAGCATCCTTTACCAGAATAAGAAATATCCCGGGAAGATAAAGCAATATATTCATTTTGACGGAGAGAGAGACGCTGCTCCGGATCCGTGAAAACAATGGGAACGAGTAGTCATGCTGTCATACCTGTATAGCACTGCCGCTGCGAAGTATGACCGCTTGCAATGACAGATGAAGGACAGGAGAACGAAGAAAACAGCCCAACAGTCGTTGAACAGGCGAAGTACGTATATCGAGTGAAGCCGTTTGCTTAGTGCGACGACTGGCAAGACCCAGTTCGGTACACCACCAGCCAGATCGAACAGTGCCATGTAAAGAAACTGGTTTGCGGTATAGATACCCGCGTATATCTGCTGAGAGAGTCTCTGGTTCTTCCCGCCATCCGTCAGGTAATGCAGCAGCCGATGTATTAGAACGTGGCCCGCGGGATATCTCCAAATGAAATGTCAGAGTCGGGATAAGGATCCTTTTGGAGAAGAGGAAATACGCACACCAGTGGACCACTCGGGCCATGAATGAGAGAGTACCTTCGTTCGCCGGAATTGTACACTTCGATTTGAGACATGTATGTGGCGAAATCAATCTCAGTATCTACGTGATGAAGATGTCATAACACGTAGCTCAAGAGACAAGGATTGCAGGAACTCACAGGGGACGTATCTGATTACGAGCTGCGTAAGACATGCATCCCCAATAAGGACGAGGGCCGCAGTATACCAATAGTAAGCTCGGTTGCACAAGAGTTCACGAAGGATGGAAAGCGGATTCTTCGAATCAAAAAGCAGTTTCCCAGTTTTTCTGGTAGACGTAGCATTTTTCACGTAGTCGGACTGGCGGAGGACGGACATAAGCAAGTGGTTGACGAAGACGTATCGGATGCGTTGTTTACTCTTGTTTGGTCGTGTCTGTGCTATCAATACCCCGAGCGTTTTCAACGTTCACATGCTGGGAATGAATTATAAAACTAATTGCATGGGCCACGCAAGCAGCCTCGCCATGCTCTGTCAATTACTCTGATGCTTCTGTGGTCGGGATTTTGGAACAGGCTAACCTACTGAGGATGTTAAGGTAGTCCTCTAGATTTATCTCTGCCGCAATTTGCCACACCTAACCGCTGGCATGTTTTTCGGACTTTAGCTTTCCGACCACAAACGCTTTGCGGATCGTCTTTTCCGGGTATCTGGTGGCCAGCTGGAGGCTGTCATTTATTTCAACCGACATTACTTTAACATTGCAGTCCTACGCACAACGTAACAAGTCAGTATGAGTCCCGACCTGCTCCGTCGCAAAATGACGTGACCGAGGAAAGAGGAATTATGGGCGGTGTTAAACAATCTGGCTGAGATCGACGATGATCGGGGCTTTCATCTTGCCCTGGATAGAAATCGAGTTCCATCTTTACTAGCCTGGGGAAAGTAAGGCTTCGTTCTGGTTGAAGAAACTGGTTTCTTCGACCCGTTTCTTCAAGCAGTTTCTTTGGTGCCTATGATAAGAGTCAGTTTGTCGCACTCCCAGTTCTTTGGCCTCCAATATGTTCACGGCAAAGGTATCCTGTGAAGGGGATTAGGGTTGTGGATAAGTCTATGTTGAACGAGGGCGCTATTTGACTATTTCATCCATCCAGTCAGAGGGACATTGTCCTGTCTGATGCTATGGACATCGCGAATGGGGTTCGAGGCCAAATAATCCATATATGGACGGACCCTAGAGAAGTTGACCGAAAGCATCCAAGCAAGTGTCCAGATTGTATGCTTCCATCGCAACATAATTAGCCCCGACAAGCTGAAAGAATCTTCATATTGAACTCTCAGCCCACACTCGGTTTGTCCCTTCTGCTTGCAGGATAGCCCGAAGGCGGTCAGATATTAAACACCAAATTATAACGATACAGCATTTTTGACATTGCCACATACGACATACAACGGTAAGGCAACATGATTCTTGACCTACTTGACCACAAATCAAAGACGGTGGCTGAGGAAAGGGAAGTTATGGACGTCAGTTGGGGCATTGAAAGACCTTGCTGATATCAACAACGATCGGGGCTTTCATCCTGCCCTGGATAAGAAACCGAGTCCCATCTTTACTGGCCTGAGGAAGGTAAAAACGGCACCAAAGGTACGATTTGTTGCTGTATATCATTCGATCTCCATACCAAACTTTCCAATCATCAGTGGCTTCTAGCTGTCGCTCGATTGTGCGGTAATCAGATGGGATGGTGAGTTCATGGTTTCCGTTGAACCAGATCCACCGTGCAACATCAAGGCAAATTAAAGGGACCTTTCCCGCAGCAGAGGAATAAATGCCACAGTGTTCATATCCGCTGCCCTTCATGTTTGGTGAGAGGTCATAAATGGGGTACTCCAGCCAGGATTCATCTGAGTCATTCCCAGAAACTGGCTGGGTATCCTCTTCTGAGATCAGTGGAAAGGAAGGTTGATGGAATGTGGCATCCGGGGTGGGACAGGAGCGAGATGGAACAATGCCGGTATTGAGGACCATGTTGCCGGGACCTGGACTACGAAACCGCGCGATGAACTCGCCTGAACTTGTTGACCAGACAAAAACGTCATCTGCATCTGAAGCACAGACATATCGGCCTCTAGGAGAAAAGCCAAGCATGTTACGTTGAGGAAGAGATAAACGATTGTTGGGCCAGGAAGACAGAGTTGGAGGTGTGAGAAGCTGAATGGATGGGGTGTCTGAAACTCGTAAGACTGCTGTGTTCTTGTACCAATAGCCTTTGGCATTTTGTGGGACCCGTATGATGAAAGATCCATTGTCCGACACCACAGTAACAGGAGGGTAATGGCTACTGGGGAGAGGGCCAAATTTCACTGAAGGCATTCCACCGAGAATCGCAATGTTTCCATGAGTATCCTCAGTGGCAATGTGAATGTTGCCACCGTGGATAAACTCGATCCAAACAGGAGGATAGGGAAGATTGTTTTGAAATCGAGAGATGGTGCACTGATTATCAATGTCGGCTATTTCGATGATACCACTTCCAAATCCAAGTGCAATGTGATGGCCGTCTCTTGAGAGCGCTGCACAGGTCACAATGCCATTGCGAACGTTGTCATTGAGAAACTCGGCTTCATAATTGATCACCTCTTTGCCAGCATATTTATCAACTACCTTTGGCAATTTAGGCAGCTCCCCCTCCATCACCTTTCGAGCCCTACGTGCATCCTCACTTAGAGGGATAAAGCCACCAGCAAACTCGCCGGAAACACTGAAGACTTGGACAAGAGAGAGATGACCATAAAACTCGTAAACGGGCGATGACACTGGAGTGAATGGAAGGACGTCTCGATAAACATCCTGAAGACTCTTACGTCTAAAGAGGCTGCTGGCAGTACGAATGATGGAGGTTGACTTGTGATTCTGTGAAACAGAATGTTATGTCATTGAAATAATCGATTCATTTGGGCCTCACCTCCCAATCGTCGGGGATAGTTCCACCACCATTTGCTGAGAAGAATGAAAGCAAGTTTTGTGACCATAATTGTTCAAATTCTCTCTGCAATTCATTAGACTCTTCCGAAAAGAGGAGCAAAGGGTCCAAGTGTTGGAACAAATACATAAGTGTATAGTCGACATAACTGGGCAGCTTCTTTTGCTTCATGTCTCGAAGACCCCAGTCATTCCTCTGAATCGCACCATTCACAGTTTGAAGGAGCCGCAACCCAAATGAATATCCTTCTTTGTCGCTAATAAAGAACACTTTGTCCTCTTCCTTGCCGATCGGATTTCCTGTGATGAATTCCTTCACCGTTGCGTGGTAGAATTTGATAAGTCTTTTGTTCTTCGAAGGTAGACCGACTATTGAGCTGATGGGCTTGAGTGTCGAGTAGACCTCATACTCCGTGAACGTTCCCAGGAGCTGTGATATATCATACACGCTGAGTTCCTTCCGTGCAGCAATCATCATCCCAACAACTTCACGGTATTTCTTGGCGGTACGTGAATTCATTTCGGGATGCTGGCGTAAATAGGCTCGGCGCATTATCCGCAAGTACTCTGAGTTTAGACCCTGAGGTGCATCTGTGAGATTGAGATAGTAATCAAACTCGGATTCTAGCGTGGAGCCGCTTTGAGTCTGAAGATGCACGTCACGTATTCTGGTTGAGGCGATAATTGGTAAGCCACGGCAAGCTGAGGTGAAATCATAGAGATCCTTCGGAGTCGGTTTCCATGGGGAGTCCTTGATACAACCATGAAGCCCATCCGCAACCATACAATGGATCGTATGGAAATTCTCGTCTTCCGCAATCTGATCCATATCTTCATGAACGATTGAGAGATGTGATTTAGCTTGGTTCCAAGCAGAAATCACTTGTGGTTCTGGGCGACAACTGACGAGTATGGCAAATGTCGAAGGCAGCTCATCGAGCAGAAGAACGAGCCTCATCAAGGACCCGAGTGCTTCTGGATCACCGCACTCATCGAGTCCATCCAATACGATCACAGGGCGATCATTTCCTGAAGACAACACATCCCTGAGTCCAGCCATTGGATTGATAATCCAAGCTTTCATGTCCTTCTCTGCAGCAGAACCGCGAAGGCTGCTAAATGAAGCGGGCTCTCGAAGTTGCCTGATAAGCATGCTCTTGTATTCAGCATTGAACGCTGAAAGCTGAAGAGCAAGGGTGGAGGGAAAGCGCTCAATCGAATCAAGTCCTGTTCCCTGTTGGTTCTTATCCCAGAAGAAGGATGCTGCGAGGGTGCCCTGGCTATCGAGAGTGGAAGCCACACTCATAGATATCGCGGTTTTCCCGGTCCCAGGTGAACCACGCAGCCAGACAAATCGGTTCTTAGGTTCCCTCAGGTGATCGAAAATTAAGCCGCGAATTTTGTCCCGTGTGGTTTCGAGGCATTCTGACTTGCTTTTCACGCGGTGCCACTCAGCATCCGCTTTGGGCAGTTTTGAAAGCTCATCTGAAAATGGACATTGAGCTAGAGAGCCTGAATCGAAACAAAAAAGACAAACAGTCCACCGACACTTGAATCGTATTGAGAAGGTTCAAAGTTGTTGCCACAGTCTACAGCGAAGACTTTATTAGTCAAAGTTTAGCAGCATGAATACAGATCTTGCGAACCGAAAACCGGGAGAGAGCTTCACTAACGCACGTCCTCACACCATTTATGCTTTGCGTTAAAGCGCCTGCCGTGAATATTTTCTTCCTCAAAGGCTTCCGATTCTGACTCTCGAGCAACTTGATCCGCTTGACCTGGTCTTCTAGGGCCCTGTCAACGATTTTTCAATGTTGAATGAACGATTGGAACGGTAGCCACATACAAGTGTAATTCTTTGAGTGGGAAAATTACTTCGGGAGGAATGTGTCCCGTCCACAGCTGGAGGGGGCGCAGAATGGTGTCATATGCATTTTTCACATCACCACTCAGCCCTTTGAGAGCTTCATTATTACCACTAATATTCTACGTCAACGAAGCAAACATCAGAAACATATCATTACTAGTTGTGAGAAGCTGAACTTCGTAAACCTGAAGCAGCGTGAGAAGCAAGTCTGGAATGTTAGGGAGGAACGGGATGGGAGAAAATTTGAGAGCAGTGGATGCGGTTTGGAGAATGAGCCTAGTGGCACCGATGATACTCTTCTTTTTGCCATCTGACGGGCCAGCCGACGATGATGGAGTCCGTTCTGACACAGGGGGTACAGGAAAGTTTATCCCCGCATTTTCCAGTTGTGTCCGGATGTGTGCATTATTGCCGTAGGGGCTCCAAGGGTTGGGACTTGCGCAAGGAGTTTCGGAGCACGACAGCGATGAGGGGGGGGATAGGGATCGATCCGAATGCGCAGGAGATGATGGCACGGGCGTAGTGGGGACAGAGGATCCAGGGATAGGTGTGCTTGATTGGCTACTACCGTTGGGATTTGAACGCCAGGGCGTGACCTCCATACGTGGCAGCTGAAGGGATGGAGGATCACCAGAAGGTGACCGTGGTGCGATCTGGGGATGTCGGAGATAAGATCTATCATGCCGATCACGGTGAACGTTTTCGTTGAGAGTCTGTGAGCTAGTGGCATGGTTTTGTAGCGATGAGGCCGAGGCGTGCGATTGCGAATCACTGACAGATAGCTCAGTCGCACGCTTCGGCCAAGGCATCCAGAGCTTCCGAGGGTCACCGGAAAGCCCAAAAGTGGGCGCCGGTCCAGGAACCCCGAGATGAGGTCCAACTGGCCTGTTGCACCGATCATGAGGAATGTCGCGGCTTTGGAGAGACTGGGGGTCAGTAGGAACGACTTGATGTGATGGAGGGGAGGAATACAGGTGCGGATGATTATAAGATAGCCCAGGCAGCGTCGTCACACTGCTTGGGGAGTGAGAATCACTAGAAGTAGTTGCGGTTCCGTGAGGCACAATATACGCTCCACTGTGCCAATCATCAAGACTATTGTCGCCGGTTTGAAGGGTCAGCGGGTGGGTCTGGGAAGGGTCAAGTGATGAGGATGGAGCGGAAGATTGTTGCCGATTATCATCGGGTGCCATAGGGGAACGCTGTTTTGGTGGGTGAGGTTCCGGCCCATCGGTAGAGGGTCGTCGTTTTCGGCGGTCCATAGTGCGAGTGTCGATGTGGTCCAAAGCAGGGGCCGGAGGGTAAGTAGATTGACTCTCCACCCACGGCTTCTTATATAGTTAGAGATCCATTCCAAGCTACTGATAGGCGCGCGGTTTGAGCTAATTTAGCTACGGCAGTGCAACCACAGTGAAATGCGTGGCTCTGAGACTGAGGTACCCTATTATGGCATTAGTTCATCTGCCACCCGTCATATTACAAAGCGATATTGAGTTCGTCGATGCGCAGTCACGCACTGGGCGCGGCGGTGCTTCAAGTCACAGAACTGAATGAAACCCAGGCATTGTCGCAAGGAAATACAGGTATGACGTCTGTATATTGTTTGTTTGTCATGGGGGCTGGAGTCCTGCCTAGGTGTGACGTGAAGGCATGCCATTGGTGTCGGGGAGTACGATGACGCGCAGGACATAATGTTCTATAGTCAAGAATGGCAGTTGGCATAACATAGCAAGCGCTCTTTGACAAACCGCGAAGCAAAGATGTTTTAGTAGGATAGGCACATGCATGACAGGAGCACAGCGAAAGAGGCCAGGAATACATTCCATGCACATTCGGTGGTTCTTGAAAGCTCAAGTCTACACTAGTGTGAAAGGAACACTGTATTATTCGGCCAAGTCCGTACTTCACCTAATTTTATTCGCCACAAGGGGGGAGGGGGATTTATTGCACGGATCAGGAATAAAAAACTTGTAGCGCAGGGACGGAGAAAATATCAAGTCAGTTGGATTCGCTGTGAAGAGAGTCTGATCATTGAGTCGGGACAAGCGTGCCGTTCCATGAAGATTTGCGAAGGCTCCGACCCCACTCGGTCCTTTTAGAGCCCGCTTAAAGGCTAATACAAACACCATGTGTACACCACAAAAAGGACCAGGTGGCCAACGAGAAAGACGTTGGCGAACAGCTTTATGTAATGACGAGACGCCCCCCCGAGGAAGAACCTCCAGTTGCCCGTCCATTTGAACAGGAACACGCGGGAGAGGTCGAAGGCATGTGATACATATTATTTAGGATTGCCGTTCCAGGAAGGGTTTGGCCACAACTTGGACAGCAAGGGCAGTCGTGATGTATCTAAAGGTGTGGAAAATCCCAGCGTCTTTCACCAGAATAAGAAATATCCCGGGAAGATATTCATTTTGGCGGAGAGAGACACTGCTCCGGATCCGTGAAAACAATGGGAACGAGTGTCATGCTGTCATACCTGTATAGCACTGCCGCTGCGAAGTATGACCGCTTGAAATGACAGATGAAGGACAAGAGAACGAAGAAAACAACCCAAAAGTCGTTGAAGAGGCGAAGTACGTATATCGAGTGAAGCCATTTGCTTAGTGCGACGATTGGCAAGACCCAGTTCGGCACACCACCAGCCAGATCGAACAGTGCCATGTAAAGAAACTGATTTGCGGTATAGACACCCGTGTATATCTGCTGAGAAAGTCTCTGGTTCTTCCCGTCATCCGTCAGGTAATGCAGCAGCCGATGTCTTAGAACGTGGCCCGCGGGATATCAAATGTCAGACTCAGGATAAGGATTATTTTTGGAGAAGAGGAAATACGCACACAAGTGGACCACTCGGGCCATGAATGTGAGAGTACTTTCGTTCGCCGGAATTGTACACTTCGGTCTGAGACATGTATTCAATCTCAGTATCTGCGCGATGAAGATGTCATGACGCGTAGCTCAAGAGACAAGAATTACAGAAACTTGCAGGGGACATATCTAATTATGAGCTGCAATCCTCAATAAGGGCGGAAGCTGCAGTATAGCAATTGTTGTAAGACAGCAACGGTTGGTTCGACGCTTAGCGCAAGGATACCCGACCTACATTATCTCGGTGAGATGCCCGATGATTGATGTTAGGTTTATTTCTAGTCGGTCTCTACTGTCTGATCATTCCATGTTTATTTAGCATTTATCTTCCTTTTTCCGACCTGTTGGTCGCTTCACTTTCCTTCATTTGTAATAACTTTCACTCCTGTTACATTTGAGTAATCGATGCTTAAAAGCTCGATGTTTACTTCGCTGACGCCCTCAGTTCTCATTGTGTTCACAACCGCGAGACTGAGTATTATTCTATTCTAGTCCGCGTTAGCAATAGTAAGCTTGATTGCACAATAAGTATGGAAAGCAGATTCTTCGGATCAAAGAGGAATTTCCCGGTTTTTTTGGCAGATGTAGCATTTTGTAGTCGGACTGGCGAGGGACAGGAGACGGGATACGCTGTTTACTCTTGTTTGGTCATGACTCCGTACTCTGACACTCGTGCTGCTGTCGAAGAGAGGGAACACCATGTCTACGGTCATCACCTCTATGAATGTCGCATCCCTGAAGGTGCTCTGAAACTCATCGGATATTTGAAACTGACCCACCAGGCTCTCCTGGAAAGCTTGCCGTCTCCCGTCAATCCTCCCATTGTGCACCAGAGGCGCACCAACCCACGCTGTTACAAAAATGGGGCCGGAGGCGCCCATTTTCGTCCGTCCTTAACGCAGGAAGAGGGAAAGGTTGGGAAATGGGGTTCATATGGTTATACAGATGTTATCACAGGCAGTTTAACATTAGTTGTAACAGATGTTAGCACAGCAGGTTTTTGGTTAATTATTGATTGGTTAAACTATATTACTATATAAATCACATGATACAGAACCCATAAGAGTCTAAAATGGGAAATTCCCATTTCCATAACACACGCCACCCAGTGCGAGAACCGTTACTGGTTTTGAAAGCGATGCTCTTTAGTATAGCGCTCTTTTACCCTAATGGGGGGATACCAAACTTCAGGACGACGCGATAGGACATGTTTCGAACATTATGACTTGTAGCTCAGTTTCAGTGCCTGTAGTAGTTCAAAGTGGATGCGGTGAAGGAGAGAACGAAGGAAGGTCAGTTGGGAGGTTCAAACGAGACCACCACCAAGCTGTTTTATTCCAATTTTATTTAGTGACATTTAGTTAAAAATGAGACTGAAATGATAAATGAGTGAATTATTCAGGTTTAAAACTGAAAGAAAAAGTTGCTAGTAATCAAAAATTACTCAAACGAATGTGTTATACCTCTCTACTTCATTAGAACATCGTTCCCTAAAATTCCCGCCATGGTCCGTCGTAGTTTAGTAGTTTTCGTGAATTTCGTTCTTATTCCCTGATTCCCCTTTGTATTATCACATCCTAATCCTCCATATGTATTGTTCGTTGTTATAGTAGGTCGTCCTCGAAGATATCATATTTTTATGTATTTTATTTAGGGCTCTAGACCTCTTGAAGCTGTTTTCCCGCGTGTTTTCAGGTTTCTAACTTCATGTCCTTGTATCTCATTCATTTCTGGATGTTTCCTCACGTTCTTAGTATCATAAATTTTCATTTATTCCCACCTTTCCAATGGTACTAAGGTTGTGTCCTATTTCCCTGTATTCGTTGAGTTAGCAAAGTTTCGCGCGCACATTCGGTAATCACGTGCGTCGTTCCCTTAGTCGTTCGTATGCGGGAGCCGTTTTCGTTTATTTGTTCGGGATTTATGATATGCACGGGTGTTTATTTCTTTCATATGGGCTTCTGTGATTTATTTCAGATTTTTCCCTCATGTTCTAAGGTTGTTTTGCACTTTTCGTGCTTTGTTTTGACCGGGCTCTTCCTTATTTGGACAGAAATTGGTCTTTGCGATCTGCCGAAGTGCGGATCTCAGTTCCGATGGCCGGTTCCCTGCGCATCGCCACCCTCACGTGTCATTACACATGATGCGGATTCCTATATTCCCGTCATGGGTATAACTTCACAATGGCTGGACCGTTTGGGCTGAGAATTTGCATAGCTATAGTTTCCTATTTTTCATAATTTCCGTGTAAATTTCGTTGTATGTTTTAATTATGGATCCTACGCAATCATCATCTTGTCCCTGAGCTCGGACTTTTGATGTCGCTATTCCTGTTATTGGATTTCTCGTTAACGCATGATCCTTTTATTATGGAAATTTGGGAGGATTAAGAGTAGATCCCTTCCTTTCTAATGGGCTATCAAGCTTGTCTCGGTCGTTACTAGTTAATCTTCGTGCTTGCTTTTTAGACATTGTCCTCGTTTTGCAGGAGTTTTAGTCATTTCTCCGTCGTTTATGGGTAGTTTCCCCTGTAATTACTCTCATTGGTTCCGTTTGGGGGACATCTATATTTCCTATTATAAACACGACTTTGACTTTTGCATTAGTTCCTGAGGAATCTTTGTTCCGTGGTACTTCCATCCTTGCTACGTGTGCGGACATGGGAAAGTAGTTTCTGTGGAGGTTCTCTGATTATTTTTATAGTCAAATCTTGGTCGATTGTCCTAATTCTTGGTTTAATATTTGCTATAAATTCCCCCGAGAATTCCGTCTCGTTGATGGTAAGCTTGAAGTATTTTTGTTATTTTTCTTTCTTTCGATTTATCGTGTATAGTCATAATAATTCGTAAAAATTCATAAAATTTGTTAAAATTCAGGTCTTTCTATGTTCTCATATCTACTTGTCGTATGAGGTTTTGTGATTTATCTGGCATATTTCCATAATGGGTTTCCATAGTGTGGCCGTTATTTCTCCTACAGCGGACATATCCAAGATAAGGGATTCATTGTCCTTGTGCGTTCCAACATGCATCTCAGGCCTTGCAGAGCCATTGGCACACCCCACCCATTTCACTTGTCCTCCCTGACGATAGCTTGGAGCATCTATGCGACAGAAGGCGAGACGCTTCCAATCCTTCCCAGCCCAAGGCCTCTTTGGTATCTATACATGACTCTATCTAGAGTATACAGTCCCAACCATTCATCTCCAACGCCGAAGATTCCTGCCAACGGCGACAAAGGACACGATATTCGCGTTGAGATCATTCAAATAGTCATGGGAAACAACAGGGAATCAGTTTGCAAGCCAATTGGGACTGGAACCTGTTACCCACTGCTCCAACTCGCTAGCAACGACTACTGGTGTGAAGCACTCACCTCATACCCAGATATTCTACACTCAAAATTGTTCTAGATTCTGGTGATTCGGACACAGTTTTAGCTTCGAATATGAACTCGAGTTTCAGTGGGCCATTGGGACCAAAATAGCCCGCTTCTGCTAGTTTCGAAACCATTTATCCAAGCCCCCTCCCGCAGGATTTCTCGAAGCTCATGTCTGGCTGTCCTCGAAAATTAATGGTCAAGATGTCGTCCGGCTGGGCGTCCTCCAGCATCATTGGTACTCAACTTCACATGGCAGAATGAACCCCGATATTTGGAAGATTTATGTGGAATACTCAATGACTGGACATGCAGCCCAGGAGTTTTTGCTGAAGCCATCGGTCACCCTCCTGATGATGGATTCGCTTCACGACCCAAAATGGAGGCCGTCGGTGTGGGTCTCAGCACAATGCTTCATTCCGATTAGTGTAACTATTTGTCTTTGGAAGCGCCAATGGGGCTGCGATCACTGATACCGTTCGTTGGATGGATGTTGAATATTACGAACGTGGGATTAGTAGGCTACATCGAGTGGCGAAAAGGGAATTGCCTGGAACTAACATGTTGAATGAGGTGGTTTTGAAGGTTACCAGGCACTACATATTCGAAAACGTTGCTGGAAACAAGCATTTCTATTCCCTTGGAACGCTTCACCTTCAGGTCCATTCTTATTTCTATAGCCTCAGTGGCTTATTTCCGACCTCTATCGAAATAGCATGTGAATCTAATGAATAGCATTCAATCATGTCTCCAGCATCGTCAGACATGCAGCAAATCATGCAGAGCGGAGACAAAAGCCATACCTGACTCTGAACATGCAGAAATTTAGCACGTTGGACATGTGTGTTCTGAATACAACCATGAAAGCACAAGTGGCCGTTTCTTGAGTATGGAGTCGTCATGATGGTTGCATGTCAAAATTTCCCGGAGCTTCTGCACTGCACCGCAATACGATACACCCCACCTGGATTGACAACGTGCCATTGGCAGAGACCAGATGGCAGCATAGATTCGCAATTATCAACTCCGCTCTTTGCACAGTGCCAACAGTGCCCCCTTTGAGATTCCCTGTTTTCTTGTGAACTGCTCGAAAACGCATTGAAACTGAAACCGAATTAGCCGAATCCGGAGACGTGACATCTTCGGAAGTGGCAGTAGTTCCGTCGAGAAAGGATGTAGTGAGGGACACGCATGTCAGGCAATATAACCACACAAGAAGGCCTGGGTAGGCACTGAGCTCCTTAATATATTGTGTCACCACAATGATAGTGCACAGTGGGAAGTAACCCTGGCAGATGGTGTAGGGTTGCCCCGGTACTAGCCCTACTAGGTAGCCCCATTACCATTTGACAGGGCCAACCATCAGATTTCGAGTGCCGGGACCTCCTATCAGATATGCGCAGTCTGACGGGGCCATCCTGACTAGGCAGGGTACCAGCCTCTATAAGAATAGAGGCTGGGACTCGACTGACCCTCTTGAATGGGAGCCCATATTTCAAATTGCATTAAGGAACGGATTCTTACTTAACCAATTCAAAAGGGAACTCCCATAATACATACGTTCAGAGTATTTATTTTGTTTGAATTCACTTCCTAAATAGTATACTGCCGTTTCGGGCATTGTTTACCTCTACACTGGTGTCAGGGCACAGCCCTTGACCCCACTCACCCTCAGACACCCTCACCCTTTCCCTAACCACCCCCTCCTCACATTTCCCCATTCCCCTTATCCTTCCCCCCACTGTTTCACATAATGACACGCGCACGCGAACCCGTGGGAACATTCTGGGCGAGCAGCTCGCCCAGAACTTTCCCACGGGTCACACCCATTATGGAAAGTCGGCAGCAAGCGGGAACTGTATAGTTCCTAGGGTCCTTTTGTGTCGGCCTCACAGGGGGCTGAGAAGCTTACCCTTCTTCTCAGCTCATTCCCTGTGAAGGCTGAGGCCAGTCCCCTCAGTGACTTCGAGGAGTTAGCACCTGGGGAGAGTACCCCAGCATCCACACCCGGCCTCGCCCTCCGGCCACTCCCAGCTGGGGTCCGGGTCCTGACAACTGGCATACAAGTGGAAAAAATCCACATACATGCCCATGGATACCCAAAGCTCAATGTGTGCACTTGGAGGTCACCCTCAGCAAACTCCACGCATTCGGAGGCAACTCAACCCTGGTACATCATTGGGTCGACCCCCAAAACGCAAACTTGAGACACTTTCCAACACTCCTCAGAAGCGCAAGTCACCACAATCACCACGATCACCACTCAGCGACCTAAACAATCCTTCAAGTGAGCCTCATGCTTTCTCAAATAATTCTGGGAAATTAAACCCACCTTCTTTATCACAAATGGTTACAGAAGCCACTGATGTCTCAGGTTCCAAGCATGTTGCACACACATCCTCTGGTCTCCCTCCGATAGACTTGAGTGATCACGGAGTCAACACATACCTTCCCTCTACCCCTACCTATATCTTGGCATGCAAAACTTGCGGCTCCACACAGCAACAACAGTATGTGCATGCTGCTGGCAGTGAAAGGCTCCGTGGCGTGAATCTTGTGATGGCTATCATGCACCGGGAGGGATTGTCCTTAGGAAAGTTCCTATCTGTCATTTTTGACTTGCAGAGCAGAAAGGATGCTTTACTTCCCAGTGCACATCAGAAAGTCAACAGCTTTCTCAAGGGCTATACTGACCAGGGAACGCTGTTGGAGATCAAGCACGAAATCATGTATTTACAATTATTTACTCCGAAAATATACCTTAGCGGTCTACTGTCATCTTGTCCGACCCCGGCTCTGGAACTCCCATAACCCTATATTTTCTATAAACGCAACCTGTTGATATTGTAAGACTCGTCTTTGAACATGACTTTGGCCGTGACATGGGATGCCAGCCAACATACCACCCACTCCCTCCTTTCACTTCTCATCCTCATCAAGAGGCTGCTGGTGGCTTCCCTGCAAGCGCCAAAGGAATTCAGGCAACAAGCTTCTATGAGCGTCAAGACTTCAGTGGCGAGGGTTCTGAAAAGTCATTGAAACAGTACTTTGCCCAGAAAGTACTTGAGGAGGTGGATCAAGAGATGACATTGTTAGCAAGCGACAAAATACTGAAAGCCGGTGAACATACAGCACTTACATGGGCAAAAGTGACCGGCTTTTCCTTCACACAAATCCAAGGGAGAGTGAGGGAAAAGGCCCCACTACTCTGGACAATTCTCACGATGAGTGCAATTGGATCAAATGTGTCTCGCTTGGAAAAGGCCTGTGAAGATGCCATTGAGGGAGCAAGAGGCTGTGGAAGCAAGAATAGACGGGACCCGTGGCTGGTTTGTGCTTTAGGCAACACACTCACGTACCAGATCTGATCTTTGGTTGGTCAGGGATGTACCGTATCCATTCTCATCCTGGCCTACTTCCGTTACGTCAAAGCGAACATGTTACAAACTGTGCTTGGGAACGTACTTTTCACCACCAGTGCTCACTGGTCTCTCCATTCAATTCTTGGGCATGTGGGCCTTGTCACTGCATACAGCAACACCCTTGAATGGCTGTGTAGTCTGGGCCAAGATAAGAAAGCGATGCTGAAAGCCCTCGGCTGCGCACTTGTGGCAGGAAAAATTCAAATCCATCTTGTCTACGATAACATAAATCAATATCACTGAGCTTGGAGAGCAAATCTTACCAATCAGAACAAGCTCGAGAGTGGAACAGCTGCCACTGTGATTGTACAACGCGAAGTTGATGGATTGAAGGACGCATTTGACGGACCGGAGTATGAGTGCCGCAAGTCAGAGTCAAGCAACAAATCTATCACCTTCAAGAGTCTCAAGGCCGATCTGAAACCACTCCACCTCGAAGGTGTTGCCATTGCAAATATCCTGCGGATTTTCCTCAAGTTTATACCTCACCTTCAAAAGTTCAAAAAAGATGTCGATAATCTCCAATATGTGAAATATGCGAAGTGTCGCACGAAGCTGCAGAAGACTGAGTACCATCCACTGGAGTGTTCAGGTTTTAATGAAGCATCTACCCAAGGCAACCGTGATGTCGTGTTGGATGCCTTTGTTCGACAACTGGGACTGAGCCGTGATGAATTGGAGGGAAGGCAGTTCCCGGTGTCTGGGGACCAAGCAACAGTAGCCCGCTTACGCACTCTACTCAATCAAACATCACTCTGTCGCTCCTGGTTCACTGCACATAAATGGGTGCTCCCCGTTATAGAGCTGTGGCACCTTAAGTGGGCGTTTTTAAAAGGGATTTTCAAGGCTCACTGGGCATCAAAAGTAGGGAAGGGGGATGTTGGATTTCGTACTGCTGCTGAGGCACTGGGGTGGAACATCAATCCTGAAAAAGTCGAATTTTACCCATGCTACCAGCTGGCTGAACTGGTCTTAACAACCATGACTCTTCATTATGCCAGGTAAGTCTGTAATCTCTTTGTCTATCCATTAGTTTGATGCCTGTCATATCCATACAATCCCGACCTCCACTCCGGGCTCCCGGAACTCCGAACCTGACTTCCGGAGTCCTACTTCCCTTCCGTCACCTCCTCCTTGCCGACTCCCAAGAGGTTATCCCACCTCCAGCTCTGACACCACCTTTGGTCCAACTCCGGGACATTCCGGGTCCGACCCCAACCTTGACACCTTCCAGACAAGTACACAAAACCTATGCTCCCGACTCCGGACCTCCACTCCAGAATCCCATTCACATCTCCATCTCCGGAACCTCCGGTCTTAGCTCCGACCTCGGACTTTGACCCCACCTCTGCTTATACCCATTGTATTGGTTAGCTCATTCCATTTAATTATGTTTGCCAATATTCCGGAGTTTAACTTCCGAGTTCGGACTTTCTGGACTTACCTCGGACCTTGCAACTATTGCATCGTCCTATTCAATTCCGCTATTCTCCCTCATTCCTATTTGGGCTGCTGCTTCCTTTCTATTCAGTCAGCTAGCCATTCCCCACTCCCAACCTCCTTCCTTCCTCCTTGGGCCATGGCCCTTCATTCCTCCTTTGAGAAACACCATTGAGTCAAACCCTTGACCCTCGGTGTTGTTCCTCTTTCCATCTCCCTTTGTCTCCTTTTGTCCTACCCTTGTTCCTTTTGATTCCGGACCCCCCCTTATATACAATGTACCTAGTAACTTGTAACCTCAGTCCGAAATCGACCTGAATTCCCCCCAAGAGACTTTCCCTCTGCTAGATTCGAAATTAGGGACCCCCAGGACAACCAGCAATGGCACAGTGCTCCACCTGAGTCGCTGAGGCCAAGGTCCTTCCATGCTAAGTCTCCGATTCCATTCCGGAGTCATCTGAATCCGCACGTTCTAACAATGCCCATCCTTGATCACAGATGTTTTTTGCGCGAGAAGGCTGCAACACAGCCTTTTGTCTCCAGTGAAATCAATCGATTGCACCTCATCGAGGAGCTTCAAGAATATTGCAAGCCTGGTTACCCGCTCCATCAATGTTCATTTGCTGACTTGGTTGATCTCGCGCGTAACATATATACAACATATGGCACAACAGAGGCTGCGACTTTCGCTCAGCACCACAACTCCACTGTTGGTGGGGCCTTTTTTGGCTCTCGGATGAGTGGGATTCATTCATCTCCAACTTCCATGTTGTCCCCCACACCCCAACCATCTTTGTCTGAGCCAGATGATGGCATTTCATTTCTTAATACTGGTGACATGGATGACGCCACTCCATCTGACAATCCCGACCCCATTGCAAATGACCTTCCCCACTTAGATGACCAGTTCACTGGTGACACACAACTTTATAATAGTATTGTCCTCTATTGCGATCTGCTCCATCTGTACAAGTTCAACACCAGTGTACATGATGGGGACATTGGTCGTACATTTGAGGTTATTCACGTAAGTTTTGTTCAATCTCTAAATTACATAAAATCTGATGTTGCAGTGGCTCCGTTTCTATTTTTTTGGTGTTGGGTCAAACAACTATGGCAATGAGTTGCTTCAACAAGCCTGTGATTTTGTTAGATACTGATCCGGGGTCGGGCACCGAAGGTCGCCGATGCGGACCGCTAAGGGCCACGATGGCCGCGATGCCTCAGACAAGGCCCGAGGGTAGGGCATTCGGCCTCAGCAACTCTAATGGGAGTGCTGTGCCCCCTAGTTGTCTCTTGGCCCTCATTTCGAACTTACTGGGGCTGCCTTGTTGGGGTCAGGGCTTGGGGTCGTGGTCAAGTCGATATTAGAGCTAAGGTACTATAATGTAGTATACAGGATATATATATGAAGGTGGAATGAATAGAAGCGGACCCGGGCCGAAGGCCGAAGGGTCCGGAAGCAAATAGGAACAAAGAGCGGGGTTGGCCGCACCGCGGCCGGCAATGACCGAGGGTCAAAACAAACAATAACAGATAAATAAATGAAGGGGTGTAGGGCCGCGATAGCGGCGATGGTATCATAGCGGAGTAGGCGATGTCGCGGAGTCACGCTAGGTCGGTGCCAGAGGCGGACTCGGGGCAGGGAGGTCGGTGTGGCTGTGGGGGAGTCGGCCAGGTGCAGGGGAGCCTAGGGGCAAGCGGGGAAGCGAGCAGGGAGTCCTCATGGAGGATAGGGCTGAGGTTGGGGCTTGCGCTTGCGCTCGCATAGCGGGAATGGGCTCGGGCGGCATCGGGATGGGCGGCTAACGGGCCGGGATGCATGGTCGTGACAGATTTCTGGTGGCACCTACCCACAGCGACACAAACAGCAATTCTCCTCAACTACTTAGTTAACCCATCTGGATTGCCCAGCCACTTTCACGAACGGGACTTACTTCAAGAACATTTGAACTTTTGGTTGAAGTGGGTTTTCAATGGACGAAAGAACGCATTTGATTCTTGCTTTCTCAGGGAAGCCGTCTCACTTAATATTGTTGAACTGAAAGATTTACTTCAAAGCTTCATGGGGATGATCGGGCTTGCAAGAGTTCATCCAGGTCGTACCCAGGCAGACATCGAAGCAGATATCAATTGCCTCAGAGTGGTGTATCTCCGGGAGTCGCATCATCTGTACGTCCCTGGTCGCTCCCAGACCACAAAGTGTATAGATGGATTTGCATTGGGGGGAGAGAAGCTTTTGACATGTATCTTGGCAACCCAATCTAACTAGCTAGGATACTCAAATCCATTTAAATTCTAGACCTAACTCTCTTGTAAATGTCTCCATTAATTGCCCTAGCGGTGAGCCTAACTTCCACTTCCCTTTCGCATGGCTCTAACCCAATACTTCGTCCATCAAAATTCTAGGTCCAATTGTCCCCGTAAACATCACTTTCAGGGTGAGTCTGATTTGCCGCTTCCCTGCTGTGCACCTCTGACTCAACACTTTAGCGGATGTTGTCATATCCATCCCCAGCCATCGACTTCCGGTCCCTCCGTTCCCTCCGGTCTAACTCCGCTCCTCCTTCACTAACCTTGGAGCTCCCGTATTCCACAATCCTCTCGGTACCCCTCGATGGTCACCACCCCCTCATTTCAATTTATTACCTACGCCTCCCTAAGTACAGAGCCCCGAAGACTTCCGGACAGCTCCGACATCCGCTAGTGCACCCCCACCTCCGCTGGGCAATACAATCGCCTGCCCTGCAGAGCCCACCTTCGGGCTTATCCCTCCTTTCCATTTCTGGGTTATTGCCTGCCTTTCCACTAACCCTGCGACCCAACTCGTCGGTAATATTCAGTCGGCTAATGTTTAACCCCGTTAGCTCTGCTCCATTCGGCTCCGCCAATTGCGGACCCATCTTCGCTGTAACCATATATATATCCCGCTTGTACATAGGTTACACTCCAGTAATAAAATCAACTAGAGTTACCCCCCCTTAGGTTCTGATTGCCAGTCAGTAAGTTAGGGCACAGACGTGTCACTAGGCACAGCGCTCTTGGCAGAAGTTGCTGAGGCCGAAGCCCTCTGCTACGGAGACACTCCCTCATCTCGAATCTGGTCTCTGACAGATGTGAGAGGCCTTTTCCACATGCTGCTGCAACCAGAGTTATTCCCAAAATCTTTTATGTTGTTTGATTCAGGATCATATCTACCCAAGTTTACATCTAATCCTCTTTGTATCTGTTAATTGCTTTAGCAGTGAGTCTGATTTGCCGCTTCCCTGCAGCACGCCTCCCACCCAACACTTCGGCTGATGCGGGTTCTAAAGTAATATGAGATTGCTAGCGAAGCAGGGCAACTCAGTCTCAAGCAAATAATGCGAAAGAGAACTAGAATATATTACCTAGCGAAGCGGGGCAACTAGAGGTAATATACAGTATATAAGTATAGATTGAAATAAAGGAATGATGTTGCTAACCTCAGTCTCAAGCAAATAATGCAAAAGAGAACTGAGGGAAAAAGTGATTCAAAGAGTGGTAATTCCCATGTAGTTTGGGAGCGGGATAGTCCGAAATGAATACAAAAGAATGAATAAATAGATGTGGCTGGCCAGGCAAGTTCCTCGCTCGGCCGTGGGAATGTGGCTGTACAAAAACTCGCATGGCCACGCTAGCGCGCTGTTTTCCAACAGGTTCTACTGCCATTTCCCTGGTGAGCACCAATCCCTCATCGCCATCATCTTGTGCGACTTGCACCCGAGATCGTTTGCGGACTGCAGTGCTCTTCTTCATTTCAGCTTCTTTCTGCTGGGCTTTTGTCTGCTTGCGCTTCGCATTCCACCATGAATTGCATGCGCTCACCACCGGAATGAGAGACAGCTTTTCTTCATCACTGAGGTCAAGCTCCAGGATATTTATCCACTGGTCCAAGATCTCTAAGGTGCGACTTTCCATTGTTGCTTGGTGGATTACTGACACCAGCAAGCTGAGTGCTTGGCCAGTGACTATGAAATTGGGAGGATCCAAGTGACTAAGTTTGGCTTCTGCACGGCGTCTTGCCCACACATCCTCCCTCCAATCCATCAAATTCTTGAGCCCTAACCCAATCATTTCCTTATCATACTTTGGTAAATCATTGGTGTCTTTGGCCAACTGAACTGAAGTTGTTCCACACATCTTTGGTGATTTCTTGGCATACTCGGAGGCCACTTTGCATCAGCAAAAGGTCCTCAAGGTTTCACTTCAAATGGTTTGAAAACAATTGAGTTCACTTCTGAACTGAATTGAAACGTGACACCTTTACTAAAATGCTTTGGGAAATTGGTCAATTCAGCCAGTTTCATTGTATTAGAAGCAACAGGATCATCAGAAGTGTCCAAAGTTGACCGTGACAATTTCCTGATGTGTCAAGGTCCATGGGTGGTCCGGGGTGGCAGCCAGGTGCCTTGCAGCAATTTGCTGGTTTCTGGCAAGGTTCACCATAGTAAGAGCACACCACTTCACGGCAGCACCTCATTGGCCGTGGGTTATAGTACTCGATGATCACTGGAGGACACCTATCCCGATACTCCTTCTGTGCTGCAAGCATTTTCTCTGACATTTTTCGCTTTCCTGCTACAAGGTCGCCATCAAGGTCCACAACATTTTCAATCCGAACCGCATCTGACGCATATATGATTGCACGCCCCCCTGCCCATCCCGACCAGCCCGTCCATTCCATTGCGTGATTGCTTCAAAATCTGCTGGTAGGTCAAGGACAATGACATCACGTACTGCCATGTCTAATCCTACTTGTCCAGCTGTCGTTGCAACAACAATCCAAACTAACCCAGACTCAAGGTCAGCGAGGGTTTGGATCCGGTCCTCTTGTGGAATGATCGAATGGAAGGGGTGAACCCACGCTGATCTTTCCCCTCCCTCTTCGAATCTTGCAAGCTGCTTATTTAACCATTTTACTAGGTTCTGAGCAATTGCAATAGTCCCAACAGCAATAAGGGTCCGCAGTATATCATTGGGCGATGCAAGCGCGTTGAAAGAGGGCTCGCGGCTCTCTATGCCGACCAAGCTTGTGGGGCCAAACTCTCCAAAACCTCTACTTTCTCTCTTGACTTCGCTATGCTCGATCCTAAAACTCCGTGGTGGGTTCTCCGGGATTCCGCAAGGTCCGGGCTCAACTAATCTACTACCCACTCGTTGTGGGCTAGACAGTTGCCCTTATTCCTACTGTTGGATTCCACACACTCACTCCAACTCTAGCGTGTCCTAGAGAATTTTGGGGGAGGGGAGAACTTCTTTTCAAAAATCCGGTATGTACAGGATTATAAGAAATAATTATTTTTAGAAATAATAGATGGTGAATATTGGTACCATATGGCACCTGGGTACCTTATTAGGCGAAATAATAAAAAGGGTAACAGTAACAATAAAAGAATATCAATCAATAACTGAAATGATGGTGAAATATGAAAATAAGCGATATCTCCAATGGATTTACGGAATTAAGAGCCTAAATTGGAAATGTAGCCGGAGATAACTCTCACGCAGCCAATGAGCATTTTTACCAATTTATTAGACGCCGTGGGAACGAGTGAGGCTGGAATTCTGGGTTGCCGCCTGAGATTCCCACGCCCGCACATGCCCGTGACCTGCTGTGCCTAACTTGCCCAACATTGAACTCCGTCAATTCTCCACCGATTGGGACGTTCTTGATATCGTCAGAATCGTACGAATTAGGACTATTTTTAGATACCGAATCCGTATCGAATTGTCGCATGAATGGAAGGGGTTTTCTAATCGTAGAAGCGGGTATCCGAGCCGGCTCTGCACGTGGGCGATTATCCTGCCTACAGCGTCTGGAACAAGCCAAGCTAGGTCTGGGAACTCAGTACCGGTGATGGGATATTTTAGGGTATGTGGACAATAAATGAGGTCAGTCCGATCAATTGGGAGTGATACATCATCGAATTGTGGAGGTATGAAACCCAGGATTTCTTGTGTCTTAGGTCGTGCAGTCATAGGGTGCATGGAACCAGACATGGCCAGGAATGTGATGTAGGAAGGGAGAAGGGAGCGCAGTTTTCCCAGAATTTTGTAAGACTCTCGAAAACCATTCCCCCAAGGTATGATGAGATGTGCTTCATCAATGACACAAAACCCTAGTTGATCTTGGAAGGTTATAGTTTCGAGTAGCTCTTTGAAATTTTTGGTTGGGATCCTCTTTGGTGCGCATGCAACAATATCATACTTTCCGGATGTGGCCTCAGTCCAAAGTATGCGAGGTGGATTTTCCTGTGATGCCCACGTCAGAGATTCATTGTGAATTGCCAAGAACTGTATTGCCTTCAAGTGGGCTCTGGCTTCCTGCATTATGCATTATGTGAATTTGGGGATAGAACACTGTTCAGGTACCGACCTGGTCGTCCATTAGTGCCCGAGTTGGATAAATAGCTAAAGCAATTCTCCGCTTCCACATGAGCTTCCGAGCCAGAACAGCTGCAAGCATCAGTAGCGTCTTCCCGCTCCCAGTCTTGGATGTAAGAAAAATATCTCTATTATGGTACAAGCGGAGAGCATTCTTTGCCTGCCATTCACAAGGCCAAAATCCAAACCAGTTTTTGATTATCTGAGCCATCCACTCCACCGTCTCGCAACGTGTATGTTGTACTTTCTGCACAAGACACTGCAGCTTCTCTTCATCTGGTATAGCAAGTGTGCTGATGGGTGTTGTGCTGCTAGGAACCTCAGCCATGGGTTAAAAGGGGAGGCAGTCACGGCGTTGAACAAGGGAGCGTGTTACTTAATATAAAACTTCCATTTCCGTGACATTGTCGCTTCTGAAGTTCCATTTCTGTCCAACTAAATACAAATGTGTTCCTTAATGGAATTTGAAATAACAGCTCCCATTCAGAAGGGTCAGTTGAGTCCTTGACTATGGCTCTGCCTAGACTTCCGTGACTGCCTATTTTGCATTTTCACAGAGAAGTCCCTTGCCTGCATGCACGATATCTTGGAATCGTTGAGTTGACCGAAAGCATTCAAGCAAGTGTCCGGATCGTATGCTTCCATCACAACGTAGTTGGCCCTGGCAAGCCGAAAGAATCTTCATATTTAACTCTCACAGCCCAAACCCGGTATGTCCCTTCTGCTCACAGGATAGCCAGAAGGCTGTCAGATATTAAGCGCCAAGTTATAACAATAACAGCATTCCTGACATTGTCACATACAACATATGACAGCCACGGTAAGGCATCATGATTCTTGACCTACTCAACCACAGACCAAAGATGGTGGCTGAGGAAAGAGGAAGTTATGGATGTCAGTTGGGGGATTGAACGACCTTGCTGATATCAACAACGATCAGGGCTTTCATCTCACCCTGGACAAGAAATCGAGTCCCATCTTTACTGGCCTGAGGAAGGTAAAACGGTCTTGATGGTCCAATTCATCTGATTTGTTGTATATCATTCGATCGCCATACCAAACTTTCCAATCATCAGTGGCTTCTAGCTGTCGCATGATTGCACGGTAATTGAATGGGATGTTGAATTGACGTTTCCGTTGAACCAGATGCCTGGTTGGATAGAAAGGTAAATTAAAGGGACCTTTCCTGCTGCAGAGGAATAATTGCAAAAATTGTCGTTCGTCATGCTTGGTGAGAGGTCATAACAGGGGCACTCCAGCCAGGATTCATCTGAGTCATCCCTGGAAACTGGCTGGGTATCCTCTCCCAAGATCAAAGGAAAGGCGGGTTGATGGAATGTAGTGTTCAAGGTGAGAAAGGAGCAAGACGGGACAATGCCAGTATTGATGATCACATCGCCGAGACCTGCACTACGAAACTCAGCAATGAACTCGCCTGAATCTGTTGACCAGACAAAAACAACATGCCCATCTGAAGCACAGACATATCGGCCTGTAGGAGAGAAGCCAAGCAGGTGACGTTGAGGAAGAGATAAATGATTAGAGTTGGACCAGGAAGACAGTGTTGGAGGTGTGAGAAGCTGAATGGATGGGTTGCCTGAAACTCGTAAGACTGCTGTGTTCTTGTACCAATAGCCTTTGGCATTTTGTGGGACCCGTATGATGAAAGATCCATTGTCCAACACCACAGTAACAGGGGGATAACGGCTACTGGGGAGAGGGCCAAGTTTCACTGAAGGCATTCCATTTCCGAGAATGGAAACATTTCCATGAGTATCCTCAGTAGCAATGTGGACGTTGCTACCATGGATAAACTTGATCCAAACAGGAGGATAGGGAAGATCGCTTTGAAATCGAGAGATGGTGCACTGATTATCAATGTTGGCTATTTCAATGACGCCACTTCCGAATCCAAGTGCAATGTGATGGCCATCCCTTGAGAGCGCTGCACAGGTCACAATGCCATTGCGAACATTGTCATTGAGGAACTCGGCTTCATAATTGATTGCCTCTTTGCCATATTCATTCACCACTTTTGGCAATTTAGTCAGCTCCACCTCCATCACCTTTCGAGCCCTATGTGTATCCTTGCTTAAAGGGATGAAGCCACCAGCAAACTCGCTGGAGACACTGAAGACTTGAACAGGGTCTGAGAGATGACCATCAAACTTGTAAACGGGGGATGACTTCGGAGTGAATGGAAGGGCCAATCGATAAACAACCCTGAGACTCCGGACTCCAAAGAGGCTTATGGCAGCACAAATGATGGATGTTGACTTGTGACTCTGTGAAACAGAATGATATCACGTCATCGAAATGATCGGAATACATTTGGGTCTCACCTTTGACCAATTATGAGGAATAATTACACCACCACCTGCTCCGAAGAACGAGAGCAAGTTTTGTTTCCAGAATTGTTCATATTCTCTCTGCAATTCATTAGACTCTTCCAAAAAGAGGAGCAAAGGGTCCAAGTGTTGGAACAAGTGCTTAAATGCATAGTATACATAATTGGGTCGCTTCTCTCGATTCATGTCTCGGAGACCCCATTCATTCCTTTCAATGGCACCATTCACAAGTCGAAGGAGCCGCAACCCAAATGAATATCCATTCTTGTCGCTAATAAAGAATACTTTGTCCTCTTCCTTGCCGATTGGATTTCCTGTGATGAATTCCTTCACCATTGCGTGGTAGAATTTGATAAGTCTTTTGTTCTTCGAAGGTAGATTGACTATTGAGCTGATGGGCTTGAGTGTCGAGTAGACCTCATGCTCAGTAAACGTTCTCAGGAGCTGTGATATATCACACACGCTGAGTCCCTTCCGTGCCGCAATTACCATCCCAACAACTTCACGGTATTTCTCCGTGATACGTGAATTCATTTTGGGATACTGACGTAAATAAGCTCGGCGCATTATTTGCAAGTACTCCTCATTTAGACCCTGAGGTGCATCCGTGAGATTGAGATAGTAATCAAACTCGGATTTGGAGCCACTTTGAGTCTGAACATGCACATCACGTATTCTGGTTGAGGCGATGATAGGTAAGCCACAGCAAGCTGAAGAGAACGCATCGAGGTCCTTCTTGGTTGGCTTCCAGGGAGACTCCATGATACAATCCTGAAGCCCCTTCTCAACCATACAATGGATCGTGTGGAAATTCTTGTCTTCCGCAATCTGATCCATATCTTCATGAGCGATCGAAAGATGTGGATTAGCTCGAGCCCAAGCCCAAGTGCAAATCACTTGTGGCTCCGGATGGCAACTGACGAGTATGGCAAACGTCAAAGGCAGTTCATCAAGCAGAAGAATGAGCCTCATCAAAGATGCAAGTGCCTCGGGATTCCCACACTCATCGAGTCCATCCAATACAATCACAGGGTGACCCTTTCCTGAAGACAATAGACCCCCAAGTTCATGCATAGGGTTGATGATCCGAGCTTTCACCTCTTTCTCTAGAGGAGAACCATCAATACTACTGAATGAAGCAGGATCCCAAAGTTGTCTGATAAGCGAGTTCTGATACTCGGCATTGAATGCCGCAAGCTGTCGGGCAAGGGTGGAGGGGAAGCACGATATCGAATCGAGTCCTGTTCCCTCTTGGTTCTTATCCCAGAAGAAGGATGCTGCAAGGGTGTGCTGCTTGTCAAGCGTGGAAGCTACACTCATAGATATCGCAGTTTTCCCCATCCCAGGCGAACCATGCAGCCAGACAAATCGATTCTTAGGATCCCTCAGGTACTCGAGAATTGAGCTGCGGATTTTGTCCCGAGTGGTTTTGAGGCATTCTGACTTGCTCTCCACACGATAATATTCAGCATTTACTTTGGGCAGTTTTGAAAGCTCATCTGGAAATGGCACTCAGATAAAGAGTCTAGAATCAAGCAAAAAAGACGAACAATCCACCAACACCTGAATTGTATTGAGAAGGTTTAAAGTTGTTGCCACCGTCTACAGAGAGCGCTCTATTAGTTGAAGTCTAATGGCATAAATACAGATGTTGCGAACCGCAAACCGGGAGAGAGCTTCACTAATACATGTCCTCACACCATTCATGCTTTGCATTAAAGAGCCTGCCTTGAATATTTTCCTCAAAGGCTTTCGATTCTGACTCTCGAGCGACGTGATCCTCTTGACCTGGTCTTCTAGGGCCCTGTCAACAATTTTTCAATTCTGAATGAACGATTGGAACAGTATCCACATACAAGTGTAATTCTTTGAGTGGGAAAATTACTTTGGGAGGAATCTGTCCCGTCCATAGCTGGAGAGGGCACAGAATGGTGTTATACACATTATCGGAAAAAACCGAAATCCGTGGAAATGCGTTGCAACGCAATGCAATGCCCAAAACGGGTAAGTGGCAATGCAACCGTGGTGTCGAACACTTGATGTTGCAATGGCTAGGTCCGTGTTGCAACGGCTAGGTCCGTGTTGCAGCGGCTAAGTCCGTGTTGCAATGGGTTTGTAAAATGGACCAAAAATGAAGACCACCCCAGTTTCGAACTCACAACCCTCCAGTGGAGCCTATTACTATATAGGGAATCGAATGTATATAGGACATATTATTAATACACAATTACAATTAATATACACAACCATAATACCGCTTGGCCAGCGAGCTCCTACATATACCTACTCTACTTGGGCTTTATATCAATAACTATTGATGAACCGTGGATGGTCCGGAATAGGAACACTCCCTTCATCAGTTCAGTGAGTAGCAGTCACGGGCTTCTCTGCAACACCTGAAGCGATGACACACACAAAATATGGCTGAGCTGGCCACTTCAACTTATTATCAGTGACTCGGAACATGATGAGAGGCAGTGGACTGGTATGACTAGGTGCGCAATATCGTGTTTGCTTTAGGGTGGTTCTGCTGGGTATGGCACAATACTGTTGTGTCATATCGCGGGTACCTCAACAATAATTTATTACGTGCGCTTACTACTATCTTACACCACTCCCTACTCCTATGCAGTACTGGCAGATTGACACCTCCCGACTTCATCATCACCAAACCTCATCAGCAACACTGTTAGGCCAGATTGTAATATCGCATGCACACCGACTAATCTCGGCACTATATACTCAACCTCGCAGCGGATGCCCATTGCCCCAGCCATTCCTGCCACCACCACCAAGCCGATTAGCAGTCAGCAATGGGATTGGGATAATGTTGCAACACTGCATGCATTCTATGCCAACCAATCCCAAAGCAGACGGCGTCCCCCATCACCAAACTCGCAGCCAGCGCTTGTATTGCACATTAACACCTCCAACTCCCTCATCATTGAGCTGATCTACGAGTGTTGGACTTCTCCTTTCCCATTGTTGTCAAATAGTAAAACATGTAGTTAGCAATTTGAAATTCAGTTTTCAATCCTTCCAACTACCACAAGGCCCTGGTTCGCTGTCTGCAATCTGCCTGCAATCTGTCCGATAAACATTGAAGGAGGTTCCTTTCACGGCCCACAATGTCCATCTCACCAAACCCAAGCTCCAGTGCATTCCGATCTTGTCGATTCCAGGCACCAACTAGCTCTGAGGTTGCGCCACCTGCTGACCCTCCTACCAACACTGTGTTGAAATCCTTGTTTTCTTGGTACGCTGTGGACTGTCCATTGAGTCTGTCGGACTATACATCTTGCGCATGGGCATTTCCATGAAGGATTGCCTGATGCTTCTACTTTTGGCATCCATGTTGATGAACGCAGTCGAGGATGGCTTAAAAGCCACCTTGCGCGATTTTTCTCTTTCCTCTCTCCTCAGTTCACATCTTTGGAACTGAGGTGAGACTCCTTTTTCATCACTTGGAATATTGTCTAATCTTGTACATATTTCCTAGCGCTAATTCGCGACTAGGTAATGACTAATAATACTTAGTTCACATCTTTGGAACTGAGCACTAATTCACGACTAGTTCATAATTTCAATACACTGATCCTCTCACCCACACTGATACCTATGATAAAATCAATGATGGCACTGATGCAGATGGTTCAGATCCTGGCTCTCGTGATATAACCAGTATTAAAAGTGTCGAGAAAAGAATTCGGGAATATGCAGCTCTCTATGCAGTTCTCTATTCTCCCTTTTTGTCAAAAGCTTCCCTTAGAGTGGAACTCAATAGCAACTTCCATTCATGGACAGCTGAGGCAATGTTTTCATCCGAGGCAAATTTCAGCCAATACTGTGTCCACAAGATTCTTGAAATGAAGTACTCTATATTGACAGATGAGCTCCACACTCATTCTGGAGTTATGCCCTGGTTGGCCAAGGTATTCCCTATGTCCTGGTGGCTTGCCTTACAATTAATTAATCAGATATTTCTGGTATGGCTAGTTTGTTTCTGATGTTGGGGCAAGGAGACAGCAAATGATGAGCCGCTTGCGAAAATCAAGCCTTCAACTGTTTGGCATGGACTTAAGTGTAACATTGCTGAAGTCAGGACATGGCCCAACTGCTGAAGAACGCCAACAACATCTCGGAATAATTCCTGATTCTCCCACTCCCATCGATCATCTGCCCTTGTTTTTGTTTCCAAATAATGACCGTTCTTGTCGCCAGCATGTATTTCGCTCACAGGTTGTTGCAGCTGTGAGCACTTTACTTGTGTGTTATGCTAATCATCTCACTCATATTGCTCAACAAGGCAATTATTGTTGGACCTGCTGCACTCAATGATGCTGTGTCTGCTATCCCCTTCCTGGATCTCCTTTGCTAGAGGATTGGGAATCTGCAAGGCTGCATGCATCGCCAAAGGCATTGGGTGTTACACATGCAGTAACTGAAATAACTCCAGGCACTGTTGCCATTGTTGCAATGCTGGTGGGCACCACTAAAATCCTATTTGACTGTCTTATACCAACCAATTGAATCTGAAATAACAGGTCTATTTCATGCTATCTGGTGATACTGAGTTGGTTTCTGCCCATGGGAAACCTAGTCACACCAATTATCTTGACATCCTTCTCAACTTTTACAAGTTCATCCTCACTGTGCTCAAACGAGAGGAAACTGCTACACTCCATCCAATGCATGAAACAATGCAGTGGTATCAGCATTTATTGTTTGGTTCCCCTGCAAGAACAGAAGAGTCAAATCTGTTGGTGGAAGGTGGAGGCCTTGCTGGGGGCCTGGATGCCCTTCTTGCTGAAATGGATGTCAATGATAGTGAGGTGAGTCCACTGTCCAATTTCTCTGTATGAGTTTTGACATGGGGCGGGTCTCCATCTTGTGTTGATGCTGAAAATTTGCTGTAGGAACCTGAAACAGATCCAGCATCACCCAACATGCCCTCTGAAGAGCCTCATAAGTTCAGCCAAAACTCTTATATACATTTTGGTGCTAACACTCTCACAGAGGGCCCAGAACCAGATGTTCAGACTGAAGTGGTGGCTAGCTCTGCAATTAGCTTGGGTGAAGGGGGTTTGACAAGGCATGGGCGCAGAGGTCGAGTTCATAGAAATGACAGCCCTGGAGATAACAGTTCCAGAGAGGTCAGTCGTGGAAGGAGAGGCCAGAGGCAAGGGAGCAGAGGCAGAGTTAGGGGCAATAGTGGCTGTGGAAGTCATAGAGGCCATGGAAGTCATGGAGGCCAGAGTGCTGCAACTGGTGATGAGTAGCTTCTGTGAATACACCATGTTTATACCCCTTTCCCTTTGTCTGTTTTTTCTCTTGTCTTTTGTCTGTGTTTTGCCTTTGTCTGAGTATGTCCTTCTGAGTATGTCCTTGTCCTTTGTCTGAGCATTTCCTTGTCCTTTGCTTGTGTAACTGTCATGGTCCTTGCATGTTCTAATGAAATAATCATTGGATATAGAGCCTAGGGATGGAAAGTTAGACTAGGTAGATACATACAAGGCAAGTTGGTGTCAGGGAACATGTGTCAGTTTGACCTTGCAGCTGAGAATCTCCACAACCACTCCCAGTTCCATTACCCCCAGTTGTCATATCCATCACTTTCCACCACCTTCCATCACCTTCCATCACCTCCAACCATCTCCATCCCTTCTGCACCAACCTCAGGACCTCAAAATTCCGTATTCACCTCCACACCCCCCAATGGTCACCACCCTTATATTACATATGCCACCCTAGTGTTAGAACCAGGTGAGAGTGGACGATTCCAGAGGGGAACTGTAAGAGACCAGATCGAGACAAAGGATTGTCTCTGTGATGGAGGGCTTCAGCCTCAGCGACTCAAGCCAGGAGCGCTGTGCCAAGTTACACATCCATGCCCTAATTTACTTATTGGCAACAAGAACTAAGGGGGATCAACTCTACTGAGGTGTAACCTATGTACAAGTTGAGTATATATAGTTACAGCGAGGGCATGTCAGAACCGTGCGAATCTTTGCCGATGGTAGCCATAGGCGACCGAATGTTGCCCGCTGGTGGTAAAGGCGTCCTACACATGACCGAGCTTTAGCGAGGGATAAACCCCACCGATCTCAAGGCTGAGGCTACTTAGGTGAGTGAGCTGGGATTTTGGCTTCAACGACTCAAGGAGGAGCATTGCGCCTCGTTCTTGATGTGGTCCTGATACTTCAGAAGGTTGGAGGTCTTATGGGGGACAGAGGTAAGCTTAGGGGTGAATTCTAGTTGATTTCGAACTACAGTACAAGCATTAGTTACAAGCTGTATATAAGTGCTAGGGAACTGAATAGGGAATAAGTCGCCAGATCTCACAGAGATTGCGGGCGGAGAAAAGAAGGAGGAAAACAAACAAGAAGCACATGTTCAAGACAGCGAAGGTCAAGTGTGACCTTCGCCACGAGATAACAAGGTGCGGTGAAACATGGAACAACAGGTCGCAGCACCCTGCACCGCTAGGTCGTTCAACGACAATTAGGAGAGGGGTTGTGGAGAGGTGGCGGGAAGGGGTTAGACAGCAACGGGTGGTGAGCGGAGTGTGCGGGGAGTGTTTGGGTGTGGGAGAAGGTCGGGGAGGAGGTCGTCTGACCCTGGGGAATGCTGGGTCGTGACAGGGTGGGCCCGTAAATGGCAGGGCCAAGTGGAGTGGAGCTAATGGAGTTAAACATTAGCTGATTGAATATTACCGACAAGTCAGGTTACAGGGTTAGTGGAATGGTAGGTGATAACCCAGAAATGGAAAGGAGGGATAGGCCCGAAGGTGGGCTTGCAGGGCAAGCAAGTGAATTGCCCAGCAGAGGCAGGAGTGCACTAGTGGATGTCAGAGCTGTCCAGAAGCCTTCAGGGCTCCATACTTAGGGAGGCATAGGTAATATATTGAAAAGAGGGGGTGGTGACCATCAAGGGAAGCAGAGGTGATTGCGGAATATGGGAGCTCCAAGGTTAGTGAAGAAGGAGCGGAGGTAGTCCGGAGGGACCGGAGGTAGTGAAGGACGATGGCCATGGATGGATATGGCAGAAGGTGACTAATTAAGATGATGAGGGCAGAGTCAATGGAGGATGCAGGTAGCTCCAAAGCCGCAGTTATGTCAGGGTACCGAGCTGCTTGGACTCTAAGTTGAGGGATCCCAAGCCTTCGCTGGAGCTGAGGCCAAGGGGGACAGGGTCAGTCCCAATGGGGGAACCCAGTAAAGCGGATTGTGATAGGGATTCCAGCTGAGCAGCGAGGGGAAGTTGTTGGAGATCAACCTCAAAACATGTATTTACATATATTTGTGCTGACAATTCTATTCAGCGGTCTACTCTCATCTGGTCCAACCCTGGCCCTATTGTGGCCTCATCCTATGGTTTTCTATAGAAGTGAGAGAAGAAAGTTATCTTCCTCACTCGCTACCCAGGGAATGATAAAGTCAGTATGCCCAGCAAAGCAGGGCTGCTCTACAGAAGGAAATATAACAAATGTCTGTGCCAGTCCAGGGATGATGATCAGGCTGTGCGGGTAATGTCGGTCTGGGGCAAGTGTGTGTGTAAACAGTCCGGACTTAACCAGGCTGTACTCTGACAAGTTACCTATCCAAGAAATGTTGGGTGACTCCAATAAATGAAATGGATAGAAGAAGGGTTTAGAAGTATATAACAAGATGTCAGAGGTCCATTGGGAGGTTGGAGCATTCTGGGGGTGCCGGAGGTTCCGGCTTGGGACCGAGCTTCCGGGATGGAGGTGGCTTAGGGTGAGTGTGCCAAAGTCCAGGCTGGAGCTGAGATGGTAGGGGTGGAAGTGGGGTAAAAACATAAGGAGAAATGTGTTGGAATTTGTACACATGGTCTTGGGAACCTAAATGCTAAAATATGGACATTCTGGGAGTCAAACCACAGAACCCTGCATAGGTACCAAGAGTGTGTTACCATTACACTAAATGCCTGCATTAGGCGGAGGTGGTTTCTAACAAAATGGTGCAGAGGATGGTGAGGTTGTTAGGAAGGTGTAGTGAGGTGGGAGAGTGTGGGGTTGTGTCATATCCCAGAACCCCGACCCTGCACACTCCCACCACATCACACCTTCCTAACAACTTCACCATCCCCTACACCATGCCTCCCCACTCCCCAAGTCACCTTCCCTCCTGACTGTCTCAGCTCTGGTCTGGTTGCGGCACACCAAACCTTGGCCACTCCCATCCCGGAAGCTCAGTCCTGAGTCAGAGCATTCAGAGACTCCGGATTTGCTCCGATACCCCGATGGACCTCCGACATCCTGTGACACACCCTTAAACCATTTCTCCACCCATTTCATTTATTTGAGTCACCCAATATCCTTTGGATATGCAACTCCGCTTTCGGAGTTACCTGCATCCTTCGGTGATCTCACTCACGTCATCACTTATTAGTCACCTTCCATTCTTAGCACAACTATCTTCTTCTTACCATTCAGTCGGCTAACCCCCCCTTACCCATTTCTCGTTCCTATTCATTTTCCGGCCTCTTACTCCGCCCTCCATGGTCCGACACCTCGGTTCCCCATTAAAGATATCATTTGGGACCTTTCGGTACCTCTCGGTATCATTTGGCACCTTTCGGTGTTGTCCCATTGTCATTCGGACTTTGACTAAGTCCATTCCATTTCCCTTTATAAATACCTGTAGATTAGAACCTGTAGTTCCTCAGTTCTAATCTCGACTAAAATGCTACCCAAAGTCCCTCTGAGTGAATCCCGTTCTGTTCTACAAAATACCTCAGACATAAGAAATACAAGGACTAACTGAGATGTAACGGAGGCACAGCGCTCCCTCCGAGTCGCTGAGGCTGCATCCTTCTTAGAGCCTCTTGTACCATCCAGCAGAACCAGGCTTCCTGGAGAAGCTTCGGTCCACCACCGGAGTTCTCGGATCCCCCTCTAGTTGAGCCCTGCCTGCATTCAGACTCACGCATTTACCCCATACGATCCGGGTTTTTGACAGGTCAGGATTCCAGGATATGGCAGTAGCTGGCTAATGTGTGCCCTGGAGTCCTCCCCCAGATGACCATCTGACCAATCCAAGATGTGGCTTGAGTTTGACATGGTGATGTGGTTGCCAAGTGGTGGTAACTTCCCATTGCATTTTAATGTGGGAGTTAAAAAAAATAAGTCCAAGAATTTCAACAATGCCAATAATGAGTTTTAATCAATCAATAATCAACCAAAAACCTGACTCTGGAACTACTCATTACACCACATGTGCCACCACCTGTTCTACTACCTATAAACTCTCATGAATCATCTCCCCCCTTTCCCTGCACTTAGAAGCTTTTAATTCATTTCTTTATATATATTATATATATACCATGGACAAATTGACCCATAATCATTAGTTATATTACTTCTGGACTGCGAGTGAATGGCTGAAGCAGTTTGCCATATTTAGGATGCCATATTACAACAACAGGTTGCAGTGATGCAATGCAACACTTCAGTGTTGTATCTCATTGAAATGTGTTGCAACGCGTTGCAACTACAGTCACGTGATGCAACGGATCTGCAACTTTTCGGACAATTTTGCACATCATCACTCAGCCCTTTGAGAGCCTCATTATCACCACTAACATTCTACGTGAATGAAGCAAGACTCAGGAACATATCATTACTAGCTGTGAGAAACCGAACCTCGTAAACCTGAAGCAGCATGAGAAGCAAGTCTGGAATGTTGGGGAGGAATGGGATGGGAGAAAATCTGAGAGCGGTGGATGCGGTTTGGAGAATCAGCCGAGTGGCACTAATGATACTCTTCTTTTTGCCATCCGACGGGCCAGCCGACGATGATGGAGTCGGTTCTGATACTGAGGGTACAGGTACGTTTATACCTGCGCTTCCCAGCTGTGCGCGGACGCGTGCATTATTGTCGTAGGGGCTCCAAGGGTTGGGACTTGCGCAAGGAGTTTCGGAGTGCGACAGCGACGAAGGGGAGGATAGGGATTGGTCCGAATGCGCAGGAGACGACGGCGTGGGCGTAGTGGGGACAGAGGATCCAGGGACAGGTGTGCTCGATTGGCTACTACTGTTGGGATTTGAACGCCAATGCGTGACCTCCATACGTGGCAGCTGAAAGGACGGAAGATCGCCAGCAGGTGACCGTGGTGGTGCAATCTGGGAATATTGGAGATAAGATCCCGGCGATCCATGACGCCGATCATGGTGAATGTTTGAGCTGGGGGTCTGTGAGCTGGTGGCATAGTTTTGAAGCGATGAGGCCGAGGCATGCGATTGCGAATCACTAACAGATACCCCAGTCGCACGTATCGGCGAAGGCATCCAGAGCTTCCAAGGGTCACCGGAAGGCCCCAAAGCGGGCGCTGGTCCAGGAACCCCAGGATCAGGTCCAACTGACTTGCTGCGCCAATCATGAGGAATGTCGCGGCTTTGGAGGGCCTGGGGGTCAGCAGGAAGAACCTGATGTGATGGAGGGGAGGAATATAGGTGCGGATGACTGTAAGATAGCCCAGGCAGCATCGTCACACTGCTTAAGGGGCAAGAATCACCAGAACTAGTTGTGGTCCCGTGAGCCACGACATACGCTCCATCGTGCCAATCATGAAGATTATTGTCGCTGGTTTGGAGGGTCCGCGGGTTGGCAGGATAGGTCTGGGAAGGGTCAAGGTCAAGTGATGAAGATGGGACGGATAATTGTTGCTGATTATCGTCGGGTGCCATAGGGGAACGCCGCTTTGGTGGGCGTGGTTCCGGCCCATAGGTAGAGCGTCGTCGTTTTCGGGGGTCCATAGTGCGAGTGTCGATGTGAGCCAAAGGAGGGGTCAGAGGGCAAATAATTAACTCTCCACCCACAACTTCGTGTATCTATTAAAATAGCTGTGTGAAGGAATCGGGCAAGAATGCGTTGTCCGCGATGCAAATTCAATGGAAAGAAATGCCAGCTTAATTGATAGTTAGAGATCCATTCCAAGCCACCGATATCTAGGCGCGTAGTTTGAGCTAATTTAGCTACGGCAGTGAAATGTGTGGCTCGTGGACTGAGGCACCTTATTAGATCCTCTGCCACCCATCGAATCACAATAGCGGCACTTAGAGTCACGGAGACTGAATGACACCTGGATAAGAATGAGAAAATAGGGCATTGTCCCAATTGGAAAATACAGGCGCGACATGAAGATGAGTGGAGGCATGCTGTTGAGTGCGATGACAACCGCCCCGAAGTGTCGTGAAGGTAAATGGAACTGGACAGCGCCCGTTGATGGGAGGGGGAGTACGTAGAGTGTGGGGCCTGCCGACAACAATTTTTTGAGATTCGCGCGGGACATAATGTTTTACAGTCAAGCATGGCAGTCAAGGATCCTTTGACAAACCGCGAAGCGAAGATATATTGGTAAGATAGGCACTTCCCCTGCTGTACACATCTAAGTTGGATGGAGGGCGCTAGCCCCTTCTAGAGGGATATCCTAGCCAAACTCCAATTAACAACGAAAGGTGGGATGCTAGGAGCACGGCGAAAGAGGCCGGAAATACATTTCGGTAGTTGTTGAAGCTCGAATCTACACTAGCGTGACGGAAAAATCTTCGGCCTTCGTACCTCATAACCGTTGGCAATTTTAATCGCCACATATGGAGGGGAGGGGGAGGATTATTTGGACGTACCAGGAATTAAACTTGTAGCGCAGGGACGGAGAAAATATTAGGTCAGTTAGATTCGTTGTAAAAAGAATCTGATCATTCAGTGGGGACAGGCATACCGTCCCATGAAGATTTTCAAAGGCCCCGCCTGCACTCGGTCCTCTTAGAGCTCGCTTAAAGGCCAATATGGCGTCTCCACCATTTGGGCACCATGCACACAACGCAAAGAGGACTTGGGTGCCAATGAGAAAGACATTGGCGAACGGCTTTGACGAGACATTTCCTTGGGGAAGAACCCCGAGTTGACCGTCCATTTAGAGGGGAACACATGGGAGTGGTCGAATGCACGTGAGACACATTTTCTGCAATACCGTTCCAGAAAACGTTCCGCCACAAGTACTTGGACAGCAAGGGCAGCTGCGATGTATCCAAGGGTATAGAAAACCCCAACGTCCTTCACCAGAATGAGGAGTATCCAATCCAGAGAAGATAAACAAGCACGCTCATTTTGACGGAAAGATCATGCAGAGATGCTGCTCCCGATCGTGAAAATGATCGGAAGAAGCAGTTGTGCTGGTATACCTGTATAGCACTGTTGCTGCAAAGTACGACGGCTTGGGAAATGAAGGACGATAGAACGAAGAAAACAGCCCAATGGCCTTTGAAAAGGCGGATTACGTATATCGAGTGAAGTCGTTTGCTCAGCGCGACGACTGGTAAGAGCCAGTTTGTCGCACCCCCAATTCTTTGGTCTCCAATATGTTCACAACAAAGATATCCTGTGAGGGAAATTAGGGTTGTGGATAAGTCTATGTTGAACGAGGGCGCTATTTGATTATGTCCTTCATCCATGCAGTCAGAGGAACACTGTCCTGTCCGATGCTATGGACATCGCAAATGGATGGAGTTTGAGGCCAAATGATTCGCATATGGGCAGATCCTAGAGAAGATTTAGGAAATGCATCGAGTGAGCAAGAAATGGAATACCTGCCGATTTGCATTTTAGTTCACGCTAGAAAGGTTTCGTGGACATCAAACAGAAGAACTGAGAAAACGAAGGGTCCGATTCAACGAACGTTCCAGGTATTCATGCCAAATGGAGGCAAGAAAATTATTCACATAAGGCAAATGATGATGGATGCAGCTTACGCTTTCATAGATTATCGTGCCCAATAAACAAACTATCGAATATTTGTGAGTGGACACTGGAACTCCGTCGAGAGGAAGCCTTGTACCTTTTAACGCGTATGTGACATTGCCAGGGGTACGAGAACGAGCGGACATTTTTTTGGAATTTCAGAGGCACATTTTGCAAAGACCCACGTGAAGTACTGGAGGAAGAAGATGAAAGAGTAGGGTTGAACGAAAGAACGATATTAGCATACAGCGATGTAGCAATAGAATTCGGACAACCCACAAATGAACTCGACAAGTGGATTCGTGGCTGAAACCCCACCGGGGGCGGGAAGCGGACAGGAGCGGCGCCAATGAAAAACTATGGAATCAGCCACCGAAAAATAATATACTTGTCACGGGTTCATAAATTATATGTCTGACTTGTCTGAGGTCCGGGTTCAAATTTTATATTACAAATGTAGAAGTCACGCTCTGCTTTCAATACAAAAAATCACATGTTACACGGGGATAAACCCAAGTCCGATCATTTACTCCATTCTGGGAGTGGGCTCAGGCATTTGCCGAAGTCTGAGGAAACAAGTCTGGGGCATGTGAGGTTCCCATGCAGAGAGAAGGAAAGTCTAGACACAGGCCCAGTTACTTTGCTATCATCAGCAAAAAATTGTTATGCTCCTGAGTGCTCCGGAGTATTGAGAGCACTGGGAGAATCAGGAGGAGATTGGCTGGTCCAGGAACAGCCCATTTCCTCCGGAGTTGGCTAGGTACTCCAGGGCACTCCCAGGAGGGCCTGGAGCATTGCTTTGTGCACAAACATATCCAGTAAATACAATTTAAATGCTTCAAAGTGTATAGGGGTGAGAAGCTTCTGGGAGCTCCTGGAGCATTTGAAAATGAAAACAAAAAAAAAAGAGGGAAGATCCCACATGAATACCTCCTACCACAAGACTAACACAACAAGACACTGCTTAACATTTAGATCAAACACTATACTATATATCAAGGACACTGAGACTCACCAATACACAATCAAAATTTATGGCCTGATATATGATTAATCTGGCAACTTAATCACTTTTGGGCTGGCAGAATATGGGGGAGGGGGAAATGGGGGAGAATGAGGGGAGAATGAGGGGGAGAATGAGGGGGGAATGAGGGGGGGAATGAGGGGGGGAATGAGGGGGAATGAGGGGGGGATGTAGAAGGAAATGAGGAAATTTTGAAAAATAGGGACTTCTAAAAAGTTGAAAAAAATAATTAGGGAAAAAATCAAAAAAATTCAGGAACTGTAGTGCCTTTGAAGTGCTTTCAGGATATATAATTATTTGCAAAATCGAGGAAGAAATGATGGAGAAAAATGGAAAATACTTTCGGAGACCCGAGAAATAATGAGAACTGAATTGATGGGAAAGTCTGAAAATTGAATAGGGAAGTGAGGGGAAGCCTTGTAGCATTGTTATTTTCTGCTGTTCTAATTTTTCCTGATTGTTCTTGGTCTCACTCCCAGCTGCTACTGGATACTCCTGGATACTCCTGGAAGCTCCTGGGAGGGTCCAGGAGCAGCTAATGGAAAATACTTTTGGAGACCCAAGAACTGAATTGATGGGAAAGTCTGAAAATTGAGTAGGAAAGTGAGGGGAAGCCTTGTAGCATTGTTATTTTCTGCTGTTCTGATTTTTCCCGATTCTTCTTGGTCTCATTCCCAGCTGCTCCTCAATACTCCAGGAAGCTCCTGAAAGCTCCTGGGAGGGTCCAGGAGCAGCTGGGAGTGAGACCAAGAACAATCAGGAAAAATCAGAACAGCAGAAAATAACAATGCTTACAAGGCTTCCCCTCACTTTCCTATTCAATTTTCAGACTTTCCCATCAATTCAGTTCTCATTATTTCTCGGGTCTCCGAAAGTATTTTTCATTTTTCTCCATCATTTCTTCCTCAATTTTGCAAATAATTATATGTCCTGAAAGCACTTTAAAGGCACTATAGTTCCTGAATTTTTTTTTTGATTTTTCCCTAAATTTTTTTTTTCAACTTTTTAGAGACCAAAATTTTCCTCCCACTGCTCCTGGCACATTACAACTCCTCACCACTCCCAGCTGCTCCTGAACCCCCTCCCAGGAGAACACTATTGGCTCCAGGAGTGCCCAATCTGCTGTTTTGTCTCCCACATGCTCCAGCCACTCTTGATGCTCCGGAGCATAACGGACTTTTGCTGATGATGAAGTCAGCACCCAAGCCTGTGTTAGGCTCTACTGCTTATATATTACTTCGCATGCTGTAAAAGTGTTGGGTGTTGCGGTCCAGATGGTGGAGTGTTAGCTTGTGATTTTTATTTTGAAGCCATGGGTTCAATTCCAAATCTTGTTTTTTTTTTTTGGTTTTTTGTTTTTTGCATTCCCATCTGGTTGCAGTGGGAATGTTTTATGCACAATGCCAGTAAATTAGGAACACTGGAAAAAAATAGAACCGAATCCATGCCTTCATATAAGTATTCAGGCCAAGCATGGAATACAAAAAAAAGATATACACAGTGGGAATCGAACCTGCCACAACACCTAACATCTTTATTGCATGCAAAGTAATATATAAGTAGTTAAACCCAACACTGGCTTGGGTGGGCGGTCTAGATTGTCCCATGGGAACTTCGCATGCCCCAGACTTCTCAGACTTCAGCAAATGCCTAAGCATGTTGCCACTCCCAGAATGGACCAAATGATTGGACTTGGGTTTATCCCCGTGTAACATGTGATCTTTTGTATTGAAAGCAGAGCGTGACTTCTACATTTATAATACAAAATTTGAATCCGGACCCGAGTATGTCGATCAAGTCAGACAAGTCAGACATATAATTCATGAACCCATGACAAGTATATTATTTTTCTCCATCTAATCAGGGCTATCAGTGTTGTTATATAGCTCTCAGCGGGGACACTCGGATAATGGGGGAACAAAACCGACTTGATATTGTAACCGCTGTAGGAGAAATAATATTCAAAGAATAAAACAATGATCTATCAGAATAGTCAACGAACAGGTGACAAGTTCAGACGTTTAACAGATCTCATGATCTTTATGAGACTGGACAGACATTAGAAGATCATTATAAAATATCTACACCCATGTAGTATGAGATTTAATCTACTACAATCATGCCTAGAACTTGACATAGGTGTAATATTCAAAGAATATATCCCTACAACAAGAAAATAGCACATAGACGGCAGAATAAGAAGGAACATTGGGAAAGAAATGTAAATATCTCGGGAACCAGTAAACTTTTGACTGTAATCTTTTTACCATCTGGAAGGACTGTTTCTTGACTTTATCCACGGTTTTGTTTCATTCTATAAGCTTCAAAACTGACGGAGATATCGCTCAAACGGCGAAACACCTTATAATTCATATATATTTATTTGCTAATTCTTACAAAAGGTAATGTGACTCAAAGGAAATATATTGGCACCCGGAAGTCAGGCGGACCGAATACCATATGATAGAGTATTCCCCGGCGCGGGCAGACAGTTTTTGATCGCATCAGAAGAGGAGAAAATGCTAAAAAACCGGATCTTGTATATTTTCCCATGATTCATCAAAACTTTTTGATTTTAAGCCCAAATAAATCGGAACAAAGGAATGATTGATGATCTGGATCTCGGATCATAAGCATGAAGTGATTCAGAAGTCCGTGGATCAGTTAATTAATTGGGAAGGCTCTAGAACATTAGTAATGATGTGGCTTCACAAAAAGGGGTCAATTAGAGAACAGTCTAGAAAGTTCCTTTATAGCCGAGTCATTTCTAAAGATAACCGTTCGTAATTAAGGCGGTGTAGAGCATAGCTTCAGCGCTACAAGATCCCGCTGAGATCGGCCCAAAAGACAAAGAAATGAATTACTTATTGCTGAGTCATGTCCTAAGTCCATTATTAAGCTTACACAGCCCAAGCCCCTATATCATTCTAGAACTATCTATAATACAAATGTAGCACATGTAACTAGTGCGAGGCGTGGGAGTAGAGAGGCCTCTGAAAAGCATAAAAGGCCACCGCTTCTGCCCCCTCTCAAACCTCAGGTAGAAATAAAAGTTTAATTCTCCTCACCAGTGGTTGGTTCGTTTGCTCCAAAAGATAAAAGCAAATATTAGTTGTTAGCTAATATAAAACTAACACGTCACTCTAAGCGTGAGTTAGGGTCAGTTAGACACAGCTGAACAAAAGTGTCATAGTAAGAATTAGTGAGAATTTGGTGGAGGGACTTCTTAATTGAATAATCTCTCAGCAATACTTGGTTATCACACCACAGGAGAAAAGTGAGCGATCCTGAACCTGCTAGATAACTAGCACGCACTCTAAGCGATAGAAAGAGCAGTTTGGTCACTCCTGTATTGAGTAACATTTATTGCAGAATTATTTTATTAGCAGTTTTCCTTCAGTAAATTATCAGGAAAATCACATCCTACTGAAAAGTGGTAAATATAGGTGTAATATTGACTAGAAATCATAGTAAAGTCAATATAGAATTTTATTCGTAGACGATCTATACATCAGGTGAGATCGTTGGGGGGTGTTTATTGTTGTTTAGACAGTGAACAATCATATATTTGGCAACCAAAACACGGTCAGTATGCAAATCAGCACAAACTCTAATATCGTTATTGGACGTAGGAAACTGGTTACATAAGGTGTTCCAGCTCCGCTCCTTCACCGCACAGTGGTATAAGTAGTTAGGGTAATTACACAGATATCAGACAAGAACAATAAAAGGATGAGATACATGCAAGTGCTACATGTGGAATGCAGTCAACAGTGAGACACGCAGCACATGGTGAAGGGGTATCATGTCGGCTAGCCAATATGGGCATGATATGCGTACCGGCGCATCGTTATGTCTTGCTCAAACAACA